GGTAATTGCATACCGTAATATCGTCAGATGCTAATGGTCTCAACCTAGTTGCTCGAACACATTGTCAAGATCGTTCTTGACCGTCCGATACATATCAAATCTGAGACGAGTCGACCGTCCGATGTGCTAACTTCTTCAGTCAAGTTTTCAAATTTGTTTTGAATGCAAGCGTTCTTCTGGCTGGTCATTTTGGGTTCAGCTTGCAAAAGGCCCATGGTGATGAAAATTGAAATGTTAACCAGACGGTCCCTGCAACACTGACAGTGTGAGAGCACCATACAGGCTGGTATGCCATGTACAGTATAAATGCTGCAGCTCAAAGATGACAGGGCATGCTCCAAGGATGGAAGTTGCAGCCTCGCCTCGTGTGGATGTCCTCCTGAAAGAGGAGCTGGGTCGATTTCGGTCTGAGCTACAGTCTGTGAGGGCGTCGTTCGAAAGTGCCCCTCATGGACGAGGGGAAGACAGCGGTGGTGCATTGGAGGATGACCTGATGCGGCAGCACTCCTTTTTATCAGACTCGGACCTGAGCTCTGATGGTAGTGACTGGGAAGAGTGCCTCTTGGGCCATGAAGAAGACACCAGGCGGGTCAAGCAATTTGGAGCGAGGTCGACAGCTGCTGAGGAATTGCATGTCGACAATCAGAGAGAGCTGCTGCATTGGCAGCCGGCAGCGGCCAGTGCTAGATTGGCAATGGGCAGGGAACTAGGTAGGGAACAATATGCACCAGATGAGCCACCTACCCGGCAGCGGCCCAGGCAGTCTGCAGAGAGTACGAATGCTCCTCTTGTCTTTTTTGTAGTCAACTCTGAAGGTGAAATGCTGGGAAAAGAGACCAATCAGACGACCAGTCCATCAATGGTTGCGAACCCTAACCCTAACCCTAATGGGGGAGGTTTGGAAAGAGAAGAGACTTTTCCAAATGAGACTGGGCATGCCAGTGAGCTGGCAGGAGAACAACTCGTGAGCGGAGACACCGAACAAGATGAGGGTTTTGAGGAGGAGAGTGATGGCACAGCCAAGGAGATGGCTTTGAAGATCCAGCTGTTGTTGGAGGTGAGTAATTGTGAGATGTTGGAAACTCCAACATGGACCTTAGCAGTTTTGCTAGGAAGCTTGTCAATCAAAGAACAGTCAAAAAGCAAGACGATCTGCAAGTTCTAGTGGTCAATTGCATCTCTGAAGTTGATGGAAGTTGAGAATGGCACCTTGATGAAGAGTGAAGTACGACACTGGTCTGCTTCTCTGGCATGCAGCGTCGTGGTGGTAGCCTGGAAATGAAAGACTGGGACTGGCTGCTCAGCCCCAACGCTCTTAGTCGCCAGCCAATGGTGTTACCCTCTGAGGGCCAGGGCCTCAGAGTCTGGGAGGCTGTTTCTTTGGCTGAGGGCAATTCAGCGGATGCCCTCGGAGAAAGTTCTTTGAAACAGGCCAGTGAAGGTTCAGAGGAAGCTCAGGCTTACCTGGCAAGGGTGTTGGCGTCTCTAGTTCCCGCCCAGCGGCTGACCCCGCTGGCATCAGCGGATGGAACACAGGGGGGAATTAGCGAAGCTGTAGAAGCTGCGGGTGGTGGTAAGACGAGTACTAAGGGTCAGCAGGGCTCGCTCGGGGCGCAGCTTGTCGTTGACTTGCCTAACAGCAGCAACAAATTAGGGCCTTCTAGCTCAGTGGAGAACAGCAGGCGTGTGTTGAGCGAGGGGATAGGACGCCGGGAATCTGGATCATCTTCTGTGGGTCCCCAATCCAAACTGCCACTGCTTAAGCCCAACCTGCACTCGGACCCCAATGTCCAAGGGAGGGCGCAAGTTGTTGAGACAGCCCCTGCTGACTCAGAAGCTGCTATGCAAGCAGATGAAAATGGGGCAGAGACCTCAAGGCCCGTCCCGCAGTCAGATGATGAAATCAGCGAGCCTGCCCCTCGCGCCAAGCTGGTGGTGCTCCCGAGCATTCGAGGAGGGGCGGTGCAAAAGCCATCGGTTGCCGTGCACACCACTCCGCGACCCAAAGAGGACGGGGCCGAGCCCAAGGTAGCTCCCTCACTTACGTCCGGTGTAAAGAATCAAGTCGATGGGGATGGGGCACACAGAGAGGGGGCGACGACAGAGGGAATGGTCAGGGCAGCGGAGTCTGCATCGGACAATGATACGGGGGTGGTTCGGTCAGAAGGGGTGCCGCAGGTTGGTCAGGTGACGGGGAATGTTGCAAGCGAGATGGAGGCGCGGGTGCGCATGCTGGAGGTACTGCAGCGGCGAACGTTGGAGCTGCAGGAACAGAAGGTGCAGCACGAGGTGAGGGGGGCATGTTTAGAGGAAAGCGTCCGGGATGTCTGTGCTTAGCAAACCTGTGCTGCAATACGAGGTGAGGGGGGCAGGCTGAGGGCGAATTGACCTGCAATGTGCTATCTAATCAGTCGCACTCTCAAAGGTTGAAGTTGTAGGAGGAAGGTGAGCGGCGCAGCCAGTTGTGCAATCCAGTCGTTTGTCAGGGCGAGTGATGTGCCCCCAATGTGATGTGTCTTCCAAGAATCTTGCACCAAATTATCAACAGCACTGAAACAAGGCCGTATGATCGGTGTGCTTTGGGGTGTGGTGCATTGGTCCGCTATATGCCTTGTTGACACCACCTAAAAAAGCTTTGCTAGTGGAAAGCCTGCACCCTTTCATGCCCTGTCAAAGAAGTTGAGGTCCATATCGCCGAGAAGCTGGCGGAGCAAAGGTCGTCAAGTCAGGTTGCTCAATTGTGGAACTCCTTTGCGAGGAAAGTGGCGGAAATAGCTCGTGTACTTGTGCTCCATAATAGAGTCTAGCTAATGTTGGCGAAAGCAAGCTCGCACACATTCTCATGCTAGTTGCAAGGTACCAATCTCGCTACCGTAAATACCTCCTCTAGCGGGCCTGTCTGGTACCCTCCCTGGTTGAACCTGATTGAGACCATCTTGCTGTCTTCCTTGCACAGATCGAGATGCAGAAGAGACGGGCGGAGCTTGAGTTGCAGTCGCTCAGCGTACCTCAAGCGTCAGGGACACGAGATCCAGTGGGGGTGACGGGGAATGCCGACCTGGCGCCCCTCCGCCCTGCGACGGCTCTCCTCGCACAAGCACGAGAAGCGGCGCACGAGGTAAGACTGCAAGTCTCGTTTCAAGTTTTGAACGATTGGCTGCAATTTTGCCAATCTTTGAAATGATGAGCGACTTCCCCCGCCATTCGCTCCTGCTCAGATCAGTATTTGGAGCGTGCATCATTTGGTCGGACTTATACACACACCTTCGAACTTCTCCCTTGGATTGAAAGGAGCAGACTCGGACACTCTCATTGGGGCGATACAACCATGGATGCGACCTCTTCAAGTGCCCTGAAACGCCACTAGACAAACGGACCGCTGCTTGTGTCTATGCCAGGTGGTCGACGCCGTCTCAAAGCTGCAATCGGTTCCTCTCCCCGCCTCCCAAGAGGCCCCCGCTCCAATAAGCACCGCAACCCCGGCCCCCGCACTCTCACGCCAGCTGGCGACAGCTGTCACTGACCTTAAGGAGATGCTCGACCGCAAATTGGGCGAATTCTACGCCGCGTGCGCCAGCTTCCATGCAGCCAGCCTGCAGGGTGCGGCGCAGCTCGCGCAAGCGGCCCACGTTGGGCAAGGCCACGTGGGGGGCGAGCGGAGAGCGGCTGCCGCGCACGCAATGGCGCGCCAGACGGCAGAGCTGGACAGCCTGAGGCAACAGGTGAGGGGTGGTGCGGGCCCGGGGACACTTCGCGTAAGCTCAGACGTGGTCCGTGAAGGGGCGCCCGGTCGCCTGTAGATGTTGAACTCGAGCTGAGATTCTACATTTATCGAGCTGAGCCCTGCTTCTTTTCACGTCGTCAGTATAAGCCGCTTCTTATCTTCTGAAAGTTGTCGCCTTTCCATCTCTCGACTCCCTCAAGCTCCCCCTAGAGTCGCTCTATGTTGCATGTATGCTTTCCCTGGAGCAGCGTCTCATTTCACACCCCTTCTTTCTCCCCCCTGGCAGGTCCGCGGGTCTCACCAGGTCGCCCTCCAGTCGCCCGCATTCCGGCTGCGCACGCCCCTCCCCTCCAAGGCGTCCTCTCTCCCCCGCAGCCGCTCTTCCACTGCATCTCAGTCCTCTAAGCGGGGCCCGCAAGACGTTGCGTCAGCAGCAGCTGAGCTGGCAACTGGGTTGCGCGAATTCAAGCCCGAGGAACATGTGGCCCCCAGCCAGTGGCCGGGGCTCGAGTCTGCGGTGGAAGAAGCGGTGAAGGCGGTCGAGGGGCACGGCATGGAGTGGCAGCTGCTGGTCCATGCGGCGCACGCCAAGTGAGCTGTTTCGGCTAGAAACGGAGCATCCTTACCGTTGGATATGTGATGGAACACCTTGGAGTGAAGAAACTTCGGCATCTTGTCTTGTAAAGCACTTGCACCGCTTTGCCAAATGCAAATGCTTCGAGACAACCGTGCGGTTGAGCACGTCCCTGTTTGTTTCAAGGATCACATTGCAACTTCTTCGCCGCCGTTACTCTCAGGCCGAGACGATTATGGGAGAAAGTTGAACGGTGATCTGGCAAAACCGTCGAAAGCAGGTCAATCTCCGCTCAGCCAGTATACTCCGTGTGATCCGTTCTAGCCCGACACGCTCTGCTCAGAAACGCCCTGACCGCACCTTGCCTTCAAAGGGGCGTCCTCCGTTGAAGGCGCTGCAACGTCAGTCAACAACTCCAACGGAGGCACACCGGCTCCTTGTTAACGAGTTGGGAGTATTTTTCTGGATGCGCAGGTGGCGGGATCTTGCGGCGAGGGAGGAAGAGCGGGCCAACTCCGCCAAGGCCGCTGTGCAGGCGTTGCTCGGCAGCGCTTTCGACTACGACGCCGCACACAAGGTTCGTGCGCGCTGACCCCTTTTCGACCGTACGACCTTCCTTCTGCTCTCACTTGCGTCATCGGAAGCTGCCTTGAGGGTCCCAGATCAGGTGTCTGTTCCATGCAGAATCGGTGCGCTCTGCCCCCGCCTCAACCGAACGGTCTTCCTTGTGCTCTCACTTCCGCACCTCTGAGGACCCGTCCCGGAACAGCTTGTTCCTGCGTACAGAAGACGAAAGAACAACCTGGCTGTCGGCGGAGCAGCGTCTCTTGAGAAGGGGATCTGGAGCATCATGTTTCCATGCTGTTGTGAGCACATAGACCCTCAGTAGCCTTCTCAAACCCTGTACGTACTAGCAGGCACATAAATCTTTTTGAAAGCCTCACCCCCTCGTTGGTACTTTGATTGACACCAAAGGGTGCTTGGAGTGTCGACCTTCACTGACGACCAAGCCCCCGGCCTCTTGTGCAGGAACTCGAGCTGATTACCCGGGCTGCAAAGGGCGTGCCAGGGCGCGCCAAAGAGCGGGCCAAGGACCCCGCCTTTCAAGAGTTGGCCTTTGCGTCTGCTGCCCACAACGTTTCCGACAGTTGGGAGGCCCCACAGACTGACCACCTGAGTGCCCAGCAAGCCGAAGAGGCCCTGTTTTTAGAAAGGTTGCGCCAGGATGTGGACCGTCGGATTGCCGCAGCGGCGGCCTTATCCACGGGGATGCCCGTTGGCGCAAAGCGGAGGCGGATCGGGGACCCCTTAGGAGCGGCTCGAGACAGAGCGGAGAACCTGGCGGGAAACGCGGAGACGAAGAGTGGGGTTGGGAGGCGGCGGGCCGACGGGAAGGAGAACAGGGGGATCTCTGTGGAGGGAGACGTGAAGGTTCCGGAGGGTTTGCCGAGAAAGGCGGGCTCGAGGGGGGCGCAGAGACGAGAGGAAAAGCCGGTGACCCTGAAGAAGGTCGAGATCGCGTTCGGCCACAAGGTGAAGCGGCCGCCTGCCGCGCAGCCGCCCGCGAGAAAGCGGAAAGAGAGCGGTGACGCGGGTTGGGTCAAGCGCATGTCCGAGCCGCGGCGGCCCCCCGAGTCTCCTGGTGGGGAGGGGGGGGAGGATTTGGCCCTGGAACGGGCCCCCCGCCCTGGTGTCCCGAGGAGAAGCACTCTGCGCCCCGGTGAAATGGTGCACCGTCCGGCGACTGCCGTTAGGTATCCGTCCCCGGAACCGAGGCAGCGGAGACAGGGGGAGACGCGGCCGGTGGGGGCGGGAATGCCCGGTTCTGGTGACAATGAGGGGGCGGTAGGAAGACTTGTGGCGCTTGCGAGAGAGGCCGCAGCGGGGCTGATCGCGGAACGACTTTCAGAACGGAACGACGACGATCCGGCAGAACGATCGGAGGAGGGCACGGAGAGAGACTTCGGTGGGTCGGAGCCACGTGGCGCGGTCGAAAGCGCGCCAAGTGGCGGGAAGGGGCTGGAGGAGACGGCGAGGGGTGTTACGGAGTGGCTGAGCGAGCAGGTCATTTCTCAACTGTTGCAAAGGCCGGAGATATTGGAGGGGCTGAAAGCAGCTGACTCTGGCGTCTTCTCTGAGATGAGCAGTGGGGCTGAGGCGGGCGGTAACGACGCACTAAGGGAGCGGCTGTCAGATGACGTCAGCATTGACGAGGAGCTGGTGCGCGCGGTGGCTGCTGAGGTCATCAGCGAAGAGGTGGATAGGATGTGGGCGGTGGGAAATCAGCAGCAGAACGCGCAGCGGGACAGTACGAGGGAGGAAGAAGCGTGGAATTCTGGGGATGCGCCAGAGGACGCATTGGGCCCGAGGATGACATCAGCGGACACGTCTGCACAGCACCGGGCTGAAGTGCGGGGAGAGGAGGCTGGCGCAGAGAGGGTCGGAGTCGGCGTTGTCGGCACAGCGAGAGGCATAGAAAGCGGTCTGTCGCCTCCACTGGAAGACGAAGAAGAAGCAGCGGTTTCTGATTCCAGGCCCTCAGTCTCTCAAGCGCCGCCGGAAGTCAGCGTCTCGGCAGCGCAACCGGAAGTTCCGGCCCCCCCTGCGGGGCTTGCACAAGCAGCAATCCGCGCCCCCGAGCCAGAAACGCTCGGCTCTATTCCGGTAACCCAGGGCCCCCTGCCTTTCCCATTTCTACCCACTTCTTACCCAGCTAGTGGTCTGCCGTCCGTTACTGGTCCGTCCCAGCCTTGGCCGTTCATTCCGTTCCCCTTCTACTTTCAGCCCGATGGACGCTTCGTTCCCGGCGCCCCTTTCCCAAACCCTTTCCCAAACCCCGTCACAGAACCTGGATTAAGAGAAAACCGGGCGGCGGCAGCCCAGACCGAGCCGCAGACGGCGCCGCAGCCGAAACCCGTGAGAGTAACCCGCAGAATTAAAGCGGGGAGTACGCCGGCGACCCCGCCCACTCCCAGCACGCCCTCGTCGTCGCCAGAAGTGACGCTGGTCCGCAGGAAAGCGGTGAGGAGGGGGTTCGAGGCGGCGCTTGAGGGAATGGGCATCAGCGTGCGGCTGGCCGGGGAACTAGAGTCGGAAACTGGGGCGGGGGGCCCTGACCAAATTGAGGCTCAAAGGGAGTCTTCAGCGAGGGGCTTAGGAAAGCAGGACGGGCTGGAAAACAATGACGCGAACGAAGAAGCGAAGAGTGAAGGTGGGCGAGAGGTAACTGCAGAGGACGAGGCAGAGCGACAAGATAGTACTCGGGTAGAGGACGGCCAACAGCGTGCAGAGCAGGAGGAAGCCGAGCCGGAAGGGGGGGCGCCGGCAGAGCAAAACGGCACAGCACAAACCCCCCTCAAGGAAGAAGACTCCCCCCAAGCCGCGCCGCCCACTCCTGCTTTGCCAGCAGTGGAACCGACCGACGGGCGACCCGAGGAGCAACGTGACGTCAGCGCCACGTCGGCGGCGGGGGCGGAGAAGAGCCTGGGGGCGCGCGCTCGGCGGCGGTGGGCGTTTCTGGACGAGCGGTGGGACGCGCGGCAGGCGGTGGAGACCATGGCGCACACGTTGCTGGCGGGGGGGGAGGAAGAGAGCAGCATCCGCAGCGGGGGATCCCCCTCCGGGGGGGGCCGTACGAGCGCCGCGCTGACGGAGTCGACGTCGGTGTCGTTTGGCGAAGTGGTGGCAGGTGAGTGTGCAACTTGCTATGAAATTTGCCGGCCCATGGCTTATCAGGCTAGCACGTTGATGTCCAGCAGCATGTTGCATAACGTGCAAGTGACGTGCATAATCGACGGCCTACTTTTCATTTCATGATGCTTTAAGTTGTCAGTGCCCTCGACTTAATTGGGGCTCGAGCCCAATACGCATGACAGCTTTCTTTTGAGTCACCTTTTGGGTTGTCCATCAACCGTACGTTTAAAGGACGGGTGTGGTTGGGAGAATTTCGTTAAGGGAAGGCCAGACAAAAGCGTCTTCTCGAAAACAACTCCGAAAGTCACCTCTTTGCGCCCTCGACCACGCCAGGTCGAGCATCTTGAAGGTGTACTGACTACGCGTTCCTATTCGATCCTGACGTCCCTCTGCTCGCCATGCTCGCTCGTCGCTCTTGCCCTACCATTTCCCAACGTCTAGCCCTGCGCTCCACCGAACAGTACTTATTGCTGACCAGTTTGCCAATCGACTCAGGCCTGGCTTCTGAGCCATCCGCGTCGTTTGGCGGACCGCCTTCCGGTCTGAGGCACGAAGCGGAGCCGCAACAAACGAGGCAGGACGTCGCCGCAACCAGCAGTCTGTCAGAAGGTACGGCTTCCGGGGGTCGGTCAGGGAGTGCCGTGGAGCAAAGAACAGTGTGCATCTGAGCCGTCCTAACCCTGCAAGCCGTTGTGAAAGGTCTCTTGCTTCGCTTCTTGCCGTACCTTTTTGAAGAAGTAACTACTCTGGCAACGAAGCAAGCAACTTGGAGGCTAGCACGAAGTGCAGCGGCAGCAAGGTCATGAGTGTCAAATCTGTAAAGCACTCCTTAAGGGCTTTTGATTCATCACAATTTGATTGCAGGCGAAGCTGAGCCCGGGGACCTGCGCCAGGACCAGGAGCCCGGTCAACGAGGCCGGTTGGCACCCCCCGAGCTGTCAGCCGACTCGGAGCCGGGCCTTATTCGGCAACAAGACAGACCCGGTGAAGACCCACCGGGCAGGACAGCGAGCCGCAAGTATAGGGACCAGGAAGATGATGACAGTTTCAGTGAGTCGCTGGACGCTAGGGGTAGGCGGAGGAGAGGAACGGCTTCCGCATGGGCAGGGGGGAGGGCAACGAGCCGTTCGCAGATGCGACGGCCCACCCCCCGGAAAGATGTCATCCGGAGTGCCGTGGCCACTCTTCGGGGCCTTGCTAAGGTCCGGCCTGCGGATGAGGCCTCCGAAGGAGAGCTCGAGAGCGGGGCGGATGAAGGGGAGGTGGGGATAAGAGGGCACGAGGCAGGAGAACTTCGTCGTTGAACAACAATAAGAAGGCCCTCAGGAAAGCTGGTTGTGTGATATCCGACAGGATGCAACGCAAGTGAGAAGACGGGCGGCTAGGATCGTTCCAGTTGTAAGACTTGGACACAGTATCTAGCGTCTCAGCTCGTCTAAGTAGAAATCTTCGTGTCCGTCTGATGCTCTGTCGTCACCTCCCTTGTTGAGTTTACAGAATTTGAAGACATGAGAGTGGTAAGGCCTGTTCACATGTGATCCTTTCTGCAGAGATCTTAGCCAGGTTGACCGCGCTGATGACCGAGAGAGCGCGAGTAACCCCCATCGAACGCCACTCAAAAGAATAAAAATGATATCAACTTGCTCAACCCTGAAAACTAGATTACCAAGGGAGGACCATTACGTCGCGGGCTAGCTTTCTCAGTAGTAAGAAAGCCAGCAGGCCCGCAGTCAAGGGCAAAAGCTCTCTTGAAAGCAGCCACGCCCATGGGTTCTTATCACATGTTGGCCTGCATTGGATCGAGTAATGTCGGTAGCTAGGTTGAACAATCTCGTGCATACCATGGTACTACGTTGCTATGTTGCATATGCAATACAATACAGTTCCTAAGCTCGGGACTGAGTGGCACGATCCCGGCCTGGCGTAGTAGCATGCACCAGAAATTTTCTGTATGGCCCACTGATTGATCACGATCTCAATGATGCACATGATACATGCATGCTCTCTACAAGTGGATCCCACGTACGGTACGCTAGGTCCGGCTATCATATTAATACATGTAGAATATTGTGCTTGTCATGCTATTGATGCATAATAGTAATCAACTTTATGTGATGTTCAATATGCAGACTGTCTGTATACGTATATCATCATGAGACGGGTGATGTGAGATAACATGGCTCAGTGCACTGCATATAGTGTACACTAGCTTGCCAGATATAGCAGCTGTTCGAGCCCATGCGTCCGTCAGTGCCAGGCCCACGGACTAGGCAGTACATGTTAGATCTATGTTCATTGCAACGTCAGAATATGCTCCTTTTACGGCATGTAGTAACATAACACCGCAATCCCGATTGCAATAATTGCGGGCTGATCAACACAACACAGAAGATACTACCAGGAATTGCAAAGTTCAAATTCTTCTCATCAAGGTGCATGACCATTCCTGTTGTTGCACCTACGGGATTGTCAGAAGAAATTGAATCATCAACATCACCGTCTAGGTCGTGCTCTCGTCCATCGCCGACTGCATTCAAGGGCGTTCTAAGACCGAGAACACTAGACAATACAAGATGCATATGCATGCATACATGGGCCCTGATTTGCAGTCAATCCTGGTTGCACAGGCCAGGACCACAAATTGAGCAACGCGCACTTCCTACGCTACTCATTGGTCGAAGAAAGGTCGGACACCTCAGAATCAACATCCAAGTTTAAAATCTTTGGCTCTCTTCAGGAATTAATGCTGAATACTTGGTCTGGTCACTGAAAGCTAACTCAGTCAAGTATGCTTTTGCACCGCAATCACCTCAACTATGTACAACGGCTTCTAACGTGCAAGTGCGTTAGTATACCATGATTTCCTAGGGGGCTGTCGAACACGGAATGAGTTGTCTTCAAATGAGAAAAGCGGACAGCTCTGCCTACGAAACTGGACAGATCATGTTCTCTGCTATTTAGTCCTCACCTTCAATAATGCGTTGATGCACAACTAGAAAAGACTAATGAACGGTAGCTCCGTCCTTCTCCTGGCCTCGGATCTTGATGTGAACTCAGGTTCCGGGGTCTCAACTCTGGATGATCAGGATCCTCGTACCCAAGCTAAATGTTTGAGCTCGGCATAGGCTCAGAAATGACACCGCCTTTTACTTCCTGACATTCTCAGCCCACTGCTCAATCGTGCTCGTTACCTGCTGAACTCCTTGTAACACCACATTCCGTCTATCTACCGTGCCATTCCCTTGACCAGCCTTCGCGCTTGCGAGGCCGTCACCCTCACCAACCATGGAAGCACCCGCCAGAGCTAGCATCTGCTCTTTGCTAAGGGAGTCCTTTAAGCCTCCCCCAAGCTTGGCCGGACTGCCTGGAGGAGTTGATCTCTTAAGCTCTTGATCCCACTGGCTTGGAAGGATGCTGGGATCCCTGCGAGCCTTTCCGTTGCCCCGTGAGCTTGCCTGCTCGGCCTGAGGCTCCGGATCAAACAGGTACTCCCCACAAGGAGCTTCTTCCCTTGTTCTGTAAAGCTGCTTGCCATGCATCGTTGAGCTCTTTGACCGATCCTCCAGAGGGTTGTGTTCGCTGGCGTAGTCGAACAACTCCTTGATTGGTTCCTGCGGAGAGATGTGACAGAGCGTCAGAGCTTCAACAGCACAAACTCTTCAAGTAACCAAGCCATCAGCAGGGTGCACAGACTACAAGACCAGTCTTTGAAGGCACGGGCGCAGAGTGTAAGTCTCTACTCAGAACTGTAAATCCGCTGTTTAGAGCTGGACGACAGGAGGGATGTGAAGCTTTGCTCATATGAGAATCTTCTTCTGGTGCAATACATATAAACTGCAAAAGGGAATACCAAGACCATATTGATCTGACCGGAAACTCCATACAATCAGGCTCCAGCACCCCTGGGATATCTTGATCCATCCAGAAAACAAGTGGAATCTGGATCTAAATCCGACACATCTTCAGAAAACCACTGAGGAAAGAAGTAGTGACCGACATTTCTCCATACCTCTAGTCCAATCACACTCTTTCTGGCTTGCTTCATGCTCTGCTTCCCTGGAAGTTTTTTCATCAAACCCGTGATCCAGTCCCCTTTCTTAGCCGCCTGTGCTTCAGCAGCAGCATCTGATAGAAGTCTGAGCTCTTCAAGAACTGGAGATGCCCTCGGAGTAAATCGCACTTCCTTCCGCAGTCGAGAAGCGTCCCCAGCCGACCCGTTTTGTGAGCCTCGGGAGTTTGAAGCGACTACTGTGGCGGGGCTGCTAATCTGCACCTGCGTGCTCAGCTGTCTCGATCGTTGGGTTGCTTGCTCAGTAAAGTCCCACCTCCCACACCCGCATAAAAATGATGCAGACGCTGAGGAATGTACAAGCGCCATAGTGATTGGAAACCGGCAATGCCAAAAAGCAGCTCGCGCTTATGAGAAGTAGGTAAAAGCGCAGACAGCACTGCCGACAGCTCCCCCTTGTCCCCTTTGCAAAACGCTGCTCAAGGCAAAAAGCAAAGCTGTTTTCAAACCAGCGGCTAGGACTAGCTGATCATCGAGCAATTTGCAGAGAGCCGCCATGAATCCGGCAGGTGTGGGAATCCGAGTCAGCAAAAGCACCAGATAAGGTGACGTAGGCAAAAATGACTCACTTGCCACGCGTCAAGCTGTAGCCTGCACGGCTGTGAGCCTTGAGGCATTCCCCGACCTCGTACACTGTACAGTGCTGAGTGCACTATGCTACGGTATGTACCTTGCACGTCCCTACCGTAGTAGGTAGTACCGGGTGTAGCGGTGCGAAACTGTACTCGTCAGTTCTGGACTCCCCCTGGTCGCCCTGAAGGCTGGTGAGCTCGTCTGAGGTCAGAAGTTTTCATACCTAAACCGGTAGTTGATCGGCGGTCCGGCAGGGCAGATGTACCAATGGGCCGCCCGTCTGACAGCATGACAGGTATGTGGCATGGCGCCGAGAGACGGGTACGGTTAGTTCTTAGGTTAGGGTAGGGTTCGAATTGCGGAGCGTCTCATTTTGGGCTAAGGGCTCTTGTTAAACTGGTGAGTTACCAGGGACCGGGTGGCCCGGTGAGTCCAGACTCCAGCATCGGTCAGATTCCCCATAGGTAGGTACCGCATGTAGGTACCACCATGTACAAAATGTCATGTCAGAACCTCCAGGTGGTCAGGATTGACTTTGTCAGACGCTGCAAGGAATCGACGGCTTTCGACATTATGTTTCCTGGTATCGACGGTGAGAAGTATGTCACGTGTAGGCTAGATTACTGCATGATTGCACAACGATACGCCCAAATTTAGTTCGCATTGAATTGAAAGCGTTGAAATTGTCACAGGATGGGCAATCATTGCTGCTCTCCTTCCAAGAGACAGCCGGCGGCAACTTGCAAGTCGATGGTGCCACGTGTTGGCACTTTGCAATCTGACGGTCTCAAAATTCCCTCGGAAAGATCCGTTTGTACGTGTGGGGGTCAGCGAGGTCAGACTCCAGAGGGGAACGACAACATGCCCGGGGGATAGGTCACCGGCTGACGAGGGCTCCTCCGCTTTTCAAATCTGATCAAATTCAGCCCTAGATCGAGCTTATCCCGTGCATGTTTTTGACTGCGTTGCGGGGGCAACGTGTTGCCCACACCCCCCCGGGGCTTTCTTTTTGCATTAAATATACCTAGGTATCCTATCACTCTGTGCAGGGAAAATCTGAACTTGCAAGTCAGGATTATCTACCGGTCGCTTTGCTTCGTCGTTGCTTGGAATTTGAACGCCTAGCTTGAAGCCCTCGACACTGGGCAGGCTCGAAGCCGCCACGTTCGAGAAGAAGCGAGCCTCCCGCAAGCTCTGCCAGCACAAGCCTGCCCTCGGGCCTGGGCCAGCCAACAACGTTGTTACAACGTTGGATTTCCTCGCAAGCATCCGACTGCATGAGGACGTGCACCGCATTGGAATTAGGAAAAGGGCGGACTCAGCGTGCACGTGCTGTTACCTAGGATTGGGCGCAATCTAGGACGTTCAGGCGTTGAAGAGGGACGACAATCGAGAGTTCTCTGCTGAAGCAAGGCCCAATGGAGGATCTGGTGACTGGACATCGTGCAGCTCAGGCAGATGGGTATCCAAGGACGTTTTTGGCCGTATCGAACGCACCGCACGAAGATGGTTCGAGTGGGTGATTTGGTGGTTACTTTCTGGAGCATCACTTAGGAGCTTGTAGACAAAGTCATAGTCATTCCGAGTCAGTTCAAGCAGGATGCACCGGCGTCACCAATATAAGAGAACCATTGCTCTGCATTTTCTGCGGTAGGGACTTGAGGATTTGCAGGGGCCCCTGTTTTGGTTTGGAAGATGCCCCCTTCCGATGCCACCCTTGGGCGGGCAGGCAGCATGAGCAACGCCAGCGGTCGCAGTGTGAGCCCTGCAACAAACAGGCGCTGCGTTTGCGGGTACTGTGCGCCCAGCAGTTTCTGCACCTGCGCCTCCAGCCCAGCTCCCAGCACGGGCGAGTCCTTGGGGGGCTTGCAGCGCAGCTCCAGCCAGATGTCGCTCACGTCTGCCTTCTCTTCCAAGCAGCTGCGCAAGCAGGCGTCGTCCACTAGGTTAGATCAGGGGGCGTTCTTCTATTTCCGGCAAAGGCTGGCCTTCAGTTGTACGGGGCTCATGCTGGTAATGCTCTGTGTTGCACTGGCGTCAAGGCACTTGCAGCATGCTTCCGTGGACGGCCTGGAGAGGGTGCCCCCGTTCCGAGACTCCCGGCGGATGATGATGTCGGCGGACGATGGCATCAGCGTCAGCACTGGAACGACCGCTGTCATACAGAATGGTAAGCGTTCACAAATGGCAGTGGCAGGAAGCCAACTTGTCTTTGGGTGGCGATCCGTGTGTTGGGGCTTCTTTGAGCTTTGCATGCAAGAGTAGAGGGACCCTTTCTCCATATGGGCCAGGAGCGACTGGCCAGAAATTATCAGATCTAGGTACAAACACTGAGAACGTCCCATGGATTAGATTTTTCGCTTATTACGCTGCTCATAGGGTTTCCACCGTAGCCGTGTTGTTCCTCTTGATGGCTGCGTAAGTCTGAACCTTTGTTTGGAGTCTGCCGTTGATAATGAAATGGTCGCGGCTCCGCCACATTCTTGGTAATGTAGCAGTGAGAGAACCACTCGTGTCGCCCCTCATCCACCGGTTGAACGAGTGCGGTCGTCCGGTGTAACATGGCATTCATACAGTCATTCCTCTTCATGCACTGGCTCATAACGTTTTGGACTCCAGCAATCCGCAATCGGGTGTTAGCCCTTCTCAATCAAACACATAACTGCAATCAAACAAATAACTGCGATTGGGCAGCACGCACATTCCTGTCACCCGGGTTGTATGCACAAAGCAAACCCAATTGCTGGCGAGAAAGGAATATTCGCCCGTTGAAACGGGGCGCACATAAAAGTTCTGTATGCTTTGTTCACGTACAAGTGAGTTTAGTTGAGGGGTGTGGGTGCATGTTTGTTCGGCCAGGCTCGACATGGTGCTGCTAGGCTGTACAGTCCCTCAATTCAGATTGCTGGTAAACAGTCAACAGTAAGCTGCTGCCCGACACAGCGCATGTCGGGAGGGCCCAGAATTGAGTGGCAAGGCGGAGCTTGCCCCTGGGGCAGTGCCCAGATTTCTAAAATGGGAGGGCCGCTTTTCTGACCCATCAGTTGATCTTCTGTGTTTCCAGGCCTGGAGTCAACGGGGCTGGCTCTTCCCAAAGAGGTCATCCCGAACTCTCCCCTCGGGGGTCCGCTGCTCGAGGCGCCGGCGCGAAAGTACAACGCGATCGCATCGCAGATGAAGATCTACATCTACGACCTGCCGAGCTACTTCAACGCGGACCTCGTGACGCGCGACCCGCGCATCCTGACGCACATGTTTGCGGCCGAGGTGCTGATCCACTACAGCCTCATGAACTCCAGCGTGCGCACCATGAACCCGGATGAGGCCGACCTGTTCTTCATCCCCGTGTATTCAACGGGGGACCTGAATGATCAGGGCCGTGCGTTGCCCCAGATGGCGGGCATGATGATCAAGCAGGTGATGCACCATGTGGTGCACACGTGGCCCTTCTTCAACCGCACCCACGGCTCCGATCACGTCGTTGTGGTGCCGCACGACTTTGGGGCCTGCTTCACGTTCAGGGTGAGGTCCATTTCTGCACTCTGGCTGGTTCACTTTTGCATTCCAATCCTCTGTGGTTAGACCAGTGTTGACCCTTTCGTCACTGGCCAACTCGATGTAAGGACCTTATCTGTCTGGTTGTAGGAATGCTTTATAATCAGGGCCCAATAATGCCAGGCCGGGTGATGCTTGAGTTTGTGTGCCAATCTTACTGTGTACATCATCGGAAAAATGTTCTTGAACCAGGGGCACTGAACCGGAGTGGACATTCCTGCGTGCCACCGCAGCCGCGAACGTGGTGGCGCTTGGCAGCCATGCCGACACAGTTCGGCCCAATTTCACCGTTGTTTGTTTGATTCGAAAAAATCAACATCTACAAAAGCATGCAATTCTAACCACCGTACGTACTCATCGATCTTGACGCCATCTCATCTCTCTTGTCTGCTGCCAGGAGGAGGAGGCGGTGACGCGCAAGGTCCCAGCAGTGCTGCGCAAGCTGCTCATGCTGCAAACGTTTGGACAGGAGAACCACACGTGCAGTCGCAGTGGCCGAAGCATCATCATTCCGCCCTACGTCAACGTCAACTGGGTCAAGTCGGTCCCGGGCCTCCCAGAGGGTCCGGGGCAGCCCCCTCGCGACAAGTTCGCCTACTTCCGGGGGCTGGTGCATGACTTCGGGAATGACCCCTGGGGCAACAAGTATTCCAAGTGAGGGCTCTTTCTGGCCATGCCGACTTCTATTCCCATGCATGTGTGGCCTCGGTTGCGTTATGTAAGCCAACAAATAAGGTTCTCCACACGTCAGTCATTTCCTGTTCTCCTGTTTCCTTCATACCTCACCGTCTTAATAAGCATCCGCAAATTGTGCTAGTAGGGGACCTTTGGCGTCGTGGCCCCCTCAACCCCTTCAAATTTGCAGATAAGTGACCCCCACTTTCACAGCTTGGGCTGACCCGCTTGACGCCTTTGCTCGCAGGGGGGTCCGGTACCAGATTTGGAAGCACCACAAGGACAACCCCCTGTTTGACGTGGCCGAGATGGTTCCGTTTGCATACTACGAGGACATGCGGCGCTCCGTGTTTTGCTTGTGCCCGCTGGGGTGGGCGCCCTGGAGCCCGCGCATCGTGGAGAGCCTGCAGCAGGGGTGCATCCCGGTCATCATCAGCGACAACATCATTTTGCCCTTCCGCGAGTTTGTGGACTGGCCCGCCATCACTGTGCACGTCCCCGAGAAGGACGTGCCGCGCCTGGACGAGATCCTGTCCGCCATCCCCGTCGAAGAGGTGAGCTCATAGCGTATTGCTTGAATTCGGATTTCCCGCAGTGTTGTACGGATTCGATCGTGGCACTGCTAGGACGCAGGCACGGTCCTTTCCCGGGTTGCCTGAGTTCTGCTTGTGGCTTCACAGGGACATCAGCGTGCTTCGTTCTGAAGTCGTCTGAAGGACAACCCTGTCGCCTTCTGTTGCATGTTACCTTAGCTCAGGTTCTTTGTTCTCATTCGCTCCCTCGTAATCATATCCTAATCTGCGGCATGTGGTGCAGGTTGCTGCGATGCAGAAGCGCATCTGGAGCCCTGCCGTGCGGCGAGCGGTGTTGTTTCCACAGCCGGCCGAGGAGGGTGACGCGTTCCACTACGTGCTGCGGGAGCTGGCGAGGAAGCTGGAGCAGCGACGGGAGGCGCAGCGGGAAAAGGACCGGAAGAGTAAGTCCAAGAAGAAGAGCCCAACCAACGCGCTTCGGGGGGAGTCCCAAACCGCGGCGCTCCATGCGCTCCGGTAACAGTGCCAGGGGCCGGAAAAGCGAAGTGTACAGAGAACAGGGGAGTTTGTGGGGAGGGGCTGAAGTTGTTTACAGTGATGGGGACGGGAATCAAAGTCGGTAGAAAGAGGGGAAGAGCGATTGGAAGGGGCAGCGGGCGGATCACACGGGGAAGGCGTTGCTCATGTGCAGCCAAGGGCCGGCGTCCCTTTACATAAGAGTGCCGCATTAGGCGGCCAGCAAGGGTCCAGTACAGAAAGCAGGGGACAGGCCGACGTGATAAGTTATAGCACAGCATTCTTTCGTAGCTAGCATGAATTGGTAGATAAGGTCTGGGTCGTCAAATAAACTTAGCGCGCGCTTTTGTTTTTGGTCGTCATATAAGAGATGCGCTCCCAGCTTGGTTCGGGGCCATCCAAGCGCTCCGCCGTGTTAGCCGGGGGTACAAGGTAATCCAAAGTGCAGAGGAGTTTTGTGCCCTGGAGAGGAGCAACTATTGATCATGGTAGCACATGTAAGTACTCTATAAATTGCAAACATCTATAAACGCTGTGCATGTGCTAACAAGAGGCTGTTGATTACTGCAATCTGAATACGAGTTGCAAAACTTAGAGTTGCTCCTCAGCTTTTTCAGCTGGATTTGGACGCACTATGTTCTCTAGACCAAGTCGCCAAGCTCTCATATGTTATTGAATTGCGGCGTACGTTGTGTACTTGCGCAAAGCCTGGCTTCTCTGGCTAAGCCGGATGCATGCAACACTCCAGCTGTGCAGGCTGGCACTTCCAAGCCGAATCATTGGATTGTAGAGCTAGCTTCTTGAATCGACCGGACCTTTGTGGAGAGTATAGGCTTGTATATCTCTCTCTCGAACGCGGTTTCAGTGCATGAAAATCAAGCTGGCTCGGTTACACATGGCACAAGAAGGCATGAAACTCTGGCACGCACGTGACCATGTATCAGTTTCAATCTACATCATGCTCATGCACAAGCTACCTATGGTGGGTACCGGCCGAGTCAATTTTGACTCCGACCGCCACAAAATTGTAATACCGCGTATCGAATTCCGTCAGTGATACCGGCGGTTCACGTCACGGCAACTCAGGTTTCTGTTACTCGGGCGGTACAAGTACTCAGACAATATTGCTCGGCCGTAAGTCAGTGTTACAGGAGTGAAAGACAGTGTTATGTTTTACACTTGTGTGTGAGCATCAAACTGGCACACAAAGAAGAGCCTTATGCAGCCCATAGAAAGCTCTGACAAGCAAAGAAAAATGTTGGGAGAGCACCTTGAGGGTTTGTTTGAAGACCCAACATAAGGAAATGTCGAGGACAAATCGGAATAAGCACCATACAAGCCTCAAAGTCGGCCGGCATTGCTTGCTCTTGAAATGCGCCTTTTCCTACACTCTTCTTTCAACTTCCTGCACTCCTCTTTCAAGTTAAGTACCGCGGTACCCTCAGGTGGTTCGAGTCGGAACTTCCGACAAACACCATGAAATTTCAAATTTGCGGACGCGCAGACTTGCGCGGTACTGTACCGCCGAATATACCGGAGTTTACCGTTCGTCGACATGTCAGACAATTTCCAATTCATGAACTCGGACCGGATTCTAAAGTACGGCCGAGTACGGTCGTCAGTACCGTGTACATGAAATGTCGCGACGCGTAACACCGGTGAGTCAATTTGGTGACGGTACCGTCGCGCGATCGAGACCGCCGACACCCACCATAGGTAGCTTGTGTGACTCCTGCAGACACCTAGAGGTCTAGCTCAATGTCGGATTGAAAATCATGCAACAATCTAAGTATCATCTACATACAGCTCTGCCAGTCGTATTGGATTAATCAGCCAGCGCGAACCATGCACGTACACGGATCCAATGCATACTACAATATATCTATTGCAGTGACTACTCTGAGATGGTTGCAGCCGATTTATTTTCATAGCGAATCTGCTGCCCAGGCTAGCTACTACAAGTGGAACAATCCAGGCTCATAAGTCTAGCTGATTCTAAAGTAATAGCCGTATAGAATGGCTAGCGTACCAACTCACTGCGATGTTGGGACTTAAACTGACTTAAACCGTCGAAGTCGAAGACAAACGGCCCCAATTATAGCGCCTCTACACCGTAAACTGCAGCTGCACTGCATGAATACATTCATAACGTGAAAGAATGTGACGGAGCATGAGCCAACTCTGATTCCACCATAGCTGACTCGACGCCCCCCAAGGGGAGTGTATACTCTATGACTCAGCCGTGTGTGGCAGTCTATCGTGGTTTAGTGCACTGTAGCAGCACCAATCTACACCAAGTACTCCAGTTCGGACGAAGCCACGATAAATACAATAGAAGTCAGACAACCCGCGCAGTCTTTCCAATCAAAAAGTGACAAAGGATCTGTAGGTTGTGACGATAGCCCGCCCGTCGTTCGTCTGCGAGCCGAGATCATGGACCTTATGAAGACGACAGCCCCGCAGTCTTGAACAGTCAAGCGGTGAAGGATGCCAGGGCAAACTTTGTCAAGTGTCCCTTCTCTCGTGCCTAGCTATGAAGAGTAGTTCAAGTATTAGTGCTTATGCTCATGCATGATATCAAGGGCCTCGAGGCCGGCGTGCTCGCAATCAGCGCAAGCGAGTGCCCCTCTGCACAAACACAGCCTTCGTTCCCAACTCAGTGCGAGTGCTGATTCATCTGAAAGGAAGAAAAACACATGAGAAGCGCGGTTGCCGCTGTTTCGTCGTCCTGCGCAAACCTTCCTCCCTCGACTCGTGAACAAGGCTTCGACATCTGGGTTTCGCTGCTCGCAAAGAGAGGGAGCATGCACGTGGAGGAGGCGCCTCATGGGTACGAACCGGGCAACATTCTGGTCACCGGGGCAGCGGGGTTCATTGGGAGCCACGTGGCGGCACACCTGGTGTACCACCACCCGGGCAGCACCGTCGTGGGGCTGGACAAGCTGGACTACTGTGCAAGCACGGAGTGAGATAACTTTCGTACCAGATGATTGCTCGTTGTTCAGGCTTTCGTACCCTTGTTCGTTCGGTCCATTCTTGACAAGTGGTACGGCCCTGGTTTTCGAGCTGACGGAGGTAACATGGAGAACTGAGGTGATTTCAGGGATTGCTCAGCAGCAGTTCCCTGTGAAAAAGGGAGGAGCTTCTTTTGAATACTAGGCTGGTTGTCTCAAGTGGTTCTCTTTTTCGAAACGGTACCCTCTCACCGGAGCTTGTCCGGATGGTATCTCTACCTTGGCCAATAAGAGACTGGACGGGAGAAGTCTATTACTGTCAAAATTATTTGTTCGGTTCAAAGGGGTTCCTCGCATTTCTTGTCCTTTTGCGCAATCTCCCGTCGCAAAAGGGAACCCTGGCAAGATACCAAGCAAGCATGCAGTGATTAGGCCGTGCAGTCTCTCACAGTGTGTGACGAGGCGTCTGTTCGAGTGCTTCAAACCCACGATACAGCAGTCAACGGATCACTTAGTTTATGCACTTGCCTCTTCCTCCGCGTGCTGCGCAGCAACCTGCGCGAGGCCGCGCTGAGCCGCAACTTCGTACTGGTGCGCGGCGACCAGGCTAGCTCGGACCTGCTGCTGTACGTGCTGCGGACGCATGCCATCGACACCGTCATCAACCTCGCCGCGCAAACGCACGTGGATGCGTCCTTCCAGTGAGACCCTATTGTCAGCGGTGCAGGTCGTTGAAGGCTGAAATTGGATCACACCGGTCCCTCTGCAGCGATCCTGTCGAGACAAGAGATCTGTGACCCATCAGCTTCATGTTGCGTTCTCCTCTTTAGCGTCTTGCCATCCTCGTTGTCTCTACTTTGCTTCTTGCTTTGGGTCAGTGCAATTGCGCGACAGCAATGATCAATAGACGGCACCGATCAAAAATCTACTCTATCCGATCACTTCGTCCTTACTCTCTGCCATCCATGAATCTCCGCCCATCTTACTCCTTGTGAGGCGACCTCACCTTCGATTGCACATCTAAGAGTCTGGTTCGCGTCTGGTGCAGGAACGCCATCAGCTTCACTCAGGATAACGTCCTCGCAACGCACGTCTTGCTGGTGATGTGTCCCAATCTCCAGCATTCAAATCGTCATTCGGATCCTGAAATCAGAGACCACGCCTCCGTTAGCACAAATTTTGCTTGGCGAAGCTCACACTAAGCAAGATTGCTTGCTGTGTGACAACTTGAAGCGAACGCAGAGAAGGATGAACACGTCACTTTGTTGATGCACAGCGCCACGTTGCAGGAGGCTGTGCGGACGACCGGCACCGTCCGGCGCTTCCTCCACGTCAGCACCGACCAAGTCTACGAGCCGACGCCGCCCGAGAAAGAGGTGAAGCCAATCTCAAAAGACCCAGCAACGACCTGATTTCACTTGCTTTTCTTCTTCCGACTTGCTTCTGTGTGTTTCTTTCAAAGCAATTCCTTTTTGGATCTATTCATCGATCTGTCTTCCCTCAGCAAAATCTCGTCGGCAGTGCCTTTAAAGACTCGACTGGGACGCATCATGGCATCACAGCGAAACAGGTCGTTCGAAGTACCTGGTAAATGAACGGGCAGTGCAATTTCACCAGAACCCCCTTCTAATGGCGCAACTCCTAGTCCCTTCGATTAGCCCGTAGGTTCAGATTCATAAAGACAAAATTTCCTGACGCGTAGTCAATCGGTGACATCCCGTGTGTTCGTGTTTGCAGCACGGCCACTCGGAGGCCGCCCGGCTGCAGCCCATCAACCCTTACGCCGCGAGCAAGGCAGGAGCGGAGATGCTGGTCCTGGCGTACGGCACCGCCTACCACCTGCCCGTCGTCATCGTGCGCAGCAGGTGACACCTGGCGCCTGTCAAACCAAGCTCAAGCCAAACGCGATCGCAGTCGCAGTCGATGACAAACTGCTATCTTGTTATGTGCAATTGTAAGACGGGAGGTCAAATGGAACTTTTATTGAAAGGATGGTCTTCGCGGTGCGCAAGCGAACGAAGTCGAACTGTCCTCTCGAATCTGCTTCTGACCCCTTCTTTGATTGCAGAAAAATCCCGTCCCAGACTTCCGCAGGATCTCAAAAACTCCGGCTTTCTTTCTGCAGCAACGTGTTTGGTCCTCGCCAGTTCCCGGAAAAGGTGCTCTCCTCTCTCCTTCAGACTCTGAGCTGTGCGGGCATTCGCTTGAACACAAGCAACGAAGCGAAAATGCTGAGCTGTTCGCCGCAAACAAGGACGCAAATCACAGAAGTTCAACAAGCAAAACGCATGGGCTTGCAGTCCACTTTTCCGCGGCCTTCTGACACGCAATGCGATTTGAAGGACGTGAAAGAGAGAGCAGAGAAAAGCTTGGTGCACGGACTGAATCAGTCTCTTGAAACTCGTCGCGCTTTTATCTATTCAGCGACTCTTTAAGACACTATTCAATCCTCCGATTGCATTACCTTCGTCGGGCCACCCGCCTTGAAAGTCACCGTTTGCAAAGTCTCCATTGCTCTTCCGTGTCAAGTAATCATTTGTTGAGCAGCTTCCTCATGGGCCTCCAGCTCATTCCCAAATACCTGATGCGCGCGCTCGCGGGCCAGCCGTTGCCGATCCATGGGCGCGCGAGCGACTACGCGCGCTCCTTCCTCTACGTTGAGGACGCCGTAGGTATGTGCGCGCAGACATTCGCTGATTAGTAAAGATTGTATGGAGGAATTCGGAACGGATCTCCAGAAAGTTTCTGAGACAGATTCCTGTCGGGCGTCCTGGTTGAGTGTTTCAAAGTTCTCCAGTCGCGAGACGGCTTGTTGGAGGTGCCGCTTTCATCATGACCGAGTGGAATGAGACGTGCGTGATCGGGCGCCGGGAAAAGGACGTTTGCTTTCCTCACGAGAACCCACAATCACGAAAAGCAAAAGACATTACGAAGTCTATCCGCTCTGGACTGCCGCCGCCTACTACGTTTACCTTTATTGGGAGTACAGGTTTGCTTTTCAGACGGACAAACCCATAAGACGTCGCCGTTCGTGCAGCTGCTCTGGCAACGGTGCTGGCGCGCGGGGAGGAGGGCGAGGTGTACAACTGCGCGGGAACGGAGAGGACGGTCGCGCAAGTAGCGCAGGACGTGCGCGCGCTCGTCCGAATGGCCTCAGGGTCGAGCACTGCCGTGGACATCCAGGTGGGAGAAACGCGGCCATACAAACCTGGTTGACCTATCTACAACTCGCGTTGCCTTACCTGATATGCTCAGATGAATAGTGTCTTCCTCTTAGCTGCAGTCAAGACATATTTCTATTTTGTGAGCAACTTGAAGTTCTCGTCGGTGATGAGATCGAAGAGATCAGCTCCTCAGTGGTGAGCCTTTGCGCCACGAAAGACCTTCTGGTTCTTGGGGGAGAATGATCACGCGGCCGGGCTGAAAAAGCTCGCCTGGCAGCAGGTAACCTGCAACGGTTGTTTCTTGGGGGATCTTGGCTCCTTCGGCTAGGCGCTGAAGTCAATTGTTCGACTCCTTGCAGACGGTGGAGAACCGCCCTTTTGACGACGGCAGCTATCGGATCGACGATAGAAAGGTATGGCTGACGGGGGGCTGGCGTTGCCAGTCCGTCGGTGTTCGGCTTTAGATCCATCTGGCCGCACTGTTTCGAAAGAGGTTGGAGCCTTCAACACACTGCAACTTTGTGCTCGACAGCTCAGGATAAAGGTGATCTCATCCTTATTCCGAAGATTCTGAATGGTGACGCTGTTCTTTCGCCCTCATCTCCAACGCCTTCAAACTTTCTGAGCACATCTTTCTGCCCTGGTTCCGTTCTTGCCAGCTTCGGCAGCTGGGGTGGCGGCCCCGCGTGTCGTGGTGGGACGGTCTGCGCTCCAGCTTGGCCTGGTACCGCGACCACGGGCGCCAGCACTGGGGCAACATCGCACACGTCTTGGGTGCCAGCCACGAAACGGAGCCGCCAGCGTTACAGCCACCGGCCTCGTAGAACTAGCGATAGACCGTCAAACAGTGGCGGAGTTTCGTCCGCTTGCCTGCTCGAGGAGGACTCTTTCTAATGGAACGCAATGCGGATGTGGACAACGATGCCGATGTAGCTTGTTTTGGTGTATCATGGGCCGCGAAGGAGTGGCTCGCTTGCGCAAGAATATAAGCTGCCGCCTCGAATGTAACGGCCCGGTACAGTGCCAGTCACTGTTGCGTTTAGCCTCTCAAAATTCAAGTGTTGCAATCTCATCGCAACCTTCAATTGTCCCGATAGGTGACATAAACTACGATATAGAACCTACCTTTGCATTGCATGTAGAAAGGAAGGCAAGCCAATAAGTAATCATGCTCCACGTTGCCAAAACTCGCAAGCTATCCTTCATCCGCGCCTTGGCGCATGCTCAATCATGCGTGGATGTGCACGATCTGAGTAAGCAATCAGAGGCGCACGTTGCATGTTCATTGAAAAAGGTACGTGAACCGTCATGTGATCCGACGTTGATTGTCCCGTTCACATACTTCATATGCATTATACATGCACTCCGGCCAGCGAGCCACTGTGATCAAGTCGAGAGGCATCCATAATTGGTCGGCATGGTCTTTTGGATGCGAATGAAATGTGCAGACGTACCTCGAATCGAGTTTTTGTATCTATCTACTGCGTATGCACATATAATTCAAATGTGACGTCTATTAGTGAAACCGTGGCCATATTGTTGAGCCGGCCTTCCTTCAACCATGCATGTAATGACATTCGGAGCTTCAGATACTCATGATAGGTCAATCTCTTAAAGGCCTTTCTGAAAGGCCGGTCCACTAACACATAGTCAAAGAACGCAGAGCTGGTGTACATGATCATGCCGAAACAATGATCAAGTCGATCCGTTTGCACGTTCTTGCATGGTCAATTCAGGAGCAAGAAAGAAGACAGGGCTTGCACCAGGGATGGAGGCCAGACCTTCTGTTTTTGCACCCACTCAAGATCGTTGTACCTTGGGTCCAGGATAGTGGCTGCTGCAAACTGGTTTTCAGCCTGAGCGAATTGCTTCTTGTCATGGTATAACGTTGCAGCTAGTGCTGCATGTACTTCTGCCAGTGAAGAAAGAAACGTGTCAGACAAGGTAAGAGTTTTGAGGTCTTGCTCAGCAGAATTGTGAAAGAAAGGGGAGCAATTTGGAGTACAGCGTTTTGTCCGTGCTTGAAGACGGGAGCGGGCTGTACAAACACAGTCGAGATAGTGAACGGATCCGCTTTAAGCTCACCAGAAAGCATGCCAAGAGATATTTTCATGAAGAGGATGCAGTCAACGTCTTACAAACCCTCACCAGGAGATCCTTTCAACTCGAGGCTCATATCCTGCAATTCCAGAATCGCTTCTCCTTTGTCTCCGACCTGCATCCAATCAATAACGAGCGGCTTTCAGTGGCGTCGAATGTTAATTGGCCTCCATTCAGACTGCCTCATACGTCGATTGGCATGACTGTGAACCGTGAGCGCGCAAACCTCATATTCACTCTCACCTCGTAAAGGGCTAGAGCCCTGCCAACTCGAGCATAAGCTGCCAATGCCAGGTCGCTGTACTCAGCAACGATCTGCAAGAGGGCCAGGTCGAACTGAATGCCACATGATTTTGTGAAACGTATCTGGTTGCTGAATATAGGAAAAGCTTTATACTTGTACAGCAAATGAATGTAAAGAGTGGCTTACGAATTGACTCTTCTCGAGTTGGCACAAAGAGACTTCGCTTGCAGGCCATGGCCAGCGATAAGTGACAAGCGGAACGTTTGACGATGATGGACTGGAACATTTTGGATTTAGAGGAGCAGATGCGGCGGTGGTATGACTGCCTACCTTGGAGTACGTCTGCAATGCTTCTGACCACCTCCCAGCATCTGCTGCTTGCCGTGCATCGCTCAATAAGTTGACAGCGTTTGACGCCCGGCTCTCAAAAGCCGCAGCTGCAGCCCTGTCCCGTGTGTCTACGGGGTCATAAGCTCGCGCTGACGCTGTCACCTTATTCAATGATTGCTCAGCTCTAGACACTATTTGCAGGGAAGGCCCATTCTTGTCGACGATAGAGGTGGTGGTTGCAGCGTAGAGGGCGGTGGTGGCATCAAGGCCTTGTGCATTGCAAGGTGAGCTGAAGCAAACAGCTCCTAGAAGAAAAGCAAGCGCTTTCTGCGAATGCACCTTGGCCCTCCGGTCTGCCTGCTGAGCGCCCCTCGGTGTATGACTACCTTGCCCAGGAGGTGCGGCACTGCTTTTGTTTTGTGATACTGAAGTTGCAGACTGACCTGCATTACAAAGTTTTGACCCTGCCTGGAATGCTGACTTCCTGACAGTGCTTAAAGGCGCCGCTTCACAATGATGGCGCCAGCACCCGACTAGATTCTTTCTCAACTCTAACTTTTCCAAGTGGCACCATGTACGTTGACAAACTGAGCGGTCTGCATGCTGGCGGGGGCCAAACTTGGGCAGCATTGCTCCACCACTACCACATTGCAGAAGGCACCGTGTAATGCTTCGAGGACATGTCCTGCCTTGCTTCCTGATTGGCCTCAGCAGCAAGCCTGAATTTATTGGAAACAGGTCTAGGCACTGCATTGAACCTTTTTGAAGGCTCGGTTGGAAAGGCGCTCGGTGGAAGGAGACAGGTGGCGGCCCATGCTTCCTTGGAGTGGTGGCAGAGCTTATGTTGCAACTGGTGACAGCAAGCTCCCCTCTGATGCCCCCTCTGATGCCTTTGATGCTTTCGGCAAGGGCCCCCATTGGGCAAACAGACGGAAGCTTGCGTCCGGCCTTGAATCTTGATCAGCTGTGCTGCACAGCGACAGAAACTGATCGCCCTGGCAAAAGGGCATAAGGGCAAGGTGATTAGGCGCCGAAAGCAGGCGCTTATATAGGTATCTGAAATCCATGTCAACATCGTTCACACAATCTGTATATAAAAGTGCAGACTGGCGGTGCACAATGACTGCATAAGCCAAGGAGCAGTGCATATAAGGCAGGAATCTCTCACTGTCAGCTTGCCTCGAAGGCGGCTTGGCATATGCCCATGGGACCTCGCTAAACTTCAATGCTGTGCCCCATTGTCCAACGTCAGCACGATTTACCACCTTGCTCTTCCAGGGCAGCACTAGGTATACTGCGACTCGCAAGCTTTCTACCTATACAGATTACAATGCAGCTGCTCCGGACTGCCTGTTAGGAGCTGTTTAGGCAGTGGTGGGGCTTGGGTGCTGATGTTTGGTGCCCCCCTCCATGGCCGAAGTTTGGAGCCCCCCCCTGCATTCTTACAGAGATGCTTCAGATGAGTTTTCTGACGGTGATGGTGACTCTGAGGAGGGCGGGATGGCTGCCTTAGACCTTGAGGAGGAAGCATTAAGGCCCGTGCTGCGGCATGGGGAGTGCAAGCAAGTGAAGAAAGGGGAGGACTTGGTGCTTGTGGAGGAAGCGTTCAAGCTGGGCGGCAGGGACGTCAGCTGCTTCTGTGTAAGTCCTGTCCAACCACTGCTGAGTGGCGCTGGGGAACGTCCGGAAATGCGTCCTGGCAGTCAGGACTACTTCAATGGCAGCATTGGTAGCAATGCTGCCACCAGCAGCATACGCTTTGCTTGGGGAGAGATACAAAGTGTATAGGAGAGTGGCCTTGAAAGACTCTGTCAATGACCACCACTGGTGAATGCAATGTGGGCCTAGTGACCTGCCTTTTCTGTCCGTACATTGTCAGAGATGTATCAACGTGTTTCATCAAGGTCTTATCGCTCATTTCCAAAAGAAGCCACTCTCCTTCCCCCACTCCTAACTTACTTTTATCTTGCCCTCCACTAGTTGTTTGATGGCCATAATGGGCTGGGCGCTGCTGAGCTGGCGCGTGAGCGGCTGCTGGAGATGGTGCAACAACACTGTCCTGGAGGCGCCACTCAGGCAGACTTTTTGAACCAGCTGCCACGCGCCATGGCCCAGGCGTTTGAACAGTGTGATGCTAGCCTACCGCAAGGTGAGTCACGACCATGGGGGGTAACTGGTCATGTCACTTTCCTGGTTTGCTTGGTAATGTGCCATTATTTCAAATGGCGCTTGATCACTTGACACATTCATTTGAAGACTGTGACGGATGCTTCCAACTCATCATGCTGAAGACAAGGCCAAGCTTTGCAAAAGGCTTTTCAAACTGGTTACATTTCTTCTGCAGCCGCCCTAATTGTTTGTCAAACACTTTACCCCCCAGCCGACCAAACTTCTGTAGTCATGTCACCTTGGCCAAGGCAACCTTCCTGCTTTGCCAGTGAACTGTTTACTGGTGCCCTATCACAGGCGAGGCCTCTGGAACCACTGCCACTGTGGTGGTAATTGACGGGTGGACCGTCACTGTGGGCGGGGTTGGGGACTCGCGGGCGATCCTGGATTCTCAAAATGGCGGCATCGTGCCGCTGACAGTTGACCACCGCCTGGAGACGTCCATCGAGGAGTGAGCGACCCTTATTGCTGAGATGGACCCCGAAAGTTTCAGAGAGGATAGATGATCCTCTCGACAGCTCTACTAAGTGCTCCCCGGGTACGTTCCTGGATGTTAGCGGTCTTGGATTCTACTGGTCAGAGAGGCCAGTAGTGCTTACACAAATTGCAGGTCTTGACAAATTAAAGCGACCCTAGCTGTAAGTCTGTTCTGCAACTTACCTGGCTGCTTGTGTCCCCCCCAGGGTGAAGCGCGTCGAATCGGAGGGGTGCAGTGTGGGCCGGCTGAGAACCCGCGACGGCATCCAGGTGGGCCCACTGCGGTGCTGGCCGGGGGGGCTGTGCGTGACACGCTCCATTGGCGACAGGGACGTGGGGCCGTCCATTATTGCCGTCCCGCATGTGCGCCAGGTGGAGGTTCCGCGCTGCGGGGGTGAGCTGCACAGCTTCTCACACCTGCGTCTGCAGGCAGTTGCAATGAGTTTCCTTGATCAACGATATTCCCGTATGGTCCGAGATAACCCTTCAGAAGAGCAATGCCTCGTGCATAGGAATACTAAAAATGTTGAGCAACCAGCGGAAGCCTTCTGGTACAGCGGCAGCCCTTGACGATGGCTCCGATTGCAGGGGTAATATAAGAAGCTTATGACTCCATCGAAGACTGATGCCTTCGGTGACAGCATCTTTGCTTGTTTCCAGAAAGAAACTTGCAGCAGAGTGTCTTTCACAGTGAGCGGTCACAGATATTCGGTTTTGTTGGGAGGAGCACCCTTGGATCCAGTGTGGTAAAAGTGCACGTCATCGAACTTGTCCGCCCTGCAGCCAAGCTCCCAAGATGTCACCTTTGGAACGCTGAAAGTGCCAATTTCATAAAGAGAGCTGTGACGAGTTCATTTTTTGCGCGTCGCCGCAAGCCACTCGGAATCGAACTCCCATAGGATCTAGAAGTTGCCAGTTGTCCAAAATGCGATATGCTTCTTTGCTAGCCTGTTTAGTGGTGCCTTACACCGCTTCTCTCGCTCTCAGGACGGATAATCATTGCGTCAGATGGGCTATGGGATGCGATTGGTAACGACAAAGCAGCTCAAACATGTCGTGGCAAGCCGGCGCAAGAAGCAGCAAGACATCTGGTCAAAGTGAGTGGGGGAGGCTGTTGAATAGAAACAAAGCAAGCTCCCGCTCTGTATGCAGCTTCAAACACTTTTGAGGCCAGCATGCTGAGGACAAGTTTGAGTTCTTACTTCGCTTTGTGGTGCGGAAAAGTACTGGGGTGGGGCGGCAATCATCCAATCTGTGCGTTCTTAAATAGCTATCATCTGACGGCGACTGCGTTCTTCGGTCGTCGCGTGTAACAACGGGTTCTATCTCTGTTCTAATGGCGATCTATATGGCGACCACGTTCTAATGTAGGGCAGGTGCCGCTCCTGCAAGACGTGCTTGCCATCTGACGGATGCTTCCGGCCTTCTCGTGCAGAAAGCGATCGAGTCAAAGGGCCTGCGGGACGACATTACCTGTCTTGTCGTTGACCTGTTCCCTCCAGACGCTAACAACAGCGACACGCAAGGGCCCGTCCCTAGGATGCCTAAGTCCCGGAGTTTCCTCGGTTTTGTAAAGAAGCGCAGCCTGGGAAACGCCAGTAGCGGCTCGTTAGTGCAGTTGGGAAGTTCCCCCAACCTGTCTGTGTCACCCATACTTGATTTTCCAAACGTGTTGCAAGATCAGGACCTCATTCAACCAGACCCTACCGATGGTGAAAGGACAGGGGGATCCATCCATGGTCCAGGAACATTCTGCACGATTTGTGGCCGTCAGATGGTGGGGCTGCGCGAGAATCTAGCGGATGTGTCGGTTCGGGCGGGGTCCCAGTTCCGGTGTCCTGAGCACGAGTTAAGCAAACGGTAGCCGCCAGGCGAGACCTGACGAAGCAACGAGTTGATAGGTAACATTGGTAGGAAGGAGGACTTACAGTAGGACGATCGGTTTAGGACGGGCAACGCAAATACAGATCAAGGAGGTAGAGGAGAATGTCCAAATCAGAAGTGTCAAGGCTATGCTAATAGCTGTGGCCAACAAGGCAGGCCTGTCGTTTCGAGTTGACGACATATTATGCTGTCGACATATTATGCTGAAACTGGAAGGGCTCATTGGCCTATGTAGGTAGAGTCGAACCACGTGCAGCGCGCGCAAGCGCCAGGTTAGAAGTAGATTGCTTAAACGGTGAGTGACCGCTCTTAGATTTGAGCAGACTCCTCAATTGTGTTTTTGGGAGGGCTTGGATGTGTGCCCTCACAACCAATACGATCTGCATCAGACTCTTTTAGGTACAGGGGGAACTGCATTCAATACAACTCGTGACTTGCAGTGACTGTTCAGCTTTGTAGCGGCGGCACAATCCTGTGATGCCTGTGATCCTTGACCACTGCTTGCGATCACCATCTGAGACTGAGGGCCCGCAGATTCTGCAAATTCCATAGAAGGGTTGGTTTCTTTCAATGTCCGGAATGCGTTCATGGATGGTCGCTTAACACCTAAGTGAAGCTGCCAGGTCATGTGCGGGCGCTATACCTGTAAATAGAAAGCATGTTGGATGCTTATCACTTCGGAGTCAACCCCAGCAGAAGGCAACCATCTGGCCGGCCAGTCGGCTTCGTAGCATTGTCATTCAAACGTGCGACCTCCGGGATGATCGCAAGCCGCATCAGAACGAGTGTCTTTATGCCAGTCCAGACGGGCTGCAAGCACTGCGGCATCTGCAGGAGGCAGTTTACCGCCATAACGTACAGTAAAAGCCCATGCACTGCCGCTAAACTGCGCTCGTACCGTTCACAATCATCAAACGTACTATCAGGGCCGCCTCTGTACTCGGCAGAGCTTCATCCCTCAACGAAGACTCACACTCCAAAGCTCCATCTTAATAATTTGGACAATTAAGGGTGTCTCTTTCAGGCTGCGGCCCGGCAGGTTGGGTGGCATATCTCGTTTTGAGTACGAAACTTGTGGCTGCGAAGCTTTTGTGCACTTTTGAGGCCCCCAACGAGAGCCCTTCAGAGATAATACATCGTTGCACATTGGGTGCGCATCAATTAGTGCACTGTCTTCGACCTCTGTTCATAGACTCGTGACAGGCCTGCACCTGCACTCGACTGGTATCTCCAAGTGTACACCAAGTGAGATTGCCCAAAACGTGTCCAACTTCAGTCTGAAAACTTCCAATCGTTATATACTTTACAAACTGGACGTAAAACCCTGTCTTCCGTGGTTAGTGCAAGTGAACCCTTGTGTATGTACATTGACCTTCCATGCTTGACTCTTGCATGTCTTACAACTTAGTACTAGCTGTTCTGGACCAACAGCTATGCTTGACTACTCGATTAAAGTAAACACAAGGGGCGCCTCCCTGACACCTGACCTTGCACATCTGGTGATGTATGGGCGCGTCCCATTCAGATGCTTGGTTGGGGGGCGTTTAATACACTGCTCTGGGCTGCTGCAAGTTATGGTGCACACGCCGCGGCATCATGTTGCACCGCAGGGGCTGCTCACGACTGGCCTGCACCATACGCAGTGATATCATCCTTCTAAGACGTGCACTTCATGTCCTCCCAACTGGTCCTTTCTCCAAATAAAGCACACCTTATTGGCCTAATTTGATGCAATTTGCAACCATGAAAACCACTCAATTCGGGCTTGCAATGCAGAATGAACACGCAGATCGACTTCTCCTACATAGAACCAGGATGCACCTCTTCTTGAAAAGCATACCAAATCATTTCGTCTCACATGATACGAAAGTAGGATCTGTGCAGGACCCTCAATTTGAAAGAATGGAGCTAGCTTCCTTGAATCCTCCTTACTAATCCACATTCTAAAGAATTGAAAAGGACACGTGATATGCAGTGCTGAGGCCGGGTCAATGTGCAGCAGAACTGTACCTTACCTTGGGTTTCCTCTCAAATTCGCCCCCCATCCGCTGCCCTCCCAGATGGTGCAGCAGAGCTTCTGAACCAAAGAGAAGATAATGAGTAGTTACGTTGCTGGTCAGCAAGGGGCACAAATTGGGGAGATTAAACTTCTAATCACGACTTGCTTTTCCAGAATCAGGACTTCCTGACGCAACAGTCTAATAGCAAAGCAGACAGAGATGCTCAAAGGGACTTTTCATTCGTCTGGCACATCGACATGTCTTGTGGGGGCAAATACAGTGGCGACTCTCTTGAAGCACAAACCACCTAACCTATCCCGCCAACCAAGAATGTAATGACCATCTGCAGTAGTGGTTCTAAGAATATCAAGACCTTCCCAAAAGAACCTCTGTTCTTGAAACAAGTGATCTGGTTTTCAGAGCCAATCTGTTGCACTTTCACAGTGTTCTCAGTCCTCACCCCTCTCCGCCTTGGTTGTTTGCTCTGCCGATGGCTGGGCCTTCTCTGCTGTATCTTCAGCGGCATCAAACAGCGATGTGTGGCACAGCCCCCGAAGGTCCACCCTGGCATTGACACAACATGGCATGTTTATCAGCCTGGCAGTGCTGGCCAAGTAGTCAGCTCCATCAGCTAGCTCAGCAGCTACATAAGAAACAAAGAAGAGAAAGCGCAGCATTTCAAGTGCCCCTGACTTAGACTATGCAAGAAGGTTTCGAATGGCACATTCATATTTAGACCAAATGTAAGCCAAACCTGGCACAAAGACTCGTGTTGAATGTGGCAAGACAGAGGTGAATGCGCTGCTCACCACATTGGCGATGCAGGCAGCTCCAAATCGCAGACGGCGTCCTCATGGACGTAGATAATCTGCGCCGCCTCAAAGGAGGGCAGCCGGTCAAATCGAGGAGCCATGATTGTGGGTAGTATCAACGGTCCTTGCAGCTGGAAGATCAGCTTTTTGCAAACAAATGTCGCAGATGAGAGAATGCGAACACAATGGAAAGGTCAAGCGCAAATGCTAGGAAAGATGAGGTGGGTCAGAGCTTCAGCTTTCCAATTGTGTTCTGCGTTTGTCAAAACGGCGACTTCCTCGAGTTCCTCGAGCAGCAGCTGAGCTGTGGATCGCAATGCCGTGATCCCCTTCTGAGGCTTCTCCATCTCCAAAGCGTGCACCAGCATGGCACGAAGCACCACTGTGTTCGGATCGACATGAAATCCCAGTTTCTGATTGGTCCGACTTCCAAAGCACATGTGCTGACTTGGCTCGAAAATCTTGAACCATCGATGGGACTCCATCCACGGCCCAAAGTCGCTTCTTGTGACGTCAACAAAGATATTGAGTTGGCCTCAAGCCGGCTACACGCTCGTCGGTGTCAGCTCACGTGCGTGCCGCGCAGTGCGTTGGCACGCACGTGAGCTGGCACACTCATGAGTTGGCATCATTGACCGGCTGGCCGGGCGGCCTACTCAAGCTCGCCCGGACAGTCATGGTTTGCTTCAGGCTTGGCCTCCGCTTGGCAGGGTTTATACCTACTTCATTGAAGAGCTAGCACTGAGGCCACGCTCCGAACGAATGTCGTTCAAGGATACTACTACCGTACTGGCCAACCCCATTCGCACCAAAAATATTTATATTCAGCCCAGTGCGGATAAATTCGGATATTCTCGAAGGCCTGGTGCGAACTCGCGAAACTAGAAAGTAATTCGGTGAAACAGATTCTCCGCCAGATTGGCTGGGGAATGGCCTTTTTAGCACATATAACGCCCCCGCTGCGAAAACCTGAAAACTGTCAAACGCCCGGTGCGAAATCAAAAAGTCGAAAAAATAATTATTCGTAAGGGGGTTGTGCGAATGGGGTTGGCCAGTACGGTAGAATAGGTAGATTGTGTAATATATATAGACTCCTCTCGTCCACAAGCAACCAATAATAACAATATCAATGATATAACAATATTATATAACCTAGGGTGGGTATCGACGGTATCGATCGCGCGACGATTGAGTCACGAATTTGATTCACCGGTGTCACGCGTCGCGACGAATTTTGTACGCGGTACTTACGAATGTACTCGGCGGTACTTGAGAATCCGGTCGGAGTTCATGAATTGGAATTTTTCTGACACGTCGGCCGACTGACACATGCGTAAAATTCGGTGGTACGGTACCGTCGCGCGTGGATCGAGTCTGCGGGTCCCGAGAATTCAAATTTTATGGTCTCGGTCGGGAGTTCCGACTTGGACCACGGAAGAGTACCGCGGTACCTAGGCTGAAAGAGAAGTGCAGAGACTCGAAAGAGAAGTGTAACAGAAGGCGCTTTTTGAAAACCAACAATGGCGGCCAACTTTGCGCCTCGTATGCTCTTTCTTCAGATTTGTCCTCAACAAAACAAACACTTGGGGCTTCAAACAACACCTAGTGACGCTCTCACAACATCTTTTTATGCTTGTCAAAGGATCCTACATGCTGCATAAGCCTCACCTGTGTGCGCTATTTTGTTGCTTCTTTGAAAGTGTAAATCATAACACTATCTTACGATTCTATCACACTGCGTCACGGCCGAGCGGAAAATTCAAAGTACTTGTACCGTTCGTGTTACGCAAATGTTACTCGGCGTAACGCGAACCGCCAGTACTACTGACGAAATTTGATTCGCCGAGTCACAATATCGTCGCGAATCGAGTCAGAATCGACTCGGCCGGTACCCACCCTAGGTAGCTTGTGTCGCTTCAAACACGCAATTGATAATGTCAAGAGGTCTCGGTACTCAATCCTCTTTTTAACATATATCTATAATGCGGCTGCAAGTGTTGTGACATGTTCCAATGAGAACATAAATACATATACGTAATGTCACCCGTCAGACTCGTAGTGCAACGAAAGCTTTCCAGAAGCTTCGGGGGAGAGGCTTGAGTCTCACAAGCATGCAATAGGGCAACGGCGGGTTCCTGTACCATGCAACCTCCTAACCAACATTGCAGAATTGGCAATGGCAACAATGTTCAGGGCCTTGCAGAAATCTCACTGGTCTCGCGCGCACATGAGGTCGTCAAACCGAGGTCAAGCCCCGAAAGCGAGCCTCGTCGGAGCAGCCCAGGCAAGAAAGCATGAAAACCGTCGTGTACTCAAAAAGGCCAGTGTAATTTTCGACCGAGCAACATGCAACCGTGCCTCCAGGGCCGTGACAAGCGTCGTCCTTGGATAAGAACAAGGCCAAATCGAGGAATCGAATCGGGAGGAGATAGGGACACCAATGAAGATCCTTGTTTCGACTTCCATTACTTAGGCAGTATCTTCAAGCTCAATCGAAGGTGGCACTTGTTGTCTCGTGACTTGTCTTCGACACATTCAAGTTCGTTTCAACTTGCAGGCTCACTGAGCACGATCAGAGTCCGCTATGTTAGTTGCGCTTGCACTTTCAAGACTCGTTACCTTCTCGGTGGAAGTCCTTCAGCCGCGGCTGTACATATTCTATTGCTTCTAATGCAGGCAGTTAACAAATCAATCACGTGTGTTTGCCGCTGAGACCGTTCTTTACCTCTATTCTCTGTGGCGAAGCTGCAGAACCTTGTTTGCTTGTGAGAGGTTTCTCGACTGTTGACCCAAGCAGTTGATCTACACCCTCTCTGTCGTTTTTCTTTTCAATGGGGGCCCCACCGGATTCATCTCGGAGACTCGACTCCGCAAGCGAGGCAGCGATTGCTGCCATGAGCATCTCTTCCTCTGTGTGCGACGAGGAAGGCAGAGGAGCAAAGTCCTCACCCATCGACTGCAAGGATAAGACAGCGACCTTGCCGTCAGGACAAGGGCAGGCTTCAAAACAGGAATCCCTTCGCACCTTTATGCAGCATGTGGTCGATTCAAAGCACACATTTAGAAATGGCCGCACCCTTTCAGCCCCTACACTTCAATAGGGACATTACCGAGAGGCAAATGTTGGGAGCAAAGGAACGGTTTCCTCTTTTATCCTTTCTACATCGGCACGGTTCTTGTCCCTGGTGATTGGCCCCCATTCGTTGGGAGCGCCCAAACTCGTCATTGACGCTTAACATCCCGCTGTGGACAGGCGTCTGAGATTGGACTCCGGCTCCAATACCTTGAGCCCAGTTGTCGGGCGTTTGGCATCTAGGTAACAACCAAACTTGGCAGCCATTTCGTACAGCGGAATTCACAACCCACGACACTAAAGGGATATCTTGCCAACTATATCGGACAATCCTCAAGCGGGGCGTCTAGCCCACCTGTCGCCGGAGGAACTCGGACATCTCCGGGTCGTCATCCCAGAGCGCGTCCTGCGCGGTCGCCGCGTTGGGGAGCACGGTCTGCGTCATCTGCCACCGCCGGCCCGACTGGTGCAGCACGTCCTCCGACGGCGCCGCCGCCTCGTCCGGCGTGGCAGCCACCTCTAGTTCTTTCAGCTGGCTTACTGTGGCGGGGTCCTCGTACTGGGGGTGCGCGCCGGGGTGGGCCATCAGCTCGTACAGCAGCGATTGCTGCAGCGGAAAAGGATGCGGAAGAATGATGAAAGGTGCCCGCTTCCGAGAGGCCCGACACGGGTAGCAAGGGGTGAAAGACCGGACCTGGCTGGTCGGAGGACTGCAGGGTCCTCGTAAACGGCAATCGAGAACGACAAACGTTCGAAAAGCGGTTCGCAGAATGCAGGATGTCTAGCGGGAGTTGTACCCAGGGAAATTCTCGTTGAAAACAGGAGCGAGAAGAGGAGAGTGTGCGGGGAGCGAACCTGCTCGGGGGAGATGTCCTCGGGCGCCCCGTCATCGACAAAGTCTGCGACGGCCGCGCCGGGGAGGTCGGGCGGCTGCAGCACATTGATGAAGAAGATGCTGATGCTGTCGTAGTAGAAGCGGGGGCGCGCCGAGTTGTGGTCGCCCTCGAACTCGATGATGTTCTTGTCGCCCTGAACGGAGAAAGAGGCACCAGAGAGTCAGCGAGCGAAAACAGCAAATTTGAGCCAACCATGACCTTGGGCCTTCAAGCCTTCTAATTTGGCAAGGATGTCACGGGAATGAGCTGAGACGGTCTGCATCTTCGGCCTGGGGTTCGCAGGGAGTAAGAGAAAGACTGCATAAGCGCATTCGCCTTTCAATCAATCATAGAAAATTAGGGATCGGACCAATACTTCATGGGTCAAGATCCACGCTCCTCTTCAACCACAGCACGATACATCATAAATCACGAAAAGCTGACCGATTCTACAACATTGTCATGTCAGAACACTCGGGCCAAGACTCGTCTGGCGCCCATAACAAGGCCGGTGACGAAGCAGATCAGAATCTGATTCCCTCACATACAAACAGCAATCAATGGCGGATACGGAAAAAGTAGGGCGGGCTCACCGCATATTCTTTGTAAATGTCCTGTGAGTGGTGTGGCGGGATGAACATGTCCCCCCGGGCATGCCCGAACAGCACGGGGATGAACGTGCTGGGGGCGCTCTGCAACAAGAAGAGGCACGGGTAGCGCATCAGATTGGGCACGTAAATACCGTTCCGAATCTTTATGTAAGTCTCGATCTCCAGCTTCTATAGAATGTGTGCTTTTAAAAACGTGCAGGCTGTGGCAGCACACATCGATCCACAGAAAGACAAGCAGACCTAAGGTCTTCGCCATGTTCCAGGCTTCGACCTCTGGAACTCAAGGCACGACACCGACCTCAACCTCGAAATGCAATTGCCAGAATTTGAATCGTGGGTGTGGCGGGGGTCACCTTGAGGACGTCGAGCTCCGTGATGTCAAATGCCGCCTTCTTTTGAATGAGCTTGCGCATGTACTGCAGCGCCATCTTGACCATGGAGCGCGGCACGCGGATGCGGTACGTCCCCGTCAGCTCCAGCATCAGGTCGTGCAACCGCGAGAACGGGCTGTCCACCACCATGCCTGCGATGCTCGGGTCGCCCGCCCCATACTGCAAACTGCACCACAGCGAGGCACCGTCTCAGCACACAGCCAGCAAGTGAAGGACTATTCTGAGAATCAAAAGAATGACTTCAGCAAGTACAGATTGAAAGCTTCGTTTGTGGCCGCACACAACAGGACTGAGTTGTAGCTAATCAAAAAATATTTTCACTAGAACAAGCAGCAACAAGCAAGATGATTCGACACTCAAGCGATACGCGCCAAAACGAACTCGTTAAGTAATGCACGAGTTCGCCAAAACGACAGACTTGACCAGCTTAAAGAGAGAGACAAATGATCATTGTGATACCAAGCAATGAGCAGCTGCAAGAGGGGGCTGTGCCAGCTGACCAGGTATGGGCGCCCATCGAGCGTCCCCAGAGGCCAATCTTGGAGGTCTTGCCCTCAAGGCGCAGGTACTCAACCACAGCCTTGAGGTCCTCCTTTTCATAGTAGCCCAGGCTCACATACTCGCCCTCCGACAGACCCGAGCCCGAGAAGTCATATGCAAACACTGTGATGTTGGAGGGAAGGAGCATGCACACAGCCTCGTTGGCATCACAGCGGCAGCCACTGCATCCGAAGAAGGAAATACTGATTGAGCGACAGCATCGGATCCGATCGGTGTGGTGAGCTGAGGACAGGCCCCATCGAAAACTCTAAACTTTGAACAAACCTCACGTAATCGACACTCACGAACCCACACACGATCGAAAAGCACAGAGCAGGGGGCCTCAAACCAAGGCTCAAAGAATGCAAAGAGTTTCACATTCCAGCTGCAAAGAAAGCCATGGCCCCAACCGAGCTCCTTTGTCACCTGTTGCCATGGTTATAGATGACGCACGGCAGCTGGACTCCTTCTGGAACAGAGTAAGGGCGGTAGAAGCTGCACATCAGGAGGTGCCCTCGCGCGTTTACAATGCTCAGGTCATCCCTTCGGAAGCGCCGCCCCCGGATGGCAAAATGCGGCCCAAGCAGGTCTTCCAGGGGCTCATACTGTGCTCTGCACACACCAGGGGGTAAGCTGTGATCAGGGGGAGCCCTCACTTTGAGCCTCACTTTAGGAGAGCTGGATTGACGGGATCTCCACTGGGCGTTTTTAGAGGCAGCCAGGCTTGCAGCACCATCCACTGCAAGAGGCAAAACTTGAACAAAGCCTGTGTCAGAATTCAAGTCAAAAGTATGGACTGTCGTATTGAGCATGCCAGTCCAAGGAACGCATTGAAGAGAGCCATTCTCGTGGACAGCACAATGGAGTGGTTCTGGTCACACTGTCTCCATTCGATAATGTGATTGATCTCTTCTTGTTGAAGGTCCCTGTAAGGCCAGGTACAAATAACAATGCATATCAGCCCTCGCTTTCGGAGGGCAATCAACCTGCACTGATGAGCGCAGCATAAGCATGACGTGGATCAAAAGCTCACCTCGGCGGCCTGATCACAAAGTTCACCAATTGGTCCATTGCTTTTGGCCGCTTGGGCCACAGGTTTTTACTCCACCAGCGGGGGCGAGCCGTTGTATACGGGACCTACTGGAAAGAATGCCCTGCACACCGTCTGCTCAGGGCCCGCGCCAGGCTTGCCGAAACCCTTCTCAACATAAAATCAACGAGAGGTTGAGATGGTCTGGATACTGCCACTCCTTAGGTTGCCCTTGAATAGGATGCGCAGAAAAGGGGGGCCGCTAGCACGATTGCTTTCGACGATTACTGGTCTTGTGAAGGGCTGGCAGTGGCAGGAAGCGACCAGCAAGTAAGCTTCCCACGAATCTGGGCAATCAAGTAGACTGGTTATGCAATGGTCCCTCCCCTGACGCCATGCCAGACGGCCCGGCACAAGGAGCAATGCAGTCGTCCCTTTCTTCAAGTTCTTGTTTATTTTGCAGCACCATACCAAAATGTCGGCAGCTCAATTCCGTACCTTGCATTCCTGAGAACTTATAAAATTCAAATCACCTAGATATACAGTCGTCTTTTGTTCGGAAAGCGATAAAAACCGTCATTTCATTTATCATATTGCACAAATGACGGTCCTTGCCTATGTCATATACTTTGACCAGTTTATCAAATACGCCGAGAGCACACAAAATTAGGGTTTGAGAGGGTAGTACACAGTGCATTGTACCTAGCTAGGCTATTGCCAGTATTAGAACGATGCTCTCCACCTCTGGGCGCCAGGTTGGTGGCTGCCTACAACACTGCCAACAACTCAGAGGTCTCAAGGATGCTTCAAGGCTTCAGTTTGGGCAGAATTGCAGCACACATGGTCTAGGAAGTTGGCTGTCTCAATCAGCTGCAAGGGTTTCCATCAGAAAGCTTGGCCAACGGAGCTGGGCATCTCCATTCCCAACCAAGTTAGAAGGGCAGGACTCCATAATTCATCCATGCCGCATTCACACGCAAGCACGGGGCAATGGACCTAGGAATGCTGTTCCCCCCTTGCAACTTAGCAGCTGCGATGCGCTTAAGTGGGGAAGCAGGCGTCAGCAGCATGCTGTGATGCATTCTCCAATCCAGAAAGGCCAATGCTGTAAGTCAATGATGCTACTGCTCTCTATGTCATGCGATCCCCTGTAGAGTGTCCTACACCATCCCCAATCCCTTGCTGATGATGATGAGAGTGGCATTTCAGTTTCCTTGTTCACGGCCAGCTTGAAATTTACAGGCCACCTTGCCACCATTGGCCCGGTGACTCTTCCGCCCTTATGTGCGCAGCTGTCAGTGACTACCACCCATGTGCACAAACTGTCAGCGAAGTGCAAGACCTGGATGGACTGCGACACGTCGCAGATGACTACAAGGTGCATTGCATCAACCCATTCTCCACGATATTTGCTCGAGTAGCTGTATGCTTGGCAGGGGGCACCGAGCAATTCCTCAACAAGCTGCTTTGTATGTTGTGACTTCAGACCTGAGGGACTGAAACTAAAGAGTTCTAGAGTTTCGTTCCGTGCACAGACTTCCACCCCTTACAAGCTTCGCTTTGGCCGGTTGAAGAGGCTAGAAACTAGATGTATCAAGTTAGAGGTGGATTGACACCAAGCAACAATTATGATGTCTGAGCTTTTGGGGATGCAGGTGTGGCTGCTCGATCAGTTTGGTGTCCTTCACGATGGCCGCAAAGCATACCCTGGGACAGTAGATGCAGGTAAGGCCACCCCTTTGGCCGTCACCCTCCAATCAGATCGACTGTTCCGGGGCATATATCTGGGACCAACCTTAGGCAATGCCCGCTGTTGTGTGCCCCACTACTTCCAAGTTTGCAACTGGCCCCCCGATTCAACCTGCTCATGTCGTCAAAGCTGCTGAAATTGTGACGGCCCACCAGCACTGGTCCTGCAGTAACTCTTGCGAGATCTCGCAGATTCTGTAGGATCACTATTGCTAGGGCTCCAGGGATGCATTCCTACTACGTTTTTCTGCGACCACTTCAACTAGCAGATCTTCTCCCTCAGACTGGCCGTCATCGTACCAAGAAGGGATAATTATATTTCTCTTCAGTGAGGCAGCTTGCGGAGCGAGGCGCCCAGCTGCTGATCATTAGCAACTCCTCCAAGCGTGCCAGCGTGACCATCAGCAAACTGGGACCCCTGGGGTTTGACCCCGCCTGGTTTGTGGGGGCCATCACCAGCGGCGAGCTCACACACAAGTACCTCAAAGAGTGAGCGCCAATGTGGCTGCCGTTCCTTGTGCTGAAGTCATTGCTTATATTCCCCCTGACTTGGGGACCGAGGACGTCTGCTTTTGTTCATGTAAGCGCCAAGGTCGAGTCGTCCATCTGGCAATCGTTACGAGTGCGTTCCTGTTGACAGTGATTTCGTCTCCTTCTGACTTGGCAAGCAAGGACGTCTGCTTTCATCTGTCCGTGCGCCAGGTTCGATTCGAGTCACTTACCTGCCCATCATTCATTCTACTTTGCACCGCGTGTTAATACCGACAGCTTCTGAGGCCGTTTCCTCGTGCCTCTGTGCAGGCGCACAGACCCGTTCTTCGCCTCCCTGGGCCACAAGTGCGTGCACTTCACCTGGAGTGCGAGGCAGGCGGTCTCCACTCACGGCCTCGGCCTGACGGTCGTCCAACACCCTGAGGACGCGGACTTCATTCTCGCGCATGGCTCCGAAGCCATTGGTGTAGCAGGGCCGCGGGCAGGGGGGGAGAACGACCTGGATCCCCCAGCCACGCCAGCCCCCCTGAGTGTGATGGAGGATGTCATGAAGCGTGCGGTGCAGAAAGCCATCCCCATGATAGTTGCAAATCCGGACGAGGTCACAGTGGACGGCCGAGACCTCGCGATAATGCCAGGTGAGTGGTAGAAGCTGTCCTCTGCCCAACTGTTGGCGCTCTTCTGCATGGCACGATCAGCGGTCATGGATGAGAAAGACGGCACTGTGTGCGGACATCACCAGACGTACGAGAGAATAGTAGGGAGTACTTCTGACCGTTGGATTGCTTCTTTCTTTGTGCAGGCACTCTGGGAAAGATGTACGAGAGAATGGGGGGTCATGTTCAGTGGATGGGAAAGCCAGACCCGGTGAGAACCACCGACTCAATGGAGCAAATGTGGATGATTGAACCGTATGTACAGTATCCAATGACTGACAACTTAGGGAACCATGAACGAACGCGAGAGGCCAAAAAGGACACAAAGATCCCGCTCCCTCGGTCGCCTCTAATTAAAAGCCTCGACGATTTCAGCCACTTAGCACATCCCGGCCAATAAATCAGTACGACGGTGTCCTCTGTCGAGGTGTTCTCAGCTGGCGGCTCCTTGTTCGATTTAGAGCGCCGCTCAGAGTGGTGACCCGAGCCGAACGGATTGTTGTACAGGTCATTTACCAAGCCGCTGGTGACATGCTGGGGGCCGATCTAAGGAGCGTGGTGGCGGTGGGCGACTCGCTGCACCACGACATCGGGGGAGCAGCAGCGGCTGGTAAGGATGTCGAGCTTTTCTTGCTGTGACGTTGCGCATTAATGTCCTGATTGGAAAGAAGAGATGGTTGTCTATGTGAACAGACATCTGCGAGCTAGCGGGTCCGCAATGATGCAGTCGATCCTTTCTTCCGTTCACCAACTTTTTTTGGCGGCGCTCCGTGCAGGAGTTGACTCGATCTTTGTGGCCGGTGGCATACATGCGGCAGATCTAGGAGTTGATGCCTTCGGAGGAAAGCCAGAGCCTTCGAGACTCGTTGCGTTGATTAGAGAAAAGGATGCACGGACACCAAAATTTTGTCTGCCCTTGTTCAACTGGTGAGCTGAAACACTTTATAACGTGGGATCGATGCATCTGGCCGTGTTTAAAACGTAAAGACGTGTTGATAGCTTCTTATGTGCTTGTTGCTTGCCGATTCTTATGACCTATGTTGGCAGCCCGTCGACCGTCAGAAAAGGGTTCTGCTTCAGCCCTTGTTCGGGGCCAGCTACTATGGATTAGCTAATCTCGGAAGGTGGACCGAACCTATTCAATATATCGCCGGCCTCAGTACTTCTGACGCCAATGCATAGCTCAGTGCGTGGAGTGACGGGAAAGCGCGCATGTCGCCGCTCATGGGCCAAGCATGATGCCATCTGGCTGATTGTTTGTCAGTGTGCCACACGCGGTGGTTCTTGGAGCCTCAGCTTAGGCCCGGCACTTCTCTGCATATAAGAACAGGTATGATACTTCTCGAGTCGTGCAGGTGCAAATCGTTCTGAAGTGCGCGGCTGGCCCGAGCTCATGCATGATATACATGCGGCTCATGTATATGAAACTTGGTCTCGCACATGCCTGCGTATTGCAATCCGAGCACGGGCGTGCCACGACACGTTGTTGCATGCATATACTATCTCTTGTAATCGACCGACATTAATCGGTTGCGGCACGCATGTAAAAAAGCGAATAGAGCCAGGTACGCCGCGGCCAGCGGAGCGTCAGGCGAGGACATATCCATATCGATCGGCGCAGTGCGAGTCGCGACACAATCAGCAATCTTACATCTACTTCAAGCTTTCCAACTTCAAGTACACAAGATCTTCAAAGATGCCAATGATGTCCATCCGTTAGAAGCCTGCTCCTGCAGCGCTCAGGAACTGCATGGGCCATATGTCAAACGAAGAGAACCAACAACTGCAGTCAATAATTGCTCAATGTCATCAACGCTCTGTGTCATCAACACGCACTTCTTCAAGGAGGCGGTTCGATCAGTGATTACTCTCAAGGAGGGAATTAGAGCGAACCCCCTGGTTCACTCGCTGCCAAACCGCCCGGGCTGCGAACGCAACTCGGAGAAAGGGTTGGGGTTATCGGCCAATCCCGTGCCGGCCGCAAGAAGGGCGAGGCCCGTCCACGTGCTCGCTGCGGAGTGGGGCCAGTTGAAGTAGGACCAGCCCAGGCCGGCGCCCGTCCAGCACTCCGCGGCAGGAGTGGCCACCACGCCCAGGCCGTCGGTGCCGGGAGCGCGCCGGATCTGCACAATGGATCGAGGATTGATTTCGAACCTCGACATGAAATGAGCGGCTTGAAGACGTGGAGTACCAAGAGCTCGAGGTTTTGAAAGCAATTCGGTTCTGCAAAGAAAGCGGACTCTGTTTCTAGGAACTCTAGAGTCGTAATTCCTGTTGCCCCTAGGTGGAAGTGGTCATCGGCTGGAACCCTGTCAAGCAACACCGATAATCTCCATTCGCTTCGTCCCACTCCTACATCCATGCTTGTTGAAACTCCTGCATTGGATCCCTCTTGTCCATTTCAACTTCCATCATTGGTCCAATTGGGTTTAGATACCGGCATTGCCGCACGAGAGCACTCGAAGCAACTTCCCTCGTCCTCGGATTCCCGTACGTCCCAACTCGTTTTCGCTGCCATAACTTGAGAGCCATCCGACCCCTCCTCACCTGGTCCTGCAAGCTGGCCAGCAGGGCCCGCCCCTCGCTCCAGCCCGCCTCCCCCAGCGCGAGCGCCGCCCCCGCCGTGTTCTCGTTCTGCACCTCCCGACCCGTGGAGCTAAACCGCATGCCCACGAAGTCGCCACTTGTCGTCTGGTGATTGGCCACCACGTACCTGAGGCACGCGTTGCGGACGTCTAGCGCGATGCCGCTAAGAGCGGTCCACGTCTGGCAGTCCGTTGGGATGACGTCCTCGTTCAAAACGGGGCCCACGCCCGTCCCGGTGCAAAAGTGGGCGGTGCCGTCAGGGCCGTCGATGAAGCATCGCCGCACCAGGGCCTGCGGAAGAAAGCAGGGACGGTATTCCAGTTGGTCAAAAAAATAATCGCTGTCATCGTTGGGTGACAGTACGAGGCTTAAGCCTAGGTCAACCGCCTACTATGGAGCATCCCGGAGAAGGCGTCCTAATCTTTTGTTCACTTCAGTCATCGCGATCGCTATTGACAGTCAGCGGGTCGTGAACACGCCGATTGTCCGAAGCCCCCTCTGGTTCAGATAATAAACTTCAATGGCACCGAGACTCAACGGCTGCAAACGTTCAGTAACTGCGATAAGCAAGTGGGAACCTCGAAGGAATCTAGGAGCGCATCAGTGTCCTTTGGACGAGGCTTGCTGTTGCTTGGATTCTAGAGCGAGGAGTCTGGGATCTGAAGACTAACTGTCCAGCCTGGTTTGGGGGTCAGTACAATAGTTTCGACCAGCTTGTCAAAAGCGAAGACGTCTCGTTGAGGTAGCCCAGTCACCTGCGCTGCCAGCATGTGCTCCTCCCAGCGCGCCTCCCCCGTGACCTGGCGCAGCAGACGAAAGAGAGCAAAGGCGTCCGTGTTGTGCTCAACGGAGCGCCACGGCCGCTTGGCGCCGCCCTCCTCATAGCCCCCACTGAAGCCGCCCCACTCGTCCGCCACCTGCACGGAAGGATACTCAATTGTTCTTTTCCTTTTCCCCCCGCCGCAGCGAGGATGGTGGGCATGCCCCTACCGGTCGAAGTTCCTTCAGGAAGCCATACCGACCATATGATTTGATGCTTCGTAGACGATCAAGGGATATCCGATCCGTTCACCAAGAGAGCAAAACGATGAATGCTCCTCCGTGACCAGAATGATCGAGCCAGCTGGTTTGGAGACAAAGTATTTGCACTCAGTGTCAACAGAAGGACTTGGCTGACAACGAACGAAACAAAAACATCTGTCTGACGAGTCCAGACTATCTCATTGGTTACTTAAGTGAAGCCATGACAAAGATCACCACTGCTCCTTTTTTAATTTTCAAAGATTAGAGCTGTTAACTACCAAGTGTTGCAGCAATCAAGACAGTGTGGTGCATCTATTGGTCTGCCGCCTCACTGCAGTATGTTTGACCACCCAGTCTCCAATCGTGCGCGCCCCGTGCAGGTAGTGTGCACGCCCTGTGTAGTGGAACGCTCTGGCCATGGCAATGGCAGCCCAGCACATGTTGCCTGTGTCCGAAAGGCCTGCCCCGGGAAAGATGGTCGTGCTGAAGTCGCCACCTTGCCTGCACTCGATTCAAGAAGGTCTCATGCTTTAGGTGGTGGCCTCAAGTAGGGGCCTCTCAGCAGTGAAGGAAAGGCCACGACTGAGGCAGGCACCATTGCGCCAACAAATTGGCTAAAGGGTTGTCTTATCACGATGGACTACCTTAAGCTTGGTGGGTTTGGCCTTTAGCCCATCCTTCATTAAAAGAAGAGTCTGCCACCTGCTTTAGGTGCTGAAAGCTGATGCGACTATTTGAATGCGAGAAACATAAAAGGAGGTGCCAAACCTAATTTGAAATTGCCTTAGTCAGAAGCAATGATTTCGCAATATCCCGTTCGTTTCTGGGCGATGCAGCAAGGAGTACATACCCCAGGAGTGAATTGGCCCATGTTGCTGCCACAATGCGCCCATCTCCGACAGGGTCATGCATCATGGCGGCATACAGACCGTCCACCAGATTCGTTGCAAGCGCCACCTGCTTCCTGCAGAGGAAGAGGGATCAAGGTTTGACACCCAGCTATCAGAGTTAATTGGAAAATGTTGCTGGAGAACCACTGTGGTGATTGACATGGATGGCCTGTTCCCAATAGAAGGTGCCCTACAAGAATAGATTTGCTCTTGGCTAGAGAAATAACAGGTCTGGAAGCACATAGTTCCAGAGCATAGCCCATCCTCAAAATGATGCCACGTTGCACTAGGTGGTTGCACTATCAAACTCAATTGGCAAAAGCACAACTCTGCGCCTCACCTCTCCAGGAGATAGATCGCCGCAATTGCAGTGTCGTAGGTGTCTGCCCTGAAGGCCATGTTGCCCTGCTCTGCCGGGACTCTGTAGGTGGTGACATAGCGTGGGCCCGAAAGCACAAACTGCGACGCCTGCTGCATCAGGAAGATGTCAATGCCATCCAGTATCGCTGCTGGAGGAGTCCAGCTCTGGGGCTGTCGCGGGAAAGCCTGTGCGCCTGCCATTTGGAGTGGAATAAGAAGTAGGAGGACAAGCCAATGGACAATTGCGATGCACAATGCTGCCACCGAGCTGCATCAACTTAAAGTGTCTGTTACTGTCTGTGATGCGATGCAGAGTCCCCGCCCTCACCACCACATAATCAAGGCCCTAGATAGTCTTGGTACATGATAAGGCCGCCTCTAGCCGAGTGGTCCAGTACTTGCGGTACAATGCCATGAATCTGGAGCAGGGAATTTTATCAGCAAGGCGCGGGGAGGAGTATCTTGTAGCTTCCGGCAGCTGTCGTAGTGATGTTTGCAGCAATCAAGCGCTCGAGAGTCCCTGCGTATCGCACCCGGTAGGTTTCCTGACCGGGTGGCGCTCTCAGCGTGCTGGTGGGGAGCCTAGCACCCGGTGATAAGTATCCGGGGAGCCCCCACTCCAAACCCTAATCGTATAGCAATATCCCGACCACCATGAACAGCTTGAACTTGTGAGCACCATTGGCACGATGTTCCCGGCATGCATGTGACCCGCGGGCGGCTTTCTAACTGGAATACCGCATGTACATGTGCTTACATCCAATGTTGTGCTGTTGAGTATTGCTTTTCATTCCAAGCATGGCGGCATCGATCGACAACGCAGCACCAAAGCCAGGTGCGTATCCTCAAAAACTTGCAAGTGATCGTACTGAACACAACACGGATGTGATGCGGCCGGTTGTACCATACAGCATGGCGGCCACTGGCACTGAAGGATAGGCCTCGTGTGTGTCTAGTCAGGTCCCAGTCGAACGAGCCAGAGTGCCTAAGTAGCCAGACCAAAATGCAACATTGCGAACAATAAGTTTTGTACCAATTTCAACGACGGTTTGGAAAATTGCCTTGGCTACATGCGCGCAAATGCCCAGGTTTTGCCGAACGGTGTGAGGTTCCTCAAATGCATGAAGCTTTCGCGGATGCATGATACAAAACCAATGCCCTTGTACCCGGCTTCCCATGGGAGACCTTACTAGGACTTTGTAATGGACACGTTCAAGTGCAAGTGCCTGTCTCTGACTGATGTCGAATGACTACAGGGAATACTTTTTCTGAGAGGGTTCGCGCCACACTACTTCAGTGCATGGCCTCTGACAACTTGCTTAGGAAACCTTGTTAGCACCAGTCTAGCAAACACAATTTAGTTTGTAGAGCACCTCAAGACAGGACGCCTGATTAAAGAACGGATTACCTACCGGGAGAGTTTCTGAATCTGGTCAATCAACTCTTTGACTTCTTCCTGCAGCGCTGCTAAGAATCCAGGCTGTTCTTTCTCCTTTTTCTCGTACTCCTGGAAGCCCCTTCTCGCCTTGCTCATGTCCTTCTCGGCCCCCTGCAGACATTCCAACCAGAACCAATTATGCGGACGCAAACTCTGAAGCATTCGAGACGAGCGGCCAAAAAGCAATGACAACCCGTAGAAGAGCAGGAAAACAAAGATTGCCATCAACAGCGCACTGAAAGAAGGCCTTGACCTTCGAACGAGAAGAAAGGGCCCAGAGCAACTGCCGGCTCCTCGACAAGCAATCAGGCTGTGCTTACCTTCCGTGCACTTGTGCTGAGCTCCTTGCCCGCGGCATCATGCGTTGGCACCCCCTCGTCGTTGAACGCACTGTACTTGGGCTGGCCTTGCGCATCCCTGGCGTTCCGGAACAGCCCCTCGGGTGGTACGGACGCCTTCGTCCATTTCTCGATGTCTTTTTTCTGCAGCCACGGAATTGAACACGTCAGCACGCATCCAGGTCGCAGCACCTTCGGACTGCTCGTGCTTCTCCCCAAGGGAGTTTACAATCAATCAGCAAGCAGGGCCGCACACATGATTGTTCGTGCTTCTTCCCCGCTGGCGATGGGGCCGATCGCTACCAGGGCCCCAAATACGAAGAAGTTGCGGAGTTGACCTCCATGTGTCGACCCCAAAGAGGGGTGGACTGAAGCAGTGCACACTCGCAAGGTACAACAACCTCCCTCTCTCGAAGGAGGGTAGTTACCTTGCTGTCTCGCTTCCGTTCCAACTTTTGCTTGGCCGCGGCGTCGGCCGCCTCCTTCTTAGCGTCCCGCTCTTTTCGCATCGTCTCGGGGTCGTCCAGTTTCCACACCGAGGGCGCATCCACACGGTCCTGGGCACAGCACACGACTCCGTAGATTCAACGGCGAGTAATTGACGTGCAAGTAGAGGTTGATTGCAGTAATTACGGGTTCCGAAGAACAAGCAGCCCACACAGCCGCGATTTGAGACACTTCGGATGGCAAAGTTTGAGTACGTAAACAAGGCCTTTTGCAAACGGCGGGCAAGCAAATCATGGGGCATCTTGCAAAAAAGGAACACCGCACCAGCCCCGCCCACTCGAGGTCGACTGCTGCGGTCGTAGAGTGTAACCTACCTCGAGCCGCACCCCCAGGTCCACCATTGTCTCGTCTCGGACCTGGTCGCAAGCTTGCAAGATTGTCTCCTGCACCAGGCAACAAGAATGCTCATCCCCGCATCCCAGTCAGGGAAACAGGTACGCGATGCGTGGCTTTACTTTACCTAAGGGCTTTACTTCCTTCCATCTCCGCCTTGCATAAGGAGCTTGGTTGGAAGGTCGAAAAGGGCTGAGGCACGCAACGCCCCAACAGTTGCTGACTTCGTTCGAGCTCTGGCAAGGAATAAGGCGACCATCGCCGATTTCTTTGCTCTTGCAACCAGCTAGACCCGCTGTTCGTCGCGTGAAAAGATGAGTGACAGTGCCAAACGGCGTTCACCTTCGACTTGCCCTCCCTGGCCGCGCTTCTGATGTCGTCCCTGAAGGCCGCAAACGCGTTGAGGTACGGTTCCAGGAGCTGCTCTTTTGAGGCGCCTGCGCCGGCCGCCTCTGAATCTAGGCTCAACGATTCTTGATCCGTGGTCAGGCCTGCAACAAGCACGCAAGCGCTCAGCAAGTGGCTCATAAGCGCACGAGCAGTATAGGCTAACACGCAGGGAATACTTTCAATGGCCCCTTGCACTCTGTACGGACGATTGATTCTTGATTGGTGACTCTGAAAAGACCAGACCAGCACCGACGAGAAAGTTTTCAAAGCCTTCTATTAAAGGACCATCGTGAAGTCGCTCCAACGTTTCCCCACAACAACGAGTTTCTTCAAGCTTCACGTTGGTAGAAACGTGTCAGAGAAAGCGGTTAGGAACTTGAGCAACAGCACTTCTCAAGAACAGAGTTGAAATCTCAGAGAGAGAACACTTCTCACCAAACACGTAGAGTATCCGCTCGACCAGCAGCGCTGCGTCTTTGAGTAGGAATGCACGCACTTTTCCTGGCTGCGCTTTTCTGAGGTACTTATTCACAGCGGACATGAGCTTGTCCAGCGCACTCATCGCCCCCGGCGTATCGAAGTTGTCCTCCAACCTCGCCCTCACCTGCATCGATTACGGCCGATCTGTCAGACGTACGACGAATCGTGTAGGCATTTGAAACAGTTGGCCGTGTTGCTGAATTCTTTCGTTGAAGGAAGCCCAGACGAAGCTGGCTCTCATTCTATCAGTACATGGTTACGAGAAGCTTACGATGAGGCACCGTTCACAAGCACCTTATCTTAATGAGCACTGCCTTCGTCAAGGCCGAAGGGCGTGAATGCTCAACCGCCGACTCTTTGTCCATGCGTGTTTGTAAAATGGCCCAATCGCACAACCCTGCACCCTCCTCACCTCGTCTTCTGCCTCCTCGATGCTTGTCTGCATCTCCTTCTCGTCGGCGCCCCAGCGCTGGTCCGCCTCGGCGGGCGGGGGCACCTCCCGCAGTGCGACTTGCACGTTCTGGAAGAAGGTCCGGAGGTCCCGCTCCTTGGACAGCGCGTCACGCATGGCGTCGTCCCCGTAGTTCATCGGCTTGTCCCACTGCGACAGCACGAACAGCAACCGCAGCTGCCGCGCACTATACTGCTCCAGGGCCTGCAGCACAACGGGAAATTGATTCTGGAGGGCGACGACGAGAAGAACGACCTTGCGGAAGAGAACGGGGACGAAGGCTACGATGAGCACGACCTAAACCGGGACTGAGCTCTGAGGTTACATGACAAGAGCCTAGAAAGAAAGTCAAACAAGGACAGCACTGAGCCAAACGAAGAGCACGTCCCAATAAGATTGATGTGCTTATCCTTAGTCCGAGCTGCCTCGTGGGCGTTCACAAGATGCCTCACCTTGCGGATGGTGACGAAGTTCTTGAGCGACTTGGACATCTTGAGGCCCTCGATGTGCAGGTGCCCCGAGTGCAGGAAGTAGTTGACCCACTGATGGCACCCGAAGTGCGCCTCCGCCTGCGCCAGCTCGTTCTCGTGGTGCGGGAACTTGAGGTCGAAGCCCCCCGTGTGGATGTCCACCGTGTCCCCGATCACGTCGCTGGCCATCGCCGAGCACTCGATGTGCCACCCCGGCCGACCCTGGCCCCACGGAGACGGCCAGAAAGGCTCCCCGCCTTTGCTGGCCTGCAAGGGCCATTGCGGATCGTCAAAGGCGGACGATCGAGGGGTCCCGATAGACCTTTTTCTTGTTGAGAACGTGTTTTCCAGCGAGATTGCCAGCTTTTCCCCTTCAGCTATGAAGAACGAACATTTCGAACAGATACATCGCGTCATCGCCAAGAACCTCCCTCTGCGCACGCTTATTCCGCGTTAAAGCAGAATAACGACTCTCCAGAAAACTCTTCTGAACTTCATCCTGGCCTCTCGCACAACTGCACATTCCTAAGGGACTCTTGGAATGCCCGGTGCTCCTTCGGCCTCACCTTCCAGAGTGCGAAGTCGTTAGGGCTCTTCTTCTCGCTGGTGGCGAAGTTGGCCTCACTCTCCGCCGCCAGCTCAGCGGTCCCCACCGCCCAGGGGCACAGCTTGCCATATCGGTGGCCCGCTTCTCTAAAGGCCACCGTGTCAAAATATATGCTCCCATTCGCCTCGTAAGCCAATCCTCGGTCCACGATCTTGGCAACGTAGGCAACTACCTCGCTCATGTAACTGCGAAATACCAATCCGGTGCCCTCAGGTCAGACATGCGAGTTTCACAGATTGTTCCTAAATGTCCAAAGAAACGTGTGCCGAATGATTCATCCAACATTAAGCCTCAACTTGAGCTGAGCTTTTACTGTGCTTGCCCCCACAGACCCGTTCAGCAATTGTAGGTCCCTTTGTCACGCTTGTCCTCGAAGGACACCCCTACGATCGAAATGACAAGAACGGGGTATAGTATGCATGAGAAACCTGACAACTCTATCGTACGTTCCGGTTAAGACTTGGAACCCTCACTCTGTGACTCTGGTCACGACTCTCGGCTTCCGCCACCCCAACCTCTCCATGTCCTCAAAGAACTCTGCCTCGTACCTGAGAGGGAGCGACATTAGAGTCAGCCTTCAATAAGACCAAAGCTCAAGTATACTCAACCCGCATCCTGAAAGCAGGTCATCAGACAATGGGCCCTTCAAGCTTGTGAAGGAAGGCCGACAGCATCGCGAATTCTTCGAGAAAGCCATGAACTGAAAGGGCTCCAACTCACTTGGCCGCGTGACTCCGGAAGATCATCTGGTCCTGCACGTTTATCCCTATGGCAGCATCCAGTGCCAGTGCCAGCGCGTCTCGCCCAACATCGATCAGCCGCGCTGCACCCTCTGCCCCATCTGCAAGAGCCGCCTCTGCCGCACCCTCTACCTTTTCCCGCAACTTGATATGGTTCGACAACTTCAACTCCTCTTGTGTCACGGCCTGAGGCAAAATCAAAAATACTTGTCTGACGTCTCACTCTGGAAGTCAACGATTGCTTGAGGACAAGGACGATTAGAGAAGATCGATCTTTGCATTGTCAAGCCGTTTCGTGACAGTGAGCTCTGTACTATGCAAAGCACTAGCATGCCGACTGATCGGAAAACGACGCTGTTGCTTTTTCAAGAACTTGTATGTATTAGATGAGAAACGCGGACAGCTTACTGTCTCTAGCTCCTTCAGCTGCTTTGCAACAGAAGATGTGGATGGAACTTTTGTCGGCTCTTCACACTCGCCGGGGCCGACCTGCACCCAGGATCAGGACTTCATCAGTCATGCAATCCCGCGCAAGCACCGTATGTTTGCAGAAGGGAGTTGCACCAGTGATGGCTCGCTCGCAAAATCGAACACAGGAATTATATTACGAAGCCAGGGATTGAAGGCCAGCCAGCGCACTTCCACTCACCTTTTCTATGTGAGGCTCGTCAATCGGAGGCGCACTCGGCGTGGTCCGTGTCAACAGGTCTATTTTCTTTGATAGTTCTCGGACCTGCATGCCACCAGGAGCTTTGTCATGTCGATCAGATAAGCACGATGCTTCTGGCAGTCAACAACCATGCCAGTGACAGCCAAATCGGCCACAGAATATGCTTGGAACAGTACAGACACCTCGCACGAGTTCATGAGCTTATTTCAAGCTTCCAGACGGTCCTGCTTCCTACCTTGCTTTCCTGCTTGGGAATGATTGTCTTCAAAGCTTCCCGGATGCATTCCAGAACCTGCATGGGCCAGGAAGTCAATCAATTGATTCCACCTATCAATCCTTACATCTCATCCCACGCCGAAAACCAAGACTTGCGAGCGTTGCAACATGCTACAAAGGCAGGACCTAGAATCACTGACTGCGTCTTGCAATGTCAGGGGCTTTCACAACCAGCTGCCAATTCTGCACTTACTTGATTGGGGTCTTTAGCTGTTGCCTTGTACTCTTCGACCAGGAAGTTCTGTCGTGCTTTCAGGATAATTTTGTCGTCCACATCAGTAACATTCATGACGTAGAAGATGCTGTAGCCAAAGTAGTCCTGCCAGAAACCACCACCATCAAACATCAATGAACAAGTTTAGATGCTTAACGGAGTAGGGGGAGCAACTACCAGAATGGAAGCTTCTCAAAGGTGAACCGCATAGCTTCAACAATGAAAAAGAGATGACCACTGGCTTCAATTCACCAGCTTTTTTTCAGTCTTCTCAGCGCCATTGTTATGCCTACCTCCAGAATTCGTCGGATGATGTCGAAAGTAAGGTAGTTCCGTGCGTGCCCCACATGAGCAGCATCATAGACGGTGGGGCCGCAGTTGTACCATGTCACTGCATATCACGTGCAAGTCATCAACAGCTGTGATGAGATTAACGGGAATACTTGCAGGGAGTGTTGTGGATGACGCTATACACCCAACCGTTTGTCTGCACCGTCCGCAAACTGCAAGCACAAACCACCAACAGCTATACAATCCAATCAACACAGAGAAGCAGTTTTGGTGGTGTGAAGGCGGTCCTTGGAAAGTTCAGAGAAAAGGAAAAACATCTGGTCTTACGCCGCCGTCCTTTAGGCCCGCTGCCCTCAAGTACTGTCTTCTCATTCGTCAGGCTGTTGTTGACTCTTGGTTTGGAAAGTTCCATCCCTGCCAGCTTCGTCCACCGTGGCAGTTCCCCATTCGCCACAGGCTCAGCCATTGTAAGCACCTGCTTTGCTCAGAGCGCCCCTTGCTTTTGAATCAAGTCAATGCAGCAGAAAGGTTTGAGGTCCTCGCAGGAGAAGCCTGCTGCCTGTACAAACCTTGCTTTTCCAGGAGGCAAGCAGCACCACCAACTTACTGCCACCAGGCGTCTAGATCTGTTGCTATTATGTCAGGGTCGACTCGGAAGTTTGCTCCCTCTAAAACTGCAAGGCTTTGCCTGGGCCACATGTTGGCTTACAGGGTGATTGGACTACCTACAAAATCAGAATTTAATGGTTTCATATCTAGGTACGATACTCCTGTCGGTACGACGTCCGTCGTAAAAAAGATGTTACCGGTTCAACCGAATCAACGTGCGGTGACGCTGCTAGCTCGCAACCAGGTGGAACCTGTGGGAACCCGGTCACGAACCAGGACCGTAACCGGTTTCGGGAACTGCATGCGACCAATACATAAGCGATACAGAAAAGGGGGATACGACCGTAGGCTAGCTACCCCACTTTAGCGGGGGGAATCAATGGGGCACGAAGCGCTTGCAAAATTGATCCAACGCAGAGCTGATAGAATGCAGAGACTTCGCACGGTAGAGAAGCCTCAGAAGGTGGCAGTATTAAATGAAGCATCTGCTCATGCTCCTGCGGATCAAAATTGATTACTTGGACAAGCGTTTCAACTTTTTCAGCAAGGCGTTCCGTGACTTCGGGCTGGGGCAATCTTCTAAGCTGGAAGCGGGCAAACTTCGGCATTTGGGACATGGATTCAGCGGGGCAAAGGGCTTTGGCCAGTCGCAGAGAGCAGTTCAAGAACTTTGCTGCCACCACCGGGGCTAAAGCTGGAGATCGCAGAAAGCAGCAAGCGGTGACAGTTGGGAAGGACAGGAGGGAGGCCATGGTCCGTGCAAAGAGAATCCGGAGAGACATGGTGAGAATGTGAGGACAAGATGGAATCTGAGAGTTCCTGCTGGAGCATGTTGACAATTCTCATAAGGTTCTCACCATTAAGTTGGCCCTTTCAGGCACATAAGTAACCAGAAAGAGAATATGCAAAGCTGACTTTGGGGTGGTGGTTCTGGTCATTCTTAGAGTGGTGCGCCCATCGTGACGCCCCGTTGCTGGTTGCCCTCCTCATCACATGCTTCGGGGTTGCAGGATGATGGCCTGGCGCGAGGGGAGATGCAAGGGGAGCAGGCAGATGAAGCGGCGCTGGCCACAAGTGTGAAGGAGGCAGTGGAGGCCCTCCGGGCATCCAAGGGAAAGGACGGCGCATTAGTTGCGCTGCGCCAGCTGCGCAAACTCCTGTCGGTTGGGCAGTATCCACCGGTGCGCAGTAGGCCTTTCTTTCAGCCTCAGGATCGCATCAATCATATGTGATTTCATAATTTGCTCCTTGTTGTTTCAAGAGTCTGGTGGTGTGATGAAGGAAAAGGTGATGAAAGGGCTTTTGCCAGGATAGTTGCAAATAGGCTGCTTCTGAAACAGGCCACTACGGGTGTGTGGGCCAATGAGCCCCCCCTCTTCTTTGTATTGGTGCCCACCCAGTGTTCACAGATCCAGGTGCTCGAGTTAAGAGTATGATTAGTACCAATTGAGCATGGTCCCCCATGTGAAGCTTTGTAGGAAACTTGCTGAGAACTCCCTTTACTCCAATAAAGCGGGACAATGTCTTCGCCCAGGTATTTGGTTTCCAAACGAAAGTCAGTTTCAAGTCAAGCCTTGCTTTTCATCCAGGACATCCACTTGTGGGCATTTCGAGATGAATTGCCAGCCTACTTTACACATACAGTCAGAGTTCATTCCTGTGCTGACCCCAAGGTCGGGGGCCTAATGTTAGCACAACCGTATCACCTGAGTTGCCCAGTTTCACAATCGTCTCTTCATGAGACAGATAATGATATTGAAGTCCTTCTGTGTCCGGTGAAGAACATTTGCTGTCGGTCCGGTGCCACACGACCATGAAGTGAACCCTCTTCGACAGGACCCCCTTCATGAATCTCGACATATGAGGACCATGTTTCTTCATTCGACATCTGGAAGGCAGATTGCAAACCTTCCAGGCGGCTGTCCTTTTTATCAGAGGACGTCTTCTCTCGACCTCCAAAGGCTTCTCCCGTTTCATTCTTTGCAACAAAGCCAATCGGAAACGAGTCAGCACGGCCGTGATCTCATTCCCCTTCTACCGACCTTTCCATGATACATTTTTCCCGCCATTTGATAGGACTTCACTGCTGGCCTCCCGAAAACACAAAGCTGACGTCCTATGCAGATTCGGGACGACCCGTCCAACTTTGAGGGGCGATGTGAAGACGCCCGAAGGAAGCAGTATCACCGGTTTTGAGATCGCGCAGATCAAATGTAACGCACTCAGGGGCCTCTAAAGCAACGACGTAGCCAGGCATTAAATTCACGTCTAGTTTCCGCCCATTGTCCCTGACTGGTTGCGCTTCTTCCCAGGTGGACGTGGCAGTGGCTGCCGGGGCTGTTCCCCTCCTGGGGGAGGCGCTGCAGTTTGGGGTCAGTGGTCCGGAGCAGCTGCTGGAGGCGGCCTGGTGCCTGACCAACATCGCCAGTGGAGACACGGACCAGGCCACGGCCGTGCTGCCAACGGCTCCGCTCCTCATCGCTCACCTGCAAGGTGCACATCGGGGCTCGTGGGCAGTGTTGAGTACTTGCATGTCAATCGTACCCTGTCCCGCATCAGTGATACATTTCCACGCCTACTCCAGGGATGACAAACAATTGGACCTTACAAGAGAAAATTTCTCTAGTTTAAGGCCGAGCGTGCCTGGTTCAGAGTTGGAAATGCGCCCGTTTCAAGGCGCTCCTCATGTTTGTCGAAGAGAGGCTTGCTTATTTGTAGCTGCAACCAACGATTCGCGTTCGTTTCTGTTTCAATATGCGCTAGAGGCGAGCAGTATTGGAAGCTGTTCCCACACCACGTCGTCGTTTTGTGACAGGTCATAGATGATAGTGGCCAAACGTCTTGCTACGAAATTGACCTCTAGAACATAATTACTCTGCTCAAGGTTCAGCTAACGAGAAAGCCCGTCGCTTCCAGGGCGGGCCCTCGACGTGGCGGAGCAGTTTGCGTGGGCGCTGGGCAATCTTGCGGGGGAGGGCCAGGAGCTGCGGGACGTGCTGCTGGCCAATGGGGCGCTGGGGCCACTCTCTGCGCGAGTGGCGGAAACAGAGCGACCGGGGTCAACCCTTAAACAGACGGCCGCGTGGGCACTCTCAAATCTCCTGAAGGTGGGCTAAGACTGTTTAAAGTGTACACTTTTCTTCTTGAACGTCGCTCTAGGATCGTTCGGCTGTCTGGATGAACTAGGTCTGGAGGGAGTTCTGTTTCTTTTGACCACCTTCGTCCTGGTAAGAGGAGTTGGCAACTCCGGCTGTCTTTCAGCAGGCGGCTTGTAATGGGCGCGAAAGTCGTCCATTGCTATACGATTATCTGTCCGTGATGCAGTCCCAGTCATGGGCCCCTCTGCTTCAGTGATCGTCCGCTCCCTATGTGCTCTGACCCTCCCCGTCTTGTCCCGCAGGGCCCCAGCCAGAAAGCCGCGTCGGAGGCCATCAAGAACGGCCCACTCATCAACGCTTTAGTGGCGGGCTTGGATGGCGGCAGCCCCGCCCTAGTTACGGAGGTCGCGTGGATCCTGACGTACCTGGCCGCGGGGCCCGAGGCGCACGCCGACCGGCTGATCAAGCTGGGCGCGCTGCCGCCGCTCGTGCGGCACCTGGTGACAGCCACCGAGAAGCACGTGGTGATTCCCGTTCTGCGCGCGGTGGGGAACGTGGTCAGTGGGCAGGACAGCAAGACGGACGCCGTGTTTGTCGCGGCGCCGGGGGGGGCAGGTGAGGGGCGGGGAGAGGGGGGTGCCAGTATATGGGGTTCAAAGTAGAATGTTTCAGTCCGTTTTAGTTGCCTCGACGTGCACAACGTCCGCCCGACAAGGATGAAAGAGCGGCCAAATGCCTAAACGCTGCACCGCTGCACTTTTGGAAGTGTGGCTCTTCGCTCCAATTCCCTGAGAGAAAGACATTCTTCGCTTCCCTTAAAGACGAGTGGAACGAAGCCACTCCGGTATTGAACGAAAAGGCCTCACGCATTTCAGCAACTGAACGGCTCCCCTTCGTGGAGCATTGCAGGTCTGGAACTTCTCGTCCCACCAAAGTGCGCTTACAATAAACGCGTCTGCTGTTTGGAGTGCATCCCAAACAGCGATCTGTACCCGCGGATCGCAATGACACTCCCTTCTTTCGTTTGCCAGGTTCGGTCGTGGCCGCGCTGTGCCGGTGCTTGCAGAGCGGCGAGCGCACGCTGCAGAAGGAGGCCGCGTGGGCGGTGGCCAACATCGCGGGGGGCACGCTGCAGCACAAGCAGGCCGTCGCCACTCCTGACGTCATCGCGGCCGCCGCGCGCCTGCTGCAGGAGGCCGCCTTCGACGTCAAGAAGGAGGCGGGCTTTGCGCTCGCAAACATGTGTGCTGCTCCTGGAGGTGAACGGCCGAGCCGCCGGACCAAATTGGCTCTTACAGCAAAAGCCGGACTCGTAGCAATGGGGCGCATCAATCGATCTGGCGGTCACAGGCAAACGCTTCAAGTGTGCGATTCGGGCTGACTGACCCCCACAGGCTAGGGCGACCCCAGACGCAATCATGGTCCTCGAGGCGTTTGGAGCCAACTCTGTTGCTACCTCGTTCACGAGACCCTTGTTTTTCTGGAGTGCAGCTACGATTCCGGCGCCACCCCCTGCACAATTCAGCCCCGCAGTGTCTCCGTCTTGGATACCGTGGGGCACCAGTTCACGGTCCTCCTTCACCGTTGAAAACCACACAAAGCGCGTCGTTGCTTAGCCGCCTGGCTTATTCGTTCTGCGCAGGTGGTGGCGCAGTAGTGCTGAGTCATCTGGAGGCCGTGGTGCGGGCCGGTTGCTTGCCCGGCTTCCTGGCCCTCGTGAGGTCCCCGGACCAGGAGGCCGCGCGTCTCGGCGTCCAGTTCGCAGAAGTCGTTTTGCGGGCGCTGCCAAACGGGAGAGGCGTGAAGCTAGTCGAAGAAGCGGACGGGATAGACGCGCTCGAGTCGCTGCAGTATCACGGAAACGACGAGCTTAGAAACATGGCCAACAGCCTTGTAGATAGATACTACGGAGAAGAGTACGGGATGGAAGAAGAAGGGCTTGAAGAGGGTTCAAAGGCGGTCCAGCAGGATTTGCCAGCTTGGCGGAACCCAGGTGGCATGCGGACGTAGCAGCTCACAGTACCAGTGTTTGAAGATCCTTATTCCACATGTATATTGAATGTTTACATGTAAGTAAAGCTGATTTGCACGCGGGTCAATCTGGAAAGCCTGATGATATCAGCGGCTTGAGCCCAACTCCATGCATTGGCTGTTTCCGATCCTCCGACAAGGTACGTCATGGGAAGGACTTCTGTCATGTTTGGCGCATGCCAGACCACTTGCATGGCATTTGGTATGCCGTATGCTGTCAGTGTTGATGCAATGCATCAGAGAAATGTACGGTATTCATGCGACATTTTTTGAATTTATTCGCCAGGGCCGCCGCCGCGGACTTTGACATATCTGAGATCGAACCAGGAGTGCAACATGTACACCAGCCTTATAGCTCAATTATCATATACTGCGCGCATATGTGCATGATGTTTATAACGCGCATGTAGAGGTATATGTGGATCGTTTCTGAAATTGAAAAAGTACCTGTAGCATCCTTTTATTTATTGGAGAGCTAGCATGCATATGAATCATTGCAAGTTCACATGCATAACACAGCGCACTGCACCCATGGGTGTCCACTAGTCGGCATGCAGCTGCCTAGCTGGACGGCAAAAAAGCTGAAGCTAGGACGCGTGACCTGGTCGAATCAATCATACACGTCATGATTTACTGAGCATGGATCCGCGAGATGCATAAACTTTATTTCTGATCCACATGCCTATAGACGAACTCTGATTGCATCAGCTGCCAGGCTATCTGCAATACACATGAGTCTGCTTGACTCTGGTGTGTGCTAATTGACTTGAAGCCGTCCAAATTTCAAAGGCATGCTCTTATGTACAGCTACACTGTCTACTTTGATGTGGTCACTTCGCAACACATGCTGAAGCAACTCGCAACGTTCGCATTTGTCTAGCCTGCTTATGCATATCACCGCAACCTGCTTCGACTCGACGAATAACACTCCAACATGCACTGGGTGCTTATCTAACCCGACTCTCTCGGCCGTCCCCCCAGAACGCCGCTTGCAATTCTCTCGAAGGCGTTCCTCGGCTCGCCGCTGACAAGCTCCGCGCACACCAACTCATTAGCCAATCCAATCTCGACAGCGTCTAGTCGCTCGGGCAAGGGTTCTTCTCCATCTGTCTCATGATGCGCAATCCACTTCCGAACTAGGATGTTGAACACTTCATAGGCTTCGTGATGAGGACCTGTCGAGATTAAGCACCCGTCAGCAAATGGTGTGCTGGCAGCCGGTTGCACATACAAACATCAGCTTGAGAGCCGACTGACACCGGCGATGCCCCAAGAACGAGCATGTACCAATTGCAGCGAGAAGAAGCGAGCGTAACGATGCCCAATACCAACTGAAGTAGGTGTATCTGGTGACGCCACTTGGAGGCGCATGCTCAGCACAAGCCCCTGCGAGTGAGGACATTGTATTCTGCAACCGAGCAGTGTGCGGACGTCATTCGTTGAAATCCTGTCGTCGATTGGACAGCATCAGCATGAAGTGAAGTCAAGTGAACGAGGGACGGCGACTGCAGTGCGACTCACAGTGTCCAGCGGGGCTGATCTCAAAGTAAGGAGCGTTTGGCACTATCCGCTTCGCCTGCTGCCCCCAAACCGGCCGGACCCACGGGTCTTCACGACCTGTACAAATCGAGGGTGCATCAAAAGTGCGTGTTCCTACGAGCCCTTTAGCGCCCAAAGACCCCGAAAACTTGTGGGGAAAAGGAGGCAAGTCATCGTCGGAATCAATATCCCGAAGCCCTGACGAACGAGGCCAAAACAACCACGCACGGTTGATAGTAGAAGAACTCTTTCTCTGCTATCAATCTTCATCGAAATCGACAGAAGGTGCAAAGGACGGCAGAGGCGCCGCTGAGCGTCGCCTCACCGTACATGAGGCAGAGCGGGACGCCGTGTGCCCGCAGCTTGTGCAGGCCCTCATTGAAGCTGTTCTCGGGCTTTGGGGCGAAGATGATGGACGCAAACGCGGATGCGGCCGCGGGGTGCGACGTCGGCTCCACAATCTGCGCCACTAGCTCGTCGGAGAGGCGCTCGCGGTTGCAGTACACCTGGGCCAGCAGCGCGCGGATCGTCTGCGCGCACAGAGAAAGAGCGGGAGGTTTTGGGCCGGGCATGGAGGTGGTGAAACGGCCTTGCAAAACGGAAGCTGAAGGGGCCACTGACCATGGATGTACGTGCTCGCCGACCATCCTCCAAAGCGAAGTTCTGCCACAAACGGCGCCTGTAAAATTGCGATGTAACCATCTTCGAAGAGGTCAACTTATCCCACATAGCAAGTCAAGCGTGGATGACAAACGCCGCGGTTCTTCTGAGACAAGCTGAAGTCTCGGAGCTGCCAAAATTCTTTCTGACCCCCGCACCCGTCGAAGCCCTCAGCGTTCTGCCCAACTTACGTGCAGAATCGGGCGGAGTTCCGAAAGACCGCCTTCGTCGGCTGCGTCCGGAAGTTACAGATACGCCGCTTTGAACAGCGGAAAAATAAAGGGAGTTTCGGCCAGTTTCGACTACTCGGCATATACCGAGCTCGGATCTGGTCGTTTCTCAAAGGTGTTCTCCATATGCATGACGATGAATGCGGAGCTGCCACCTCGACCAACCCGTAACCACGGAAAACTGGACACCTGTGAACTGGGGATCAGGATTGGTGCGGCACTGACCCCGGGGTTGCGCAGCGCGTCCCACCAGCGGCTGCTGGCCCAGCGCGCCCATCTCGGCACAGGGACGGCGCCCGCCCAGATGACACGGCCAATCTGTCTGGAGAACCAGTTCTTGGACTTGGGGCTGGGGATGAACGCCCAGAACGGGGTGGCTGCAAGCACGCAAAGGACAGTGAGGGCCTCCAGTGACTGCGCTGGTTGCTGTGTGGTGACTTTTGCTCTTACTTGACACTGTAAGACCATGATTGGCGTTTCAGATCCGCATAACTGGTTAACTTGACACCCCCAACCTCATCGAGTGAACTGGTTGCCATGTTCGATATCCCTGTGAAAAGACGTGGGGTCTGCTCACCAGGTCTGGCCTATGTTCCTGTCCTCACCAATGTTGGCATGCTAGGCTTTTGCAATAAGTGAGGTGCCTCACAAGTGGGCGAGTGCAAGGAAGTTCCAAAAAGAGCAGGTGATTTCGTAGTCCACCATCGAACACATTTGGTGTGAAGAACTGCAGAAGGTGCGTGTTACAGACTTCTGCCCCAGACAAATGTTGGTGCAGCGCCTGCCCTCTCACCGTTGACCAGGCACACGCCCTTGACGAGGTCGGGCCGGCGCGCAGCAAGTGAGACGGCCAGATAGCCCCCCAGAGAGTTCCCCAGGAGGTATACCGGCTCCTTCACTACGGTCGCCAGAAACGCCTCAATCTGCACGCCAGGCAAGGCGCCCGGACGGGCCGTGTTGGCAAGCGCTTGGGCACATCACATGGATTGTTTCTAAATACCCCTCGTTTCCGAGCTCCACTTCCTCATTCGAACTTGCACTAAAAGAGCTTATGGCCGTTGTGATAGAAAGACGCGCGACGAGTGCCCCAATTGAACATGGATAGCCAAATGGAGCTGTCTCGAAAGGAGGTGCAAGATTGATACCCCATCGGTCCAGGAAAGCGAGGGTGGAGAGCGCCACCTGGCTGGTCCATGTATCCACGCTGTAAATAAGATCCCCGGCCCACTCCTCTGCCGCTGGCCCAAACCCCCAGTACTTGAAGTCCCCGTCCGCATGGGGGGCAGGGTCATGCGACGGCCACGAGTTGCCCTGCAGTCAGCCGAGGCCACGGGCTGAACCTGGTCGTTGGGCCCACACTCAACAATCAACAAGTAACGTCAAGGCGCTCCAAGACCCACTCGCTAAGCAAGTCTAGAGAGTCTATTCAGACCATATCTTGAATGCACGCCCGCAAGTAGTTTGGATAGTGTCTCTCTCTGAAAAATGAGTGTACTGCGGGGAGTCTCCATTGCTGTGCCTCACCTGCCCCAGCAGGTCCATGACCCACACGCGGTGGTCGCTGCCGAGGTCGCGCAGCTGGTCCCGGAAGTGGAAGCAGCCCACCCCGAACCCGGGAAGAAACACCAGCGGTGGCCCTTGCGTGCCCGCTGTTTCGTAGTAGACATGCCACCGGTGGCGCCACTCCCACGTGTGGCCCTCTATTATGCTCTCCTTCTCAACGGACTGCGCCGCTTTCTGACCCTGCGCAGGTGCACGATCCAGGCTCGTGCTTCTTGCATGTATGGCGCGGCGCTGAGAGTGGAGACGCTGGGGGCAGCTGCGCAGCATTGGCCCAGGCAATTGTCTTGGACAAAGCAACAGCTCAAAAGCATCCCCTCTTGGAGTATATGTAGGCGAATTGCCAGCAATGCAGACTCTAAAAGGTTGTCTGTTCACTTTGTCGCCCCGGGGCGACCGCAGACGGGCCACCAGGTCTGGGAGCTGGGTGCCACTGCTTGTCAGCGCCCTGCTGCAATAAGAGGACGGCATGCTTCTTGAGAGGCACAACTTCCCGGAGTGCCAGCAATCGGTAGAAAACTCTCAATTCCCGCAGTGAAGCTTGCAGATTGCAAGGAACGCCATCCGCATTGATCTGCTCGATCAGACTGCTGAACAAGCTTCTGAATTGCAAGGCCAGCAGGCTGTGGTTCTCGATCAGCTTCTCTGCGCTCACTGCCCGCGTCAAGAAAGGATGTTATTGCTCTATAAGGTATTGCTTCAATGTATAGCTTATGGTAAGTAAACTTTGGCGTTTGCGCGTCATTCGGGCCTACGTGGCGCCCTGCCATTCTCTCTTAACATTACCTACGTCATCACGACAAAAGCGGCCGCGCGATCCGTCCTCTTCGTGCATTTGCTAGTGTCCTCACCAGCGCGCAGGGATGAGGAACTGAAGAATTTTATCAAGCAGAGGATTCTCCAGATTCCCCTAGTCCGAGAATCAAAAGCACCTTCCAAGCTTCCAACAGACAACCGCGGTCCGCACTGCTTGCTCTCGAGATCTGCTTGCTCCAGAAATATTCCTTGCAACACGTTCAGCACTGCTGAAGATGCTGGTCACAAGTGGGGCCTGGTCGTCTTTGGCTGGTGGCCTCCAGGGCCAGCTTCACCACGCTTTCACCCACGATCGAGGGGCAAAAGGGGAGGCACGAAAGCCAGCATTCACCGATCAATGCAGACACAGCATTGCTTTCTGCGGCGTTGATCTATGGGTTGTGGAGTTCGGTGTGCCAGTTCGTGCGTCTCTTTCCGTGCTGTCTCGCTGCCCTTTATTGAAGGGAGGCTGCAAGGAGATTAGGGGTATGCCACAGGGTTTGAAAAGAGACCAATTCCACTTCACTTCAAGATTAGAGTCTGCAATCGGTCTTGTACACAAGCCTCTCGAGTGGAAAATCGTAAATTCTGCAAGGCTCAATCCAATTGAGTACCTGATCGAGACCGGCATTAGCTGCGAAAGTAGTTTTGGTCGCTCACGAATCAATCATTGGGCTTCAATGGAGGGGCCAATGCGCATTGGTCCTTCTGTTCATGCCCTTCGGCATTCATGGACGTTGGAATCAAACCCCCCGCTGAGCATGGCTTCTTTTCAGGCGTCCCACGCTTCAGACCAGCAGCTGTGGCTGCCCGTCTCATTCCCCATGCCGCCTGCCGAAAGGCCGACAAGCCTCCCTGCTTCTCTTTTCCAGTTCCCCACCTCCGACTCTAGCAGCTCAGACTTCACATTCTCGTCAGGGGTCCAGCCCCAGATTCGTGGACCCGGTGCGCGCTTAGAAAAGATCAACGAGTTCCATGATGAGTCTTCTGAGTACGACACCGACAGCAGCTCAGACGGTCAAGAGTCGCTGTTCTCAGAGTCATCAGAGGGCACTCTGTCCATGCCGGTGCGGCCACTGCCGTCGGCAGCCAGCCTAGAGGCCCTGACCATGCTGGAGGTAGAGCAGAGTGGCACGGCAGACAAGTCACTGTCGGAGACACTGTGGGGGACGTCAATGAAGTTAGTGGCACAGATTCTGTACCACCCCCTCATGCTGTGCACCGCCACCGCCAGTCTCTCCCAGTTGGCGTTCCAGGCGTTCATTGCGGACCAGATGTTTGTGCTGCGCCAGCTGACAGCAATGTAAGGGCTCTTTTTCCCCCTTACTTCTTTGACAAGGTGTGTGATGGATTGGTAGGAAGAGTCTTACCAGAGGGCTGTCTTGAGGTGCACGAAGTCTACAGCATTTATCACTGTTTCACAAACGGTTGCCATTTTTAAGAAACTTAGAGGGGCTGGTTGACAAGACAGACTAAACACAGGCTGTTTGTTTTGTGCTTGATGTGATGCGGCATCCTCTGTGTGACTCGGATTAAGATTGACCAGAACAGGTTCAAAGGCACTCAGCAGCCACACTTCTGTGCTGCAGGCTGGAGGATGGACAGCTCACAGCAGAAAGAGGGGCTCTCATACAGTTGCAGTCCAAGTTGCAAGGAATGATCATGGTAAGCTCTAAGCAGCTTCTAACCCTGGCGCTGAAAACGAGTGCAATGGATTTCGGAGTTTGACTGCATTGATGGATGTCCCTGTTACCCTCCCTTCCTTGCAGCAGATTGTTAGGACAGGCCATTTTCAGCCTTCTTCCAAAGTCAGTTCATCTGTGTCCTGCCGTGCACCTCCGTGGTGACAAGCAATGAGCAATGATTCACATGCCCCAGTTGCGTGTAACGCCAAGCGCTTTACGGCCTCTCACACACTCCAATCAGGTCGATCGCTCCTTGCAGCTCCAGGCTGAGCCCAGCCGGGGGGCTCAGGCTATTGCTGCCACCTTTTGCGCCCCATCTGCCCCGTCCCTCGCGTCAGGTCTGGCAGTTCTCAAGGTCAGGGCTTGGGCCGCAGCGAACCTGAGCAAGGCGTGGGGGGAGCACAAGGACGGCTGTACTTTCCATACCTACGTGGCCGCCTTTGCTGCAGAGGACGTGCAGGTCAGCCACCAGTGCTGTCCAGGTTTGTTGGCACAGGTTTGAGAGGCCTTGCAGCGTGGATGTTGTGTAGGTTGAAATGGACAAGGCAATACCTTGTGGGCCAGGCTTTTTCTGTCAAAGCGCAAATCCTCGTCTCTGATATTGTTGAGGTAAAAGAAGTTTTTGAAGGTAAGGAGAAGGGTTAAGAACCCATCTCGGCTGGCCGTCCAAGCCACTCCTGAAGGCTGTGTTCCAATGTCATCCCGTCGTTTTAGTCTGTGAAAAAACAAGTGGTCTTCCATCTGCAGAGTGCTGTGGTTGGACTCGAGGCCTACTTGGACACCCACGCCAGCGGCGCATTGCCCTCCGACATCGGCGCCATCAAGGAGGCCTATGCCGGCGCCCTGTCTCTGGAGTTCGACCTCTTGACCGACACCCAGGCCCTTTACTGTGCTGCCCCTCAGCCCGGCCCGGCCCCCTTCTTTTCTGAGCCCGCCCCCGGCCCCGTTCCTGTCGTGTTTGCAACCGACTTCGACGTCACTTGCACGCTGGAGGACTCCAGCGAAACCCTGATGCACTTGGCTGCGGCGGCCGCAGGGGCGCAGGCTGAACAGGCGTGTCGGGAGACGGGGGGCAGTGCTGATGAGTGCGCGGTAGCCTGGGAGGAGGCGGCAATGGGGGTGCGCAGCCGATGGGACCACGTCCTGGAGCGCTACAGCAAGAACCTGCAGGCCGTGATCGAGGACATTCTCAATCCCATGGGGGAAGGAAAAGCCGCCAAACTGCCCCCCGCTGCCATGGACATCACCCTTCCAGAGCCCAGCTCCCTCGGCCTTCCTGCACCCATCGATGTGCCGGTTCCATTCGCAGCCCCCATGATGCAGATCGAGTTGCCCTCCCCATCCACCTCTTCAGAACCGTCAGAGTCCCCGCGATTCCCCAGCCTACACCAGGCCGCTAGCCAGCCCAACTTGGCTTCTTTCGGAGCCTCGCAGCGAAACCCCATTGCCCGCAGCCCATCGGAGCCGTCTGAGCTGGGGCAAAGGCTCAAGGCGCCTTCGCGTGCGTTTGACATTGACAGCGGGGCGGCAGTCCCTGGCATGAGCGGCGAGAAGCGGCCGTTCGACCCTGAGGGGCTGCGCGCAGCACTGGAGCGGCTGGGGGCTCTTGAAGGGTCGACCAACACGGAGGTGGAGGCAGCGGGGGTGCTGCGGGGGGTCACAGCAGACAAGGTGTTTGCAGCCGCTGCGCAGGAGGTGAGCCGCAGTTGGGACCAAGTCACGAGAGTCTTGTCTAAGGAGCAGGAATGTTCCTGCAATGATGGCCGTTCGTTGTCTCACCCAGCGACTCTCTTTTGAGGGGAGTCCTTGGTGATTAGCTAGGGCACAATGTAAAACCCCGCAAGGTCCGTGGTGCGATGCAAGGTGGATCTGCATTTCCCCATGGCTCCTTCCAATTGCTTCGATTGGTCAAGCTCAACAGGATCTGCCCAAGATCACGCTTCCAACTTATCCCTGTCTTTCGTCTGCCCCAGGTGAAGGTCCGCCCTCACGTAGGCAGTCTCCTGACGCGTGTCCAGCGCGAGACGGGCCAGCCCATCCACGCGCTGTCTGCGAACTGGTCTGCTGACCTCATCAAGGGCGCGCTCTCGTCGTCCATTGCGGCTGCGGGCGGAGCTGAGCAGGCCCTCCTGGTGCACTCCAACAACCTGGCCTTCGACGCCCACGGTGTTTCCAGTGGGATGATGCGCCGCGCAGTCGTCTCGGCCCCTGACAAGCTGCGCGTCCTTGAGGGCCTCGTCGCCGGCACGTTTGCTTCCGACCCGGCCTTTCAAAGCCGAGAAGCGCTGCCGTTTGCGCACTCGGAGGTTGGACACAGTGGGCGCCGGCCTTTCACCATCTATTTGGGTGACGGGATCACGGATCTGCTGGCTCTACTAGCCGCGGACCTGGGTATTGTGGTTGGGCACAGCTTCTCGCTCCGCAAGATTTGCGCGGCGTACGGGGTCACGCTGCGGCCACTCGTGGCGGCGTCGGTCGAGATGTCGCGGCTGACGGCGCGGGACAGCTGGAGCGGGCGGTGGAACGGGGTGTTGTACGAGACGTCGGGGTGGGAGGAGGTGGAAGCCTGCATTTTTGGGAGCGTGCGGGATTGATCGACAAGGGGTGGTATTTAACGGAAAAGATGATATAGCGTCGTCTTTTTCGTCTTTTTGTAGCATAGAGTTCATGAGCGGGCCTCGAAATGTAGGTCACACATATTGATAGCTCGCCTGGAATACGAACGTCGAGATGAACCAAGAAGTCAACCACCCGCGACTACCTCCTGCGGTGCGCTGAGAGAGGCAGAGTTGATTTTAAATCATTATTGAGGTTGATGTTTACTCAATCGCTCGAGACGTGACGCAGACGTAACGCACGAGCTGAAAGGACCATCATCTTCTGAACACGTCTCTTATATTAGAATAAGCAAAGTTTGCCTCTCCTTGATGTAGTATATAATCGAACCGTCTGGGTGGCAGTTTTGCATATAGCTGAGAGTGGCATACGTTAGTCTAGCTCGGCCGTTTTACTGACTGAATAATGGTGGCCCTCGGCGCACAATAAGGAAGTGCATCCATCAAGTATGTCGTGGAACAATTAGCATGGTAGCCGTCTTAAGCCAATCAGTTGGATCTAATTGTGCACTGAATGGACGCCCGAGTTCATGGTGGCACATGTTCGTACCCAACTGCTGGTTCGCATGACGTACATCAATCCTCTACTCGAGCGGGAATGGTAGGAATGGCGTGATCGTTGAAGAGAGTGAGCTACAGCTGTATAGGGTGCGAGCATGACCTGCGCAGGCTCAATTTCGACCGTCATCATGGCTGTCATTGCGATATCCTCACCACGGCCAGGTCAGCCGGTCTTGAATCGAACCTTTCCAACTCAGTGAGTTGGAGCTCGGGCCCGCCGAGCAGTAATTTGAAAAGGAAGTGACCATTTTCAAATGGTCAAATCGGGACATCACGACTGAGCGCATCAGTGCTTTGGTTGCCAACGTCGAAGATATCATCGCAATGCAAAAAAACAAGAAGGTTAGATCATATCATATGGTATGCCTTGGCCTGGCAACGTCATGTGACATGTACGACGTATGACATGGTTAAATAACCAGCTGTTGCACACGCGTGCTTACATGTGTCTGCCGGGTCATGCCGGGAGTATCGAATTCTGACAATGAACATAAGTATGTTTAATAGGATGTGCATGTTGCTGGTGTTCAAGACTTCGTCCTTCTTGGCCGGACTCGACACCCACAATTGCAGGATCACCTAGCAAAAGACGGTTGTCCTCTATTGGAGACCGACGCCGTGCTGGTCCTATCGGCCCAATACCTCTGTGTCCAGGGCATCATAGAAAAAGAAAGGTCAATTCACATACGGCTTACGTGAAACCGGGGGCGTTTGAAGTCGGCGGTCATTTACAAATGCAAAAGTTGGAACACGTCGCAGAGAGAAATTCGCGTGCGTCTTTCACACCAACCATGGTCTGCACTCGTCACCCATCAAAGTAACTTAAAGATATGTTTGCAGTGAAAGGCGGCGCACCTGACTTTCGTACATGGGATATTTGCCAGCAGCCGCGCAAAGCCCGGCACTGCCGCCAGTATACTCCATGTTGGTAAATGTTTTCTCAACGCTTTTACGTTTGGAGACGCTCAACTCCGACGAAGGTTTACCTGATCTCATAACAAGTTACAAAATGAATCCGAGGGGATCACTGCGTGACGCTCTCCCGAAACGCTTCTTTAAAAAGGGACGTCCTAATCTTCACACCATCTTCCCTGCCTACTGCTACCGCGTACCTGCAAAGGGATCCAGAAAGCCATCATTCGTGCACTCAAGACTTCTCACGCCCTTCGTTTCTTCGTACCAGTCATTCCCATCGCACGCTTGACACTTCGATGAAATAGCGCACGCTATGTTGGCATTGTGCCTCTGTCATACTCATTGCACGCATAAAGAGTGAGCTAGTCAAATCAGCTTCTCAATGAGGCGGACGGCTGGCGCGCTGCACAGCCGGCGCTGTCTTTTGCAGTGACACTCACGCTGTATTGACCACAAGGCCGTGCTCGACCACCCCGGCGACAGACTGCAGGTCTCGCGCAACTTGCTCTGCAAAGCCGCCACTTGAGACGTTTCTGCAACTACAAGCAGGAATCTTTCCCCGGATCGGGCCCGCAGACCGGGCCGGAAAGAAATCCACTCGTGTCTGCTATCGACAACAACATCAGCTTCGACAGACAAAAGGGCGCTGCCACGGTCATAAAGACGTCAACGGCGCAGGCAAGCCAACAGATACGGGACATTGGCCAGAAAATTGCGGCGCAGCCGCACCTGGGTCCCGGATGGGCTCCGTGAAGAGGACGTCCAGCACGAAGTGGCCCCCGTCCGTCACCAAAGGGCGGTCGCCTCCAAGAGGGCCCGCCTCGCCAGAGCTTGGGCGCCGCCAAATCTGGAGTGAGTGGGCCGGAGATCAGTAGGGTCCTTAGCCGCAAAGAACGTGTTCATCGGAAAGGATGTAGCAGGTGAGCACACACTTCAGTTTTTGACAATGCTCTATCTTTCTCTGCAATCATCAAAAGAAAGTGCATTGTAAGCGATGAGACTGGTTTACAGCGCCCTATAGCGCCCGTTACATGTCGATGTTTGATCCTGTTTGTTGTCGGCTTGTTGGCGAAGGAGGCAACGAAAAGCTAGCTTCACAAGTTTCGGAGGGGCCTGAGGGTTGCGAACTTGGCGGCCGTTCAAGCATGGCCTAGTTTTCGGGCAATCAAAGGTCAGGCAGAGAGGAGGCTAACCTCAGCATCGCCTAGGAACAAGTCGTCGATCTCTTCCGCAGTGTCCTCCCAATCTTCCTGCAGCATCAGAAGAACGGTGAATGTCCGTTTACTTCTCACACATCCCCTTGCGACCAACGGACTGAGAAGTACAGCTCAGGGCGCGCGTGCCTGGGCCGCATGACACCAATTCTACCCTGTGCTTTCGTTTCCTTCTCTGATAGGGCGGTCACATATGAACATTTTCGGGGTGCACCCGTCCCTCAGGGACCAAATTTTCGTCCCTCAGGGACCGAAAACCGGCGATTTTGTCCCCCAGAATTTCGACTCAATATTCTGGGGGACAGTGCGCCCCTCAGGGACGCCGGTAAAAATATTAAGGGACGGTTGGCCTCCCTGGACAGTCTGCACAGCCGCGTAATCCGGGAAGCTTTAAGTCTTCGCGCGATTCATCCCTGAGGGAAATATGACCAAAGCCGATTTGCGGGGAGCATGCGCTCCTTCAGGGAACACTCGCCACTTCCCCGAGAACTCATATGTGACCGCCCTATGAGGCTTATCAAACGAAACGCGATTCGTAGACTCTCGAGAAAGACAGTCTCAGCCTGTACGGCGGCACAGGCTTCGAGCCTGGCTGCCTCACCGTTCGAATGATGACAGGGACGGCCCCTTGCAGCTTGTCCACGAAGATGCTGCTGTCAGCGATGAGGATGTACTGCGCCGCCAGATGCGCCAACGCCTGCACCACCCACGCAGCACCCTCAGACATCGGAACGGGGACTCGTAAGCTCGGCCCGCATTGGCTGCGGGGCTGGCAATCGTAAGTGGCGCGGACTTCGCGGACTTGGGGCCAGTGGCGGAGCGACTTGCAGGCGTTGAAATTTCAGGGACGTCGTTGACCGGAACTCACACCATGCGCTTGGACAACGACCAGGCCCTCACGGGATTCGGCTATGGTGATTGGCATGAGCGACAAGCGCGTATTCGTAGGGGGCCTGGGAAAATCCGCTGACTTGACGCTGGGCAGACACATCGGGTCTGCACAGCTGAACGAGCAGGAGAAGTGGTCGAACGACTGGGGATTGTTACTTGACCCTGCCCGTTTCGAGTTTTTTGTTGGACATCAAACACGAAGAAATGTACTGTATCCCTGGCCAGCGCCTGCCGCACCTTCTCCTTGACTAATGACTTGTCCCCCCAGCCCCCCGGGGCGCCCCTTCGGCCAATGATGAAGCTGAGCGTGCCCTCCTGCACCAGGTCGGGGTCCTCGAGGACCACGTCTACCTGCACCCACAGCAGCGTATGGGGCAGCCGGCAGTCAATAAGGGACACGGCCACGAGAGCGGGGGCATTTGACGCCTCCCACGTACCCAAACGTGTTGACAGCAGAGTACGCCAAAACCAGCTGGGTGGGTTGGGTCTGGGTGGCCTCACGAGAAGGGACCCGACTACATACTCATGTAAGTACTTACTGGACTGGGAAAGTACCTATGTCTGTTCTGCCTACAAATCGTAGGTCCTTGATTTCTCAAGGATTGGCTGCAAGGTTGGGGGTTGTCAGTACCTGTGGTTCTGACGTGGTGAACATTTCCCCGACTCTGCAATGTACGGGGTAACCCTTACCTTGACATGATCTTCAGCTGTGCTGAGGGGAATCCCTGCCTGGGCAGCTGCGGCTGCAGTCTCTGCTGAGCTGCAAGGAAAAGTAGGGTCAGGGTGCATCATGAGGGCAATGCGCGGGGAGATGGCCAGCAGCCAGACCGCTGAACGCTGAACTGCAGAACCAGGACACATCATTCACAATGTAATCCAACGTATCTTTGATGGAATGCCTCGGTTTAAGTGACGAAGACAGGGGCAAGAGTGCAGCAATAACCAATAACTATAGTGAACTTTTTGGTTTTCCAGATTGGGACTTTTTCATCCAGCGCACCACCCTTCCAAGCTGCCCACCCTGCAAGGTCCGGCTGCGACCACCACTCACGCTGGGATTGCTTTGATGTTCCACAGCTTCCCTTCCTTTAGTTTTAAGCCCAGATGTTGGATAGCGTACTCGCACCCAGGGCCCGTCCCAAGCCCAATCACCTGGTTGGGCCCGATGAACAAGTCCACCTGATGACACCAAAAGGTCAGGTCCGCCGAGGGGGCAAGTGAAAGATAATGACACATCTTTGGAATGTTCAAAAGCACAGTGATCTGACCAGCTACCTTCCTTCTGCAAACGACAACAAGACACCTTGGAAGCTGGAGAGTGATGATCGATGCCAACTGGTGGTCAGCATCAGCACGGGAGGTGATAGGTTGCGGTCAGACTTGTGGGGCCTTTTGTCCAGAATTTGTTCCCTCAAGGATATCGCTCAGTACCACTCATGGGGCAACACGTTTGTTGAAAAGGGGGAAAAACTTCTCAATAGGACCAGTGACACCATTTCTGGTTGGTTCATGTGCACCAGTTTGCTGTCCCTGCCACTCACCACCTGCTTGGCTGCCTCTTCAACCCGGGCGGCCTTGGTGGCATAGGGTCCTGCCATTGCCCTTGCAACCTTTGAAACTTTCCTTCCATCGCATGAAGAGTCTGAGCGTCGCACTGAAAACTGGCTCCCTATGTTCCTCAAACCAGATTGTCGAGGGAAGCAGCATCGCCTGTTTGCCGGGGTGGCATTGGCATGCTGCTGTGCAGCTCCGTGTTTAGCGTATCTACAGCGCCGCTTATTTGAAGATTGAGTACTCCTACCAGCTGGGTTTATCGGAGCAATTCTATATGTTTCTATTTTGACTCCATCAGGTTGGAAAGGCAATGCGGCGGAGGGCGAGCAGAAAGGCTGCGGAGGGAACTGTACAACATGGGATAGCGCCATGTTGTGGATCTACTGAAAGAGAGAATGGCAGCCAAATGCACGCATGACAGGTAGCCTTTGAAGCAGAAGCTCTGCGTTTCGCAGGGGTACATGATACCGGCATTAGGGTTCCACTTTAGGGTTTAGCAGCTCTGCACTCTATTGTGTCTGAATCGTTGCCTACTGGCAACGTCCTTTCGCGCCCTTGAACAGTAGTATACTCGTCATTGCAGAGGCGCCTTTGAGCTCTACTTTTTCTCCTTTTGCCTTACCACCATCTCCGTGCCGCTGTTTGCCTTTTAAGATGAAGGTCCGATCGTCAATAAAAAAGTTATGCGAGTACTGCCGGCTGGTGAGGCGGGGTAACAACGTCTATGTCACCTGCACGAAGGATCAAAAGCACAAGCAGCGGCAAGGCTATTGTACACAGGCGGTAGCCGAAGCGAGCGGTGTGATTGAGAAGAAGGAAGCCCAGAAGTTGGTGCTGTCGGGATCTGCGCAGGCAGGCACAGCGGCAAGGTAAGCAGTGATCTCTTACGAAGGTCAGCCTCATTTGGTGCCCCTCATTGTGGAAGAACTCGGGACATCCTGCATAGTTTCCTGACCACTCAGCTTGCTTGTTATGGTCTATGAACGGCGGGTGCGACTTGAACTTGGCATTGAACCTGTGGGGCCACTGTTTCTTCAAAGATTGTCGCCTCAGATTTGACGTCAGCCCTTGTACATCCTCGATAGCAACTATGGTGGGCTGCGGCCTTCTTGTGAGTTTGCAGAAGCACAAGGATCCAAGATTCCTGTATTGAGCGATTGAAGTGGTGGTGGTACTCATTCACTCTTTACAAAGTTCTGCGGCTTTGGGAAGCCGGAAATCTGCATCCTTTCATGCACCTATCCAGATTTAGGCATGCTGTGCTGCATCACTTGGTAAGTTATGCACGACGGCAGACCCTTGGCGCTCTCTTTTGCTGAGTCGCTGTCTCTGACCCCCGATGCAGTGGTGGCGCTTCACAAACAGGGCTGAAGTGGCTTTTAAGTGCATTCTCAAAGCAATAGTGCAGACTACATGAGTTGATTGTACTATTATCATGCTTTCATCAAAGCACAAAATGCAAGAGATCACGGATCGTAAAGCGAGCTCTGAATTGACTTGAGGACCTTAATGACCTGCATGCGGTTGGATCACTGAACGGGATAAGTTGCCCAACATTGCTGATTGGCCGAGTTGCTATAGGGAGGACATTCACATCTGCTTGATGGTACAAGGAAACTCGGAGATTTGAGTTGGCTGGCCAAGTGACCTCATCAGTCTATTTCCTTCTTACTTGGAGTCACTTATCGAGCCCCAATCTTTCACAGGCTTATTTGTCTTCAAGTCACAAGAGTTTTCTGCTTTTCTTTGTGCGATGGATTCCTCTGAAGCCTTGATGGATGGAAACGCTCACATGCCATGTAAGCTATCTCTACAGAAGGGCAGCTCAAGAAAGTTGGTCGACAGACCGAACTTAAGTTAAGTACCTACATGTGTTGACAGTTGTCAGCTGTAGTCGTAACTTATGTGAGGTGACTTTCTTTTACATAGTGTCTCACAGGAATCCTCTTTATGCGCACTGATAGCTCAAACAAAGTGAAACAATACAACAAACAGCTCTTACCATCAAGCAAGCAGCCATCCATGTATATCATATTGCAGATAACAATAACTTTGGCCCAGTATATGAGATATGAGATATACTAAGTCATGTGGCCAGCAGCATTCTTTCACTCGCGCCAGTGCATTATCGGCATCATTGATGACCGAGCGGCATCGCCTAACACTTGCGCAAGTCAGTTGATCGGACCATATGTCAATCATTCAATTGTCGGATCGCCCTAGGAACATTGATGCTCTCCAGATTGTGCACTTCTCCAACACCGGTCATATGGCGCCGAGCTCTAAAGAGTGTCGTGGGCATTTTCAACACCCGACAACACTTCATTGGTCTGGAAAGGTTGTCTATTGCATGCACTGTAAGTTGCGCTGTGCCTTCACATCATTTCCTAGTCCACTCCTCCTGGAGTAGCTAATACTCAATCTGTCACAAACCTGAATACAGGGCTCTCTATGGTACACACGAACATAAGCCGGAGGGCAACTTCGAAGTAGTCTGGGTTAGGACACTACTGTTTTGCAGCCTGCGTTGCTGTCCCTCTTAACTTGCAATACGCATAGAAGCCGGAGCCCGCGAACCCCATGCCTTGCCCAACTAAATTCATCTGCGAACAGAAGAAGGTCACAATCAAGCATGGTCCACTCATCCTGAGTCAACCCCGAATGTGAACAGAACACAACAGAACAGAAGGCATGGTTGCAGCATTTGGACACATCATGTGCACAAATGTTAGGCAAGCGGCAGGGGCGAAAGAAGGGCCTTACAAAATCAAAGGGCAGGTCGTTGAACCAGAGCCAGCCAATGGTGACCGTTCCAAGGTCCTGCAGGGGTACACACCAAAACAGTCGTCAGCCACAACCCACTCGTGCCAGAGTACCAGCAGAGAGCGTTTTCGAGAAGCCGAGCGTCGCTAAGTTTTCGGGCAGCTTCCGGGGATCGTCTGCAAAATGTATCTCTTCAATCAAGTTGTCAACGGCTGTGCCCAATGCGAAGCGGGTGGCAACACCCGTTCGGGACATTCGTGCTCTTTCGTGGCGAGACGTTTAAGGAGCCTGCACGCGACATCTCGCAACGAAGTCGGGTTTCGACGCCCCTGTAAGAACGAAGGCGGTATAACGCAAGCTGTCGTTCATAGGCAACCGAGACGGGCCACGACGCAAACAAGGGAGGCTGACCTTGAGGTTACCGCAGATGGTCTGCGTGACGGCGGAGTTGAGGGCGGTGTTGAGGAAGATGGTGTAGTTGAGCAGGAACGCAAGCGAGCACGACGCCATTGTCACCAGCTGCAGCCCAGCAGGCACGGCCGTGAGAAGACCGGGCACGGGCAATTTATCAAGTAGGCCGAGCTAGGCAGCGAGCAGAGAAAGAAGCAGGCAGGGAACAGGGAGTGGGCGGATGAAGGGGCGCTTGCCTGGAAGCCCGGGGAGTGGATAGCAGGGAAGGCGAGCGCAGATGAGAGCTCGCCGGTCAAAAACGTCCAACAAAAAAGCAGGGGTGCGCAGATGATACCTGCAGGGGGCAACGCACCTGGGGACGTCACACGCTGGAAGTGGCGCCAGATTCTATGAGAATGCGTCCAAGAAGCGAGGAGCAGAGCTGGACGTACACATAAGGCGGGCAGCTGCGCATCATATGGAGCGACGGAAATCGTTGCAAGCGAGGAGAAGAGATGGGGACATCGAGGACAAGATTGAGAGGGGTGGGCACACCGTTGCACCACATCAGGCCGAAGCTGTTGAGGCCTGTCGTCTTGCCGAGCCTGGCTATCGTGGCGAGGTAGACGGCGGTGGTCAGGTTGGACGCAAACACAAGCGAGTAGCCCCAAACATCAAACGTCAGGTCGCGCATGCCCGCTAAGAGGGCGCCCCCCACAATGACGCTCACACTGGACAGCGGAGAGGCAAGATCGTCAGGAGAGGGGCAGAATTAGGACCATTGGGAAACAGAACCGAGTTCAAGAACAGCAATGGGCGCTCATACAAGTTCTGAGGCAAGCCCGAAGGGAATGCGCGGGGAAACGCATGAGAGATGGGGGACGCAATGCGGAGTTGTAGCAGCAACGTGGAGGGGTGTTCACGCCAGTACCTGAAGATGATTTCGGGGGGGTAGGTCTGGCGCGCGATGAGGAACTCCATGGCCATGGTGAAGGCCACGGTGGTGCGGCGCAGTGCGGTGTACATGGGCACGCTCACCCCGCGGATACTCGCCATGCCTACCACCTGCACCGCCCACGCTCAACAAATCATGCCACAACCCTGACAGCCACCGGGGAATGCAGTCTGTGTTGGACCCAGCCTTAGCTCAATACTCTGCATGTGCAGATTGACAGAGCAACATCTGTGGCCAGTGTGACGTCATGCGGGCTCTACATGAAAGGGGGCCTGACCATGTAGATTAGATAAGAGACGGACAGCGGGGCAGCCACGCGGATGGTCTTGAGGCCGATGAAGCCGCTGCGTGTGTTCTCCAGGGCGGAGTGGCCGTCGGCAGTGAAGCTGATGACGCGGAAGTAGCGCAGGACGGCAAGGAGCAGGTTGGAGCAGCTGACCTGCAACCCACAAAGGAAAAAAGGAAGAGATCCTGAGCTAGAGGAAACAGAAGAAAACTAGGGGCGCTTGTCCTTATGGGCAATCGGTTGCGATTAATCCAGAAACATCGTAATGTTCCAACATCAGGCTAGGGTCATGGAGGACGGGTATTGACAGTGCTATGTCCAAACTCTTGAAGCAGAGTAGTGTAAAACCAACCAGAAGTGACAATTTACCTGCAGCAGTGTGATGATGTTGGCATATGGGAATTTGTAAGACGAGAGCGCCGCCTTGTTGAACATGACGAGCAACACTGGAAGAAGCGAAGGGGCGGATCGTCAATAAGGGCGCCCTTGCACAAGCCTCGAAACGGCTGCTTCAAAGTTGCCACTGGCGGCATCCCAGCTCCTCCAATCTTAAGCAAGTTGCCACCTTCTCCTCTGAGCTCACATCTGAGGATGTGATTCCTTCAGTTGAGGGCTACGAGCTTAATGATCACAGCAAGGTGCCTACAGCCAGATTATGCAGCTGCACCATCGAGGTATTTGCATCAAGGACGGCCGGCGCCGCACCCTTACTTGATTTCTTGCAATTGGGGTCTCTTCAAACCACGACAGGCTTGATGCATCTCCGGCCCTTTTCTCAGCTCCACTTGATAGTCAAGGATCCAATCTGATCAGTTCAGGATGCAGTATGCATCTCTTCCTCTAACCAACAGTTTCATGAGGTCCCCTACCTGCGCAGCCCATGTAGCCCAGCGCTGCCGCTATGCCCTTGCCCTGCATTCTCTTATCCTTGTGGTCCTTCTCCTGCGTCACCGGCAGCAGCTGCTCCCTGCTGCTGGACGTCTTCATGATTGCCCCACCACCAGCGTCCCCAGCAGCAACTGCACCCGCTCCCTTGCCGGCACTGTCGGGTGATGCTGGATCAGCTCCTATGCCTGCAGATGCGCCACCCGTGGTGCTCCCTCTAGCAGCTTCTCTAATCGACCAATCATGTCAGTGCATCTATTGGTAGCTAGCAAAGCTCCGCCTCAACTGCAGACAAAACCGTCAGCTCCCCTGCTTGATGCCACCAAGCCGCACTCTCGCCACAAACTACGACAGACGTTTCCTTGTTTGATTGGATCCACTTTGAACCAGTCCGTGACAAACTGACTCCTCCAGCTCAGAGAGACGTGAGACGAAGGTAAACGCCTTAAATCTGAAGTTATTCTGAATTGGCACTTGCTGACTTGAAGTTGAAGCAATGAAGGCAAGTGGGTCCGCCACACCAACCTACCTACATTCTCGTACTTCCGCAGCCTCTTCCTGCCTTACACTGTCACAGGGACACCGTGTTCACGGTGAACACCATGTTGATCACTGTGCACGTAGTGGTATGAGACACGGGTTGCAGTAAGCCATCCGGTTAAGAGCGGTAAACAGGTATAAACTTTAAAGGTTAAGACAGGGGGGGTCAGGTGGTAACCCACACTTCAGGGTATCGAACGACCCACGTGACCTGTTCAAGGTTCTCAAGACGGTAGAGACTACACCCAAGACTCATCAAGAGTCAGAGTCAGACTCAGACTCAGAGCAGGGAGAGAGGCGCCATTGACTCTTGAGCCGTGCAGGGTAGAAATCAGGGCGCCTGGCGCTAGTCAGCAGGCTAGGTAGTGTGTCAAAGGGTGTCTAGAACCCTCAAGGTAGCAGGTAGGAGGGTTGGGAAGCAGCATGGGGGGGATTGAGACCCTCCACCCGAGTTTGCAGTCGTTTCCTACGGGGCCCCCATCATTGCCCTTGTTTTCCTCTGACGAGGTTGACCTGGCGGAGGTCGCACAAGTGGCCCTGCCCGCTTTGCAAAAGATTTCCTCCCAGGAGTGGCAGGAAGCCCTGCGCGACGTGGGGGAGATCTCTGTGAAGCGGCTGAGTGGTGCTCTGACCAATAAGGTGTTTGAGTGCAAGTGGCGAGAACCGAGCGGGAAGAGCCGGCGGGTCCTCGTGCGGCTGTACGGCAGTGAAGTGGACGCCATCTTTAGCAGAGAGCAAGAAGTAGAGACGTTCGAACGGCTGTCCCGGCATGGCTACGGCCCCCAGCTTTTGGCACATTTTCCTGCGGGCAGAGTTGAGGAGTGGCTGCATGCGAGGGTGCGTACAACTTTCTTGTTATTTAGCACCTTTCGTGAGCATTTGGCCAAGGGTTTTGCTTTTCTTGACGGTAAAAGCTCGGCCCTTTGTAATATCTGTCTGAAGTACTTCCGCAGGGGATGCTGGAAACTTCTGTTTGGGCTCGAGAAGGTCTTTCCTATTTCGTCTTCCGGTTCCAGGGTGCCCGCATTCTAATTGAAGAAAGGTGAGGCATTTGCAACTGCTTGTGCTACTCCGTCTTCTTACAGCAGAGTGCCAGCCGCGCGCCTGAGCCTGGAGCACTTCCTTGCAGACGCTGACGTCGCCGGACTTGCGGGACCCTGTGTGCTCCGCCCGCATTGCTGCCAAGCTGGCCGTCTTTCACCGCCTTGACATGGGCGCCCCACGTAGCGCCGTTGTGTGGCCGCGCATGCGTGCCTGGCTGCTCACGGCCCTGGAGGTGGCCTCACCCCTGGCAGCAGCGGAATTTTGCCTGGCAGAGCTGGAGGAGGAGATTGCGGAGATGGAGGCAAAGCTGGGGGGGCACAATGAGGAAGGGGGCGAGGCGGCTACTGGAAGTTTTGCGGAACGGACAGTGACGGAAGTGGGGAGTGGAGATGAGGGTGGAAAGGGGCACTGCACGGGGGTCAGCAGAGCTGCGGCTCAAGACAAGCTGCAGGCGGCAGGGCGCTCTAGATGGGGCATTGGTTTCTGCCACAACGACTTGCAGTATGGCAACCTCATGGCAGATGAGCGCACGGGGGCCATCACAATTATTGTGAGTCGTCACACCCGCATTGCAGTGCAGAGCAAACAAGCACCAAAAATCTCGGGCTGACGCTTGCCTAACATAATGCTGCGGCATCTGTTGACCACACCTGAGGCAGGCCTTAGTAAAGAAAGACAGGGTCCTGATGTACACCCTGTCAACAGGGGTGTCATGCGAATCTGCTCTTTGCAAAGATGCGGGTCTGGCCTTTACAAGCTCTGTAAGGCTCCCTCACAGCCTTGGTGCGCAGTGCGATTTTCTGGGTGATCTTCCGGTTTGCTCTGCTTTCGACCAGATTTGAGAAGTCCCCCCAAAACAGCCCACGCATCGGCGTGAAGGGGTCTGTCTGCGAAGTGTGCGGTGTTGATACAAGGGGCCCTGGCTTGCAGGATTACGAGTACGCAGGCTACAACCCGATCGCGTTCGACATCGCCAATCACTTTTGCGAGTTTGCCGCTGACTACCACTCTGACACCCCCCACATTCTCGACTACTCCCGCTACCCCTCTCTGGAGCAGCGCCTGCGCTTCTGTCAAGCATACCTCTCCGCATTAGGTGAGGGAAAGAGCTGAGGAAGGCGTGCAGATAGCAGCCGCTTTCACGGTTAAATGGCCTAGTGCATTCAGTTTCAATGACCCCAATGGGCGATTGAAAGGTCGTCGATTTTACGTAGTGGTGAGGGTTAGGGCTCTTGGACATTTGCGGGCAATGTGTTGCAGCCCTCTCGGGTCAGATTGTGCACTGGGAACAGTTGATGCGAGAGCCTATACCAGGGCCTTACAAAGTCTGGTAGCCTGCCATTAAGCGGCTATCTACTATGCGGTTGAGTCAAATGGATCGGCTGGCGCTGCATTTTGACATCAGTTAGTGGACTTTTATAGTGGAAGGCAATGGCTCTTGCATGCACGTTTGAACAAGGAGCTCAAACTTGTTTTGGCGTCTGAACAGGTGACAACCCTTCGGCGGAGGATGTTGCCTCGTTAGTAAAGGAGGCGGACCGCTTCACTCTGGTGAGCCACCTGCAGTGGGGGCTGTGGGGCGTTATTTTCAGCGCTTCATCCAACATTGAGTTTGATTATGCGGAGTACTCGCGGCAGAGGTTCCGGCAATATTTCCTGTCCAAGGACGGGTTGCTCGATAGGGATTCTTGCCTACCAGCAACATACGGAAGTCGTCCTTAGTGTAACAGTGATTTGAAGCCTTAATTCGAAAAGCATACAGGAGATGTATTGTTACTGATATTGCAACGTCGAGGAACGGAAGTCTAGGCAGGTTGTAGAATTGGTAGACGTAAAGTAGAAGGTAGGGACACAAGGCAAGGACGTAGCTTAGAGTTGGGTACAGTAGCTTGGGTTGCTCATTTTAGCCTATCTTGTGTGGGACGATGTCCGTTTGATTAGACGGAAGCATCAGTTATGTACAGGAGCTGCAGGAGACTCGCAGAAGCTTAGTCTATGTCTGGCTTTCGGACCTGCGTAAGTAGTCATCTGCTGACTGTTTCTCAGGTTAATGCCCTTGTAGATAGATGCTAAATTTTTTAGCTTCGCTTAGACTTGGAGAATAATAGAGTTTGCATCAAGTAAAGTATCACAGTCTGGTCCTTATTTGCAAAGTGGCAGCTTGCATGGGGGCAATTGCCGAATTGTGCTTCAAAAGAACAAGTACATGAGCGTGGATGGCGAACAGCTATATATACCGTCCCCGAATTTCAATCAAGCTTGCAAGTTGATCGGCAACCATGACTTGAAGCTCATCGTACAAATTAGACTTTTACAATGGACTAGTTTGATGATGATGATGCTATGCAGCTCCATGCATGTGCGCGCTAAAGAGCAATGATCACGTCATGCCGTACGCGTGCGTTATTGCAGCGCTGTGTACCGTTTTATCCATGCACCAACCATTGCATCACACATGTGTGCTAGGCGGTGTACAGTCGCATCATTGGTTTTCCACTTTCGGCTCGCAATAAGGCGCATCCGACCGGGCGGCCACATCGTGTCGTCCTTTTCGACCTAGCTTGCATATGGCTCAACGTCTTGGCACCTTTCGAAAAGAGTTGCAGTATTATCCCATTTGCTTAGATTTGTGTTCGCTGTGTACACCCTGTAAACGTTTTTGGCTGTGCCAGAAAGATGATCTCTACCTAACAACCAGCTCGGACTTACCAAAGCAAGCTGTCTTTACTTCGTACTTATCCGGCCGAATATTGTTGGAATCTATTTGACAGAGCCTCTGAAAATGACCTTACTAATAATTGTCAAGAGGGGGCAGCAACTTGCTTCGAAAGAGTTATATGCCGCCATGCATCCTTGCTTGCTCTTTTCGCAGCAGCTCTTCTGCATCTCTCAATTTCTTCGCTCGCCTCTCCTCTGCAGCTTCGGCCTCCTTCCTCAAAACCGAAGCCACCATGTAGATTGCTTTCACGAGCTTGTACCTGGAAAGAGATGATCAAGGACATATAGCAGGATTGATCAATGCTTGTTAGTCAGGGCTCGGAGCGCTCAGGTTGCACAAAACTGGAACCACGATTTACCCTGGCTTTGAGATTTGATATGCTCTGCAGTCCTCATTTTAGCTCTGCGAGCCTTCACTTCCTAGGCAGAATCGATAGGCGCAGTTGAGTCTCGAAGTGCTTGACACATCAGTGTGTCACGATGTTGATCATCCTACCTGAGGGGATCTGCTTGCTCGTCCGTCGGAGTGACTGTCTCTGGAAGTCCACCATGAGCGATGGCGCCACTCATGGCTGGGGCGCTCGGGGGAGCAGAGTGGGCAGAGACGTTGACTGCCGCGATTGCCGCGGCCGCTGCATCGCCTGCCGCTGAGGTCGACTTGTCAAAAGAGGGGATGGAGATGCCTGAGGCGGCGGGAGCGAACGGAGTGGGGCTCTCCACCAGGCGGAGGGCGCAGGCGCGCACCGCGTGGGCCAGCTGTGCACCCTTCGCTCCTGCCACCTCACTCATCAGCAGCAGGGCGTAATACCTGCAGGACGCAGAGATTCAGACCCTGAGACCTTGACGTTTTAGGATTACATACACAGGAGCTGCGGCCCATCCAAGGAGGAAGTTTCGACCATCACCGCTGATCAGGTTGGAAGCCCCGGGAACTGTGACAGCATCGTTGCTTGGAAAGTCGCTGGACAGACTCACACGTCGTGTGCCAGCTGATCCCGGTCATAGTGCTCTTTGGATGCGCGCCCAGTCTTCAAAAGCTCGTTCAACTTGGCCTTGAAGCCACCTGCACAGCGAAACATGCCCCTGTCAGGTTTAGGTGAGACATCAATTCTGGCAATGAATAGATTGCAAAGCGATGCGTGTGTTCGTGGTCAGAGCTGAGGCATACATGGAGAAACGCCTCACTCTTCTCAAAGCTGCCCCGCTTGAGCGTCTCCTCCTCCAGGATTCTGCCCGCAATCAAGACCGTGTCCAGCTGGACACTGCTGCCTTCTGCCAGCAGCCGAGAGGCAGCAGCCTGGGCTGCCGCCACCAACTCGTGCTTGTATCCAGCAGCACTCAGGTAAAAGAATTTCTGCATAAGAAGCAGCAGCGCAGTCACAGTCAGTGAAAGGACTGAATAAGGGGAGTCCGAGTAGGCAGCGGAGCCCCTTTGAAGGCTCTCTAACATGCATAATCAGAACGGAGGCAGAGCCACAACTTCGCCGTTCAATGTTCGAGAAGGCACCCAGAATTCTCGGAGGACTTGAACCTTGGTTGCTTCCTCAGCTTTCATTGAGAAAGGAACTAAGGAAGGCACCTGCAACGATGCCACCAGCAAATCCACAGGCTCCACGCCGGACTTCTTCAGGCCAGCCAGGACATCTTTCTCCTGCATCAAAACACCAAATGACACTGTCTCAGGCAAAGGTGGTTGGCTTCAGTCACTGAGGCACATGCACAGCAACCATCCCTTTGCCCCATAGACACAAAATCCTATCCGATCATTGCTTACACAGGAAAGCCCGAACGCATTCTCACCTGATAGGTATTGTAAGCATCTCTAGTTTTCTTGGTGGCCTCAGTCACTGCAGCAGAAGCAGCTTGATTAATCAACAGGTACAGTTGGCAAATTGAACCTGACCATTTGGGGCTTGTTATTCAAGTGAAACTCCACCAATTGCACATCGTCAATCAAGGCCCATAATGCATAAGCAGATCTCAAGCCCACCAGGCATGCTACATGTTTACAACAGGTTACCTGCGCTGACTCCACTCTTTGTTGCCGACCTGCAACGGTTGGGGATTGTATGTAGATCAGGAATTATACAAGATGGCACATTGAAGTGGACCTCAGCACAGCAGCCCAGCAAGAAAACGCAGGCACTCAGATGGTACAGATGTATCTTCACAATCATTGGCATTCGTCTTGCTCCAAGAAACCTACCACCAGCCTTGCTCAATAATTGAAGCAAATCCACAATATGCTCACCAAAGGCCCAGCATGCCCTTCTTCGCCAGCGCTCCTGCGGCTGCCATGTTCACAGAATGCTAAAACAGTAAATGGCAGTAGATTGCAGAATCCGGACCAAAGATAGGTCTTGCGGCTTGCCGAAACCACCAATGAGGTTCCCTTTCTTGCAGATTGGAAATCTTCAGTTATGTAACCGTGGAGCAGATTCGATGGAGTTTGCAGAATGCCTACAGGGACAGGAATGCAGCTCCTGCGAAGTAAACCAGACGAGTAAAAGGGGCGCCAGCTTCTGCTGCACAATGCCTTAAGCATCTGATGCACATACCTCATCGACGACCACGTTGACTGCGAGGGGAACCCTAATTTTTCAAGTCCTGGGAAGCAAACCCTAAACCCTAATCTTGAAGCTGAAGCCCTAAATTGGAAATGTGGGAGCACTGCAAAACTCCGACATTTTTCAGCATTCTCCTGTAAAAAGTTTGAAACTTGAAAGGGCATTGTGAGAAGATGGCCTCGCAGCGCCCAAACAGAAGCTCCTGGTTTGAGGACGTTCTTATAGGAGCTGTCTCCGAGGGTGTTAATCATTCGACTTTTATCCTTTTGAATGTTGCCGGGGTGGCCCTTGTCATCGTGCTGGCTTTTCTTGCGGTGGTGGCGCAAGGGTACGACGTGTTTTTGGTCATTCACGTCATCGTCCTGGTCCTGTGTGCGGTGGCGCTACTTGGCCTGCTCAACTGGTGAGGTGGTGCTGCAATGCCTGTAGCGCATCCTTTGCTGTGGTCAGTGTAAATCTGCTTGAAGGAGACTCGGTGGTACAAAAAAATGGCTGTTTGCTTCGTTATGAAGCATGATTGGAGACCTCGTCAGAGACCTCGTCCTCGCTCATGCAGTAGATCATCTACCTGTTGGTGATGTAAAGTTTGGCAAAAACTATGTGTTCTGGTCCTCCTCTTACGCTTCCTACCGGTTGTTGTGATGGCTACTTCGAAAAAAAATTCGTTCCTTGGCAGGCAATCTTTTCATCTTTCCATGCCCGTTGTGCAGGTTCATTGCTGAGACAGGGCTCGTTTCAGCGGAAGAGCAGGCCAAGGCCCTCTTTGAGACCCCTGGAGCCACCGATGTGGGACCTCCCCAGCCTTTGCCAGAAGACAAGAAGCAGGGTTGAGTGGTGGCTGTGTTAGACACCATATTAAGGCACCAAGTGGTGGTGGGAACAGGGGCGCATATTGAAATGAAGTCATTGGCGCCCCGCTCAGCGTCTCTGCTCCGCAACCTTTTGAGCAAACGTTTGGAACAGAAGCTCCCGCCAAACCTGCAAGTCAATGGGGCGACAGTGCTTAGTCCCAAGAGCCCCTCGCTCCAGGGCCTGTTCTCATCAGCTGCCAATATTCTGTGGCACAGCGCCAAGGATTCATCTCACGGCCCCCTCGCTCTCCCCACCCGGAGTGAAGCCCTTGTTGGAGCCTGGGGCAGCAGGTGCGCTGCTGCTTTCCGCCCTTCTTTCAGTCCAAATTATGTACCCTTGGCCACCAGGGGCGTCCAAACCTCCCCCCCTCCTGGCCCCACGTCCTTCCCTGTCGCCTCGCCTGGCAAGCGTCGGCCGGTGGTGGCGGTGGGCATGTCGGGGGGCGTGGACTCAGCGGTGAGCGCACTGCTGCTGCAGCGGGCAGGGTACGAGGTGGTGGGGCTGTTTATGCGCAACTGGGATGCACAGGAGGAGGACGACGCGGGGCAGTGCTCGGCGGACCAGGACCTCAAGGACGCCAAACAAGCGTGCGCGCATCTTGGTGAGGCCATCTCCATGTGCCCAGTTGCTTTTGATGTTCTAAGCAAGCGATATTTTGCTCGCTGGCCTCCTCTTTATTAAGCCAAGGGTCGACTTATAGTCAGTGGCCAAGATACTGCAGAAGTGAAGTGGTGCATCCTAGATCCTGGATCTTGCGAGATTCTGGGGCCGTGCAAGAAACAAAACTGGACATATTGGCGTGATCTACCAAATATCCATTTGTCATCTTCTGTCATTCGTGGAAAGCACTCATTCAACCGAAGCTGAGCGCTTTTGCACGGCGTTGAAGTTTTCAAGAATGAGACTCGCTTCGGAGATGACGGTTCTGGGACCAAACCTGGCGGGTTTGGGACACAGCTCGCCGTGGTTGCTTGAGTTCCCGTTCCCTGTTCCACCCCCCTCCTTCCATCGCAGGCATCCCGCTGCACGAGGTGGACTTTGTGCGGCGCTACTGGACGGACGTGTTTGAGCAATTTGTGGCCGAGTGTGCGCGCGGCCTGACCCCCAACCCGGACCTGCCCTGCAACCGCCACATCAAGTTCGACGCCCTGCTGCACCACGCGCTCGCCCAGGGGGCCGACCTGCTGGCCACCGGCCACTACGCACGCCTCGACTCGGAGGGGGAGGGCGGGGCGCGGCGCCTGCTGCGGGGCAAGGACCCGACCAAGGACCAGAGCTACTTCCTGGCACAAGTGGTAAGCCAGCTACAGAGCAGCCCCGCAATCACGAGCCTGCGAAAAGAAAGCTGAGACGCGAGGGCCCCCCATCCTGAAGGTAACGCTTCCTATAGATCTTTCAAAAAAGTAAATGTGTTCAACAAATATCGCTTTTGACTTCCGAGTTCTTAGAGATTATCGAGCAGTTCGAGCGGCTGTCTGTGCCACGGCTCCCGATAATCCACCAGGTGATAAAGCTCGACACAGCTGCAGTTGCTCACCAGGCTGTCTTCTCTGCAGGAGAGCGCCCCTTTGGAGCGTGTGCTATTCCCGGTGGGTGGCTCCCTCAAGAGCGAAGTGCGCCAGCTGGCGACAGATGCAGGCCTGCTGGTTGCGAACAAGCGCAGCAGCCGCGGCATCTGCTTCTTGGGCAAGCGCCGCTTTGAGCGCTTCATTGCGCAGTACGTGCCGCTGCAGCCAGGCCCGTTTGTGAACGTCGGGGACGGGCGCCCGGTCGGCACGCATGGCGGGCTTGCGGCGTACACCAACGGGCAGCGTGCACGCATCGGAGGTTCGGCTCTGCCCTGGTTCGTGGTCGGGAAATCTGTGGGCGACAATGCTGTGTTTGTGGCCCGCGGGGAGGACCACCCTGCGCTATACTCGGACACAGCACTGGTGGCGCCGCTGTTCTGGGTCACGGGGCGGCCACCACGGGAACTGCTGGACGGGCGAGAGATGGTGTGCTCGTACAAGGCAAGGTACGTGCAACGGATGGGGGAGTGCACAGTCAGGCTGGTGGAGGGGCGAGCAGGGATGCGGAGTTGCCGGGGGTTCGAGAAGAGTAGCTTCAGCCGAGTCGACATTCCGGAGCTGGCCGAAAAGGAGGGGGCCGTCCACAAACGTCTGCTCGTGAGGTTCAAGGAGAGCGAGCGGGCGTTGACGCCACGGCAGGCTTTGGTGCTATACGATGGTGATGTATGTTTAGGGGGTGGCTTGTTGGCGCATCCCGGAAGGACAAAGTACGAGATGGGGGAGTCGAAAGAAGTTGACGTACTTGAGCAGGCAGCGGCCTGATCAGGTTAAGGTCAACCTCGCCATGCACTCTCGAAAGACGGGGAAATTGTGACAGTGTATCGACTTCGTACAGCATCATACTTGAACTGGGCTTTTGTAGACTCGTCATCGTCGAGAGAGAATCTGGCATGTCTTCATTGATGCGACAAATCTTGGTGAGCGGCCGCATTGATTGCATGCTACACGATACATTTCCTAGCTGCATACATGGGTTATATATCTAATCAGTGGGCCCATCGCGAGCCTATGCATTATATAATATTCGGTCTGCTTATAACGTATGCCATGGCAGGTACAGTTGCCAAATGATCATGGCAACGTCGGCCACCCAGATGCGGTGGGGTAGCTAGGTGTTCAAGTGTCGAATTACTTAACTTGATTCCCATTGTATGCCATGGAAGCCTATATGGCCCATGTGGCTACGGCGTTTGAAAAGCGAACATCATCCGATCGAGCTGTGTCTGCAGTAAATCTGAACCCTGCGGTGACATTAATCATGGGCTTGTGCGTATAAGATCGACAAATTGACACTTGCTGCGCCACATATATGCATTACATGCACGAACTCATTTGCTGCATGCGCCAATGATCCCGGCTGCAGTGCAACCGTCTTAACGTCCCCACGATCGTTGGTTCAGAAGCCCAAACAATGATTTGTAGCTGGTCGTTCAGGCACTCAGAAAACCTACTTACATGTTTTGAGATGTACATGTGCGACCGGGACTATCAACTTCTACGCGCTTGCCTAAAGTATAAGTTCTCAGGTTCTGAAATCAACCTATACTGAGCGATGGATTTTTGCATGCCAGGCAGATTGTATGCCTTTACTCACTTCGAGGCATACAATGAGTAAAGAGCATGGAAGCACGGACTGTTATTTTCGAATCTCTGCTATACATCTCTCAAAGTACACTTGACTTGGGCTGTGAGTCCTACTTATTTCAATTCCTGCTGTGATTGCTCGCTACCCCTGGGTGGCTCCGTGCAGCCCGCGACGGGTGCACTGCCTCCACTGTTTGAGGCGGTCCTGCCCCCGCGGCCGGGACGCCCCCCGCGCTGTCCACGTCCACCCCCGCGCGCTCCGCATTGGTGAGCTCGCCCAGCAGGGACGGCGGCAGCGCGGTGTGCTGCGCGGTGGCGGGGCCCCCGCTGGCGGCGGCCGAGCGCGCTACGAGCTCGTCAATTTTGCGGAACTGCCACGGCCAGCGCACGTTGTACAGGAACTGGCGCAGGTCGAACCGGTTGTCCTCGGGGCTGTAGTTCTGCGAATGCAAAGGCCAGCAAAAAGGTGAGCGTACAAAGAAGCACCGTGGAAAAAGCAAAAGAGCTCAAAAGAGAGTCCGGAAAGAGGGTTCCCAGCAGATTACAGGATTGTGCGGGCTGGGGGGCTCACCTCGGCGTGGTAAGAGGGCGTGAGCGTGGTCATTTTGTGGCGGTTGATGGAGTAGAAACGGAAGAAGTCCTTCACCTTGCCCGCCACCTCCGCAGGCGACAGCTTGCCTGCACGCGCACCCAACCACACGGCTCAGGCGTCAGATGGGGCAGGGCCGAATCGAGCAGCCTCATAGAGGGCAACGTAAAAAGTATCACCGAGAAATGCAGCAAGGCATTGATAAGCAGAGTTAGCCTTTGCCAATATGTCCTCGCCCCTCCAAATCACGTCGGAACATGTCCCCGGGCAACGTGCCGGCTCGGCCGGGGTGCGCTCACCTTGCCAGCGGTGGCAGAGGTGCTGGAACATGGAGACGGGCCCGCAGCGGTAGATCTTGCGCAGGCGGCCGTACAGGCTGAGCTCCTCGTACGTCATGCCCATGTCGGCCTCGTCCGTCTGCACGTAGTTCTCGCGGATGGGCTCCAGCTCCGCGGTGGGCGGCGCGGCCTCCACCTCCGCGAGCGCGGGGTAGCCCAGGTGGACCGCGCCCCACTGCAGGAAGCGGCGCAGGTCCTGCTTGGAGATGCCGCCGATGGGGTTCACGTCCGCGCTGCTGCAGTCGTACTTGGTGAGGTAGCCGCGCAGGCCCTCGTCCACGTTGGCGCTGCCCAGCACGAGCAGGAAGCCGGGGCGGGAGTACACCCACGGCAGCAGTTGCGCCAGCAAAAACGCCAGCACCATGCGCAGCCGCGCCTGGATGTTCTGCAGCGCCAGGTTCTCCGTCACGCTCCCGCCGTCCACCTGCGCGCGCGCAGCCGAGGCGTCACGCACAGGGGACACGCTCCAAGAGGGGAGCGAAAACAAAACAAAACGAAACGAAACATACCTCAGCAGAGCGGCCACATTCAGCAACGCGATGCTTCGAAGGTTCATGAGGCGAACAGTTAGTGACTGCGGTCAGGGCACGCGGCAAAGCAGTGCGGCCGTGCGCACCTTGTAGCGCGGCCGCTTGCCGGTCATGACCTGGAAGAGCGTGGTGAGCGCGGACACGACGGTGTCGATGACCACCGCGTGGTGCGTCGCGCCGATCTCCGCGGCCAGCTTCGCAGCGCGCTTCTTGGTCGCGGCGGAACTGCACCTCACAGTGCAACAAGTCAGGCCCGTGAAGACAACACGCTTCGTCACGGGGCAAGGGAAGGCCGCGGAAGGGCTAGCACACCACAAGCTTCGAGTGAAGGATGCATTGAAGACAGCGCTGGTAAGGAGTGCCAGATTCGACAGAAGTATTGCGGCTGGCGAGGCGCGCACCTGTTTTCGGTGCCCATGTAGACGGTGTAGAAGAGGCGGCCCGCCAGCTCCTTGGCGTCCTTGGGCGTCTCGTCCTCCGGGTAGTGGCCCACGCGCCGCGCAGCAGCCAGCACGTCCGCGTTGCCCGCCTCGATCTCTGCAGGTAGAAGACAGTTAATTAACGCTCCGTGTCCGCCTAATCCAGGCAGTCATTGCAGGCCTCGTCTCGAGGTCTCGTCTCTGCTGGCACGATACAATAGAGAAGGGTCTATTGAGGTCGACAACAAGTTAGATCCCATTCACGCTAGTACGTTTGAACAGGACAGCCTTCACTAACCAACGCGAAGGACTCCCTGTTTGGCCTAGCCTTCTGCGCCGTGCCCTCTCACGTGACTGGCATGGTCGAGCTGCCAGCCATCGAGCGGGGTTGCGCACCTTTGATGACGAGCTGGCACATGTTGCCGGTGATGGCGGCGGTGGAGGAGCTGTCGGCGCCGCCTGAGAGCGGCAGCAGGTAGCCGCCCGCGCCGGAGCGCACCAGGTAGTCCCACAGCCAGCACGCGGGGCCGTTCGCGATCTCCTCCTCCGGCCGGTGCAGCCGGGGCTAAAGCCACAGCACGCACACCACACAGCCATCAGCAGGGGCTCGCTACAAGGATACAGAGCTTAGAGATGAACGGGGCAGACGAAGTGACAACAGTTAATCGCAGAAGGTGCCAGACGGGGTTTTCAGTGGGAGTGGGCGGGCGGGTATGCGGGGGGCTGACCTGGATGGGCAGGGAGGGGTAGAGGTCGAGGCCGTCCATGGCGGCGGAGAGGCGGAAGTCGACGGACACCAACGGCACGCGCGGCTCCAGGCTGGCCTGCTCGCGCATGCTGCTGATGGCGCCGCGGTAACTCGCCACCTGCAGAATAGCGGGGGAGCGGCGGTAAGGCGTGAAGGGGACAAGGAGGAGCAGGGCAAGCCTTACACAGGGGAATACACACCGGGACTGAGCGAGGGTGACAGAGCGTCCAACACGCAACAAGCCCTTGACTATACGAGAGATTGTATAACGGTCCACTGGGACCGACTCTAGAGCTGGCAGAAGTGTGCAATTCTCAAGACAATATTCTGAATGGGGTGATGAGGCTCAAGAACAAGGTTTGTTGGGGAGGCGCTATGAGCACAGGGATACTGTGGAGCGTCACGAAAGAAAAGTAGTTCGTCGGGCGCTGCACCGTAAAGTCAAGAACGGGGAAAGCAACGAGAACGGTGCGATGTCCAAATCTTCCAGACTTTGGTCGAGGTGTTCAAGAATGGAAGAAGCAAATAACAACCAAAGAGTGGGGTGAGAAGGAAAGCAGAACCGGTTGGAAGGAAGGGGCCATAAAAATTATTGGGCCAGTCTCCAGAGGTAATAGAGCCTAGAATGTGCGGGCCGAACTCACGGCGTCAAGGTCGACGACGGCAGTGACGAGCTCGACGTCCTTCAACGAGAACTGAGAGCCCTGCGCCACCACGTCCCCGTTCACCACGATGCACGCACACCCGTCTGCATAGCCACCACCAGACAAGCATGAGAGCCTTGCGGCATACTCCACTACACGCAAAAGTTCCGTGGAGCTAGAAGCGAGGCGAGGCAGGGCGTGATCCTGGGTCGGCCATTCGTCGATGTCGCAGGGGGTCGCTCACCGTAGTAGAGGCGGCCCCCATCACAGCCCTGCTGGTTGGCATACAGGTAGATCCCGCCAGCCTTGCGGGTGGCGCTCCGAATGAGGTCGAGCCGTGTGTTCAGCTTGCGCAACTGTACCAGAAGGCTCACAAACAATGAGTCAGTCGAAGCTCAGAGTGACTGGCTATGCACACTAGTCAGATGGAGTGTCATCCCAACTTTACAATGGGGCAAAGATCGCGTTGAAAGGTTGCGGATCTACGCTTAGGAAGCCTCAAGCCTGTTCACGATGTATTTATGGTTGGTGGCATTGCTACAAGGGCAAAGGAAGGGATAGTCAGGTTTTTGAGGTTCATTTCTGGCTTCCTCCGGCTGAGGCTCTACATTCAAGCTTCAGAGGTTCTTTCGTGCAGTGCCCCTTTGGTTGTCATCGGAGATACTGGCTGTATCCTGCGGCGCTGACCTCGTGGTGGGAGCCAGATCCGTTGGAGATGATCTCGACGCCGTTGAGCGCCAGCGGGATGTGCGCCGCATTGGGCGTGAACAACTCCTCGCACGTCTCACTGCCCAGCATGGTGTCATTGAACGAGAGCGCCGCGTCGCCAAAGGGGGCTGTCTTCTGGCCCGTCTTCCGCGTGATGACATCCGGCAGCTTGAGGTCCACCACGCGGCCTGCATGCTTCCAGCCAGCAAACCAGCGCGTCTCGCGGTAGTTGCCGTCGTTGGCCAGATACAGCTTGGGCCGCACCTGCCACAACAAGGTTCGTGTGAGGGGCAATCCCTCTCAGAGAACTGATCTCAAAGTGAGAAGACATGTAGCTGCGGGGGCAACGCGACACGAAGTTCGAGGAGACTTGTAGGAGATTTCAGGCAACCTATATTCGAGACCTGGAAACACGGGCATTGGGCTCGAAGAGGGGGCGTGTGAAATCTGACCATGAGGATCCGGCTGTTCAGGACGAAGGCGCGACAGTTGTACCGAACATTGCCATACTCCACAGGAAGCCCGATGTCGCAGACAATGTCCCGCGTCAGCGACTCATCCCCCAGGATCTCGCCCAGCATCTCCCACCTGCACCGCAGCAGGGGGCCAGTAGGTCAGGTGAGAAGAGATGGGCCAGGGGTCCAAAGCCCCCAAGCATGGGAGGAGCACAGGCGGACACAGGTGGACACAGGATGCCCACACAGCATTGCACCCCAGGAAGGTGGTAGCTAGAATCAGGTCAGACATCCGGTCACTGCCAAATAGTGGAGGTTGGTTTCAGATCTCCACAGAGACAGAAGCAGTTGGGGACCGGCTTTGAGTTGAGCAGTTGAGAAGAACTTGATCTCTGCGAGTAAGCCAGCGCGGGCCCGGCGATAAGCTCACGCATGCTGCAGCGTGTCATCCTCCAGGAAGTGGTCCTCGCAGCCGTAGCCGGTCAGCTCCAGCTCCGGCCCCACGCGGTACACTGCCCCCGCGGCCTTGGCCTGCCGGATGGACGCCACCACGCGCGCCAAGTTGCCATCAAAGTCCATGGCCCATTGGTTCAGGTTGCAGGTGGACACTTTGGCCAGCCGCATCGTGGCGCCCCCTGTTCAAACAAGCGCAGGCGCAGGAAAGGTGATTTGGAAGTGAGGAGTAACCAACGAGCGCGCTGTACCACCACTCCACTAGGGCAGCTGGGCGCCTTGCTGCAAAGTTCCTGTCACGCCCAGGCACCTTGAGAGGCCGGATGGCTCACCATCAAAGTGGTGGAGGCAACTGATATCTATACTAGCGCTGCTCCGCGTGTAACAACCCAGTGCCTTGATTTGCAGCCTGATACTTCCACCACCTTTAAGGTCTAAACAAGCATCCTCACATATTCAGCCACCTCAATTGGTGATTCCAACGCCCATGCGGGGCGCCAGCCTCGAGTATTGCAGGTCAGCCCCTGGGTGGTTGTGACAGGTTTGGAGCAGCGTCACCTTTGAAATCCCAAGTGCAGCGTGGTGCTCCAACAAGGAAGAAGACGCCACAACTTTAGTTTCAAGGTGACATGTTCGAGAACAACTGTTCAGCACGAAGACGTCCAGCTCCCTCATGCCAGCTCGTCGAATTGAGATTCAGCTGAACTCCTGCATGGGCGTGAAGCTCCAGACTTTCTCAACACGCATTGGTTGAGTCGCTGGCTGGCCGGCACTGGCAGATTGAATTTGCAGCTGAACAGTCGATCCGACTTGCTGACCTGGCACAGGGCCCCATGCAATGCTGGGCATCCATTTGACATTTTGCAGACCAAGACAGGGGGAGAGCAGCTTGGCGTTCTTGATGCTTCATGGCCATCTCCCAGTGTGCCGGCCTGCAGCTGCCTTCCCTCTCCAGCTGGCCGCAGGCCCAGGCAGGGGGGCCTGTGCCGCTCAATGAGGACAGCGCGCGGCACTGGTGGCGGCCAAGGAAAGAGCTCAAACAGGGGAGGAAGGCAGGGGCTGTGCAGGTCCCAAGATGGCAGTGGCAGTCGCCCGGGGAAGGGAGAAGAGGTGTGGTGCCCTCATTGGTATGGCCTCTTTCCTGCTTGTGGAGCACACTGGCAAGCCTTCGTGCATCGGCCATGGTTCTGCATTCGCAGAGTTTCCTGGACCTTTTAGCCTCTGCAATGGCCGTCCCTGGCATTGTCTCTGATCTCCGCTGCTCTGACAGGACCCCCACTGGTGGTGCAGGCTCCTGCCGTCGTTGTAGGTCTCGGGACAGCCCCCAAACTTCGCAATTGCGGCCCAACAGTGCGGACTTGTATCAGCCACTGATGGTCGAATCGAGCTCGCCGGCAGACGATGGCAGCCCCAGGAAGGCACTACGAGTTGTCCCGGAAGCGGCTGTGCTGGGGGCCAGCTTGCTGCTGCTGCTGGCGCCAGCGGCATGGGTACGCCTGCTCCCTCCTTCCTGTCTGATAGCAACGAGGGTAGGAAACTATCCCATGTGGCGGCGCCTGAGTGGCGAACCAAAAGGGAGCACTGAGTAGCGCTGCAATGGAAGGCTCACAGAGGTGTGCCAGTGCCTGGCTGACGCAGTGGTTGACTCTGGTGTTCAGGCGGACGGGGGCGGGGGAACCGACACGGGATGGGCCGCCGCGGTGGGGGAGGCGCTGTACGCACTGGGCCAGAACGCAAACGCTCTGGTGCAAGGCCAGATTCAGGGGGGGCTCACCCTCACCAGGTGAGGACTGTGCCCCTGGAACGTGCTGCCACCGTCACCACCCATGGGCCCACTCAATAGCATGGCCCTGTCTCATGATGGACTCTTCTTCGCCTACATGCTTGCGAACTAGGAGAGACAGCTGCCCCTCTCGTCTAGCTGTTTCCATGTTGAGTTATGACGTTGTGGCATTAGGTCCTGTGCCCGTCCGCCTCTTTCAGAGTGCAACCGACGTTGATCCCCCTCCTCCTGACCCGTTGTCTTGCCCCCCCCCCCTTCTTTCCCCCAGTGGTGCCGTCATCCTGGGCGCTGGCCTGGTGACCAGCCTGTCCCCGTGCACCCTCAGCGTGCTCCCCCTCACCATTGGCTACATCGGTGGCTATGACCAGGGCCGCTCGCGCGCCGCCCTGGTGCGCGACGCCGCGGCCTTCTCCCTGGGCCTGGCCACCACGCTGGCCGCGCTGGGCACGGGGGCGTCCCTGGCGGGCAAAGCGTACGGGCAGGTCGGGGCAGGGCTGCCCATCGCGGCGTCGCTCACGGCCATGCTCATGGGCCTCAACCTTCTCGAGGTCAGCCGCCACATGCCCCCCGGCCTCACTCGGAGGCCATAGACGAGGGCCAGAGTCCTCTGGCTCCCGACTGTCGCTTCCGCCCCTTCTTTGCCAGCCCGCGTCTCATCTTACCCGTCCTCCTCCCCGCAGGTGTTGCCGCTGCGCTTCCCTTCCTTCCTCGGCAACGTGGACGCGCGTGAGCTGGCGGCGGGCCTGCCCAGCAGCGTGCAGGCATACTTGGCGGGCCTCGTGTTTGCGCTGGCCGCATCGCCCTGCAGCACGCCCGTCCTGGCCACGCTCCTCTCCTATGTGGCCACCACGCAGGTGAGTAGAGCAGACACAACTTGCCAGCCTGTCAGTCGGACCACACATGTTATAGGGACCAGGAGAGGTTTCTCTCCCCACTCGATCGTTCAGGTAGGACGTGTGCAGGGCGTAGTCCTTTGCACTATCTTTCGGGGCTATCAACGAGCAAATAAGACCCGCACTTGAGGCTGCTCCCGAGGTCCGAGCGCTTTGTGTGGTACGAACGGCACCTGAGCGATACGTGGCGGTGGTTGGCAGGACCCTGTGGTGGGCAGCGCGCTGCTGTTCACGTACACGCTGGGCTACGTGGCCCCGCTGCTGGCGGCGGCCTCCTTCACGGGCGCGCTCAAGCAGCTGCTCGAGCTGCGCAAGTTCTCCGCCTGGATCAACCCGGCCAGGTGACGCCCGCACCCGACCAGCGCACTAACCCATCACCGAGCTTTGATGTCAGCAACACTTCTCGGTCAGATTCTCCTGGCGATAGCGTAGATCCGTAGATCGATCATTTTTTCCCCATCCAATTGACGCGTCTGCTCCCCGTCTCTGACCCCCCGTTCTCCGTGCAGCGGGTGCCTGCTGCTGTCCGGGGGCTTGTACACCTTCCTCCTGCGGGTCGTGCCGGCTCAATAGTGCGCTACAAAGCGGAGCACGCCCCGTGGCTCGATAACCACACCGTTCGTGGATATTTCAGAGTCTGATTCAGACGAACTGGGGCTTGCCCTTTTCACGGGCCTCTGCTTCTTGAACATGTATAAAAGCACGAGTGCGAGCCAGCGCTGTCTGCGCTCTGAGCCTCGTTAACGGCAGCGCAGAAAAGCGAGGAGATGCGCTGGTTGCGGTCTAGCATCAAATCACGGCCTACGGTCCACAGCGGAGCTCTACTCGTGGACGGCTGAAAAGTTGGTAGAACTTCGATCAGCCTACCTGAGGCTTTTCACGAACCTGAGACTTGGAACAAGCCATGTGAACAAGCGTACAGCCAATCGTGCTCTGCAGCTTGTGGTCACGACATCTTGTCCGCCCAAGGCCTGCCCTGCATCCAGTGTGCTCGAGGACATGCGATAAGCAGGCAGGCAGCTGTCTGAGAACTATGAACTATGCCTTTGTATGCAAAAGCAGAAATGAAGTTCCTTAGTGACGCGACATGTGGATTCCACAGCAGGCTTGTTACTGACACACCGCACATATGATTTTAGGAGCTGCCAGACTTCGTTGTTGAATCCATAAGTAGAAGTTACCAGTATGTGCTTGGACATGTATATGTGCAGAATAACTGAGTGGTAGGCATACGTTTATTGCACAAAAGCATATATTTTGTGCTGTATCATCATGTGTGCACAGTGCAAGAATGTAAACAATGACGCGGTCTGTAATCTGGCATATTGGTGACAATCAGGAGCTATAGATCGATATGTATACTGGTACGTGACCATGGCCGCAAAAATGTCGATAACGGCGTTGTATCATGTGCTAGCTAGTGCATGCCAGCGGCGGCAGGACATATTTTCATGATCTGCTCAAGAACTTGCAATCCACGGAGCACGCGCGCGCGGATGCCATGGACTGTAGCCTTGCGTGTGCAATCACCTGAGATCCTCATGCACATATCATGACACGTGCAGTTCCACATATTGACAATGCCGAAACCTGTTGAATGCACTCAGTGCCTCGAGCCTGTGATCGTCTTCGCATTCAGGACCTCTTATTGGTGTCACGGCATGCCAGAAGCCACGAATGATTTCTATGAACGCTACTCGAATATTTATAGCTCTCTTCGTGGTTCAAGTTTTTTTGTGCTGGTCCTTTGAGAGGGGACGGCGCCCGCTGGCCGCCCTGCAACGCAGACATGCGATGATGGGCGCCCTGACGACTGGTTGAACAGGAGCCCAACAAAGCAGCGAGGGGCAAAGGAAGGCGACAGCTAAATGCCGAGTGAACTAACTCGGCAAGATTTGCAGGCAGAAAGCCGTTTCACGAAACAGTGTCGTTTCGACCACTTTCTGCCGTTGCTAACTCGACCAAGTATCCGGTGGCTACTCGGCTTGCGGAGGACAACGTGGTGTGCACAAGTCAGCCCACTGGGCTAGCGCTCGACTCGACGTTGTGAGAAAGGCATCGTGGTACCGTCCTTACAATCAGCAGTAAGCGCCTCCAATCGCTGAGTGGGAGGCTTGGCCACTTCTCGTGAACCCTGATGCCTTTCCCGCCCCTCGTCATGGCATTGGATTTGAGTGACCTGGCGAAAACTCTTGCCAAATATCTGCCCGTGCAGACCAAAGCGGGGTGGACCAGTTCCGGCCGGGGCACGGGCGGGGCGTGGTCCCACGGTTCGGGAGCGGACCGGACTAAGCCTCCCCAACACCGTTGTAGGAACCACTCCAACCTCGCCTTGCCGTTCGTGCCACATGCCAGCGACCCCGGCGATGGCCAGCCTCAGGTGAGAGGAGGAGGGGTTCGGTAAGGCAGATGGCCCAGCAGCGGTGATGCTGCCAGGTCCGGGCAGCGGCCAGCCATGGTGCGCCCTGGAACACCGCGCGCTGCTCTGCTGCGATGGTACAGGGGCCGTCGGGCAACATGGGCCTGCCCTTCGCAGAAACCCCGCTTCGGTGTGTGAACGGCCGATCCGGGTCTGCGGATGCTGTCCGCATAAGATGACGACGGGAGCATGCCCCGGGCGGGCCTGCCTCACGCAGGGGTGTCACTGCGCTGCATGGCCGCGACCTGTTGCGCAGTGAAACCCAGCTCCTTGAGCACCGCCGGGGTCAGCGTGGTGTGGCCGCCCGCCCACACTGCCGACCGCGTCACCTGGAGACAGCAAGCTCCAGTTAGTGAAGCAGACTTGCGGGGGCGATAGCCGTGCAAAAAAGCGCACACAAAGCTGGAGACGCAGGGAGAACGACTGGGAGCCGCAGGGTGAGCCTGCTTGCAGCGCGGCGTGGTGGCGCACCTCGCAGGGCGGGAGGCCGTCCCGGGCACGCATGGCACGCAGCAGCCGCGCGACGTGATCGGGCTGGCCCGCGCGCGCAAACGCCAGGATGAGCGGGTTGTAGCTGCGGTGGTCGGGGGCGACGCCTGCGGCGCGCATGCGGACGGCCAGCACCACCTCCGCGTCCGCCAGCCTGGGCGAGGGGGGGACGAGAAAGGGTCAGGCGGCGGCAGGAGAGAGCGGAAATGGAGACCGCGAGTGAGCTGTTGGGGCAGTCGACTACGAACCCCAACAAAGCGACGGAGAGCCTTCCTCGGGCCTTATCACCTCCCTTGTTTCTCAGCATACCCACTTTCTGCCTAATCCTGTCGATTCCACAAGAGCGCGGTGCGCACCTGTCCGCCCTGATGTGTGCCCGGATGAGCGCGTTGAACGTGCGCACGTCGGGCAGGCATCCCGCGGCTGTCATTTGCACCACCAGCTGCTCCGCAGCATCGGCCTGGCCCGTCTCAGCGTACCTGCGGGCACGAAGGGGCAGAGTTAGCACGGTCAGCGACAGCGACCAGAAAGAGAGTGTGGGTGCAAGTGGCGCAAGAGCAAGGGCCTCAAGGAAGGAGGAGGGGGGCAGGCTGCGGCGCTCACCCGTTGAGGAGAGCGTTGAAGCAGGCGGCAGAAGGGGGCACGGACGATTTAGCCAGGCTGGCCAGAAGGCGCAGGCCCGCCTGCACACCACGCAGCGCAAAGGGGGGTAAAGACAGGCGTCGTGTCGGCATATTCTTTACAAAGACGTGATGGGCCAGCCCTTGGAGTCAACCAATCACGAGAGATGGATGCTCGAGCAGCTGCAGCCACTGCCGGCATGCCGGCGCTCAGATTCGTTTCCGTCTGCGGCTGCACACCTGGAAGTTCCCGGTGCGTGCGTGCATGTCGAGCAGCACGGTCGCCGTCTCCTGCGTGAGGGGCAGCCCCTCCGCCCGCATCTGCGCCAGCAGCGCGCCAGCCGCCGTGAAGTCGCCCGCCTTCACGTACCCGTCCAGCAGTGCCGTGTACTCCACCACGCCTGCACACATGCCACCGAGAAAGCCACCATCACGCAGGGGTTCGCCGCATCGAAGAAACGGACCGCCACACACGATTCGACAGCCCGAGCTGCATTAAGTGGTCTCAATCTGTCTGTTGAGCCAGCCGCATGCAGTCGAGCGCATCTCGAATGTGGGCGAGCCGTGTATTCTCACCGGGGGTGATGCCCGCGGCGGCCATGCGCTCCAGGACGGCCGCAGCCTCAGTAAGGCGGCCCGCCTTGCCATACGTGTCCAGCAGGATCGTCCAGCTGGCGGCAGAGGGAGACACCCCGGTAGCGGGCATGCCAGTCAGCACCTGGCAGGCAGCCAACCAGCGGGGTCAGGCAAGGAGCACAAGAGCGGCGAACAGGTAGCTGGACGCAAAGTACTGCGTCAATGGACTGGATCGCAGTTGGCCTGAGTGGGCTTGATTCCAAGTCAAGAGGCAGACTGCTATCGGTGAGACTTAAACGAACTGGTCTATTACAAAGTATTTTCGCTTCGTAGATGTGCATCTCCAATGTGTGGACACACGAGGCATGAAGACGTGGATGCAGAGCAAGGAGTGCAAGCACTGACCCGCTCCACCTTGCGAACATCGCCCGCCTTGCCGTATGCATCAAGGAGGGCGTTGTACGCGCGCAGGTCCGGAGTGACCCCCAGCTCGGCCTGCACCACCCAACAGCGGCTCAGTCACTGCTGCCCTGCCTGGCCCGCTGCAAGGTCAGGGGCAACCGGGCGCAGCCGGGAACAGCCTGCCAACGAGCTGCGCTGCACCCTGCAATCCGTGCGCGCATTGACGTGCTTGTAAAGCAGAACGAGTACTCTTGCCCTTGCTCGTTGACCGTCGGGCCTACCTGGATCTGACGGAAGTAGTGCTCCGCCTTGTCGGGGCAGCCCGCCCTGCCGTAGGCTGCCAGCAGGGCTGTGATGGCGGGCAGGCCAGGCCGGCAGCCAGTATCGCGCATCACGGCAAACACCGCTTCTGCGCGCGCCAGCTGGCCTGTGCGGCCGTACAGCGCCAGCAGCGTGGTGTACGTGACTGCGCTGGGGCCGTAGCCTGCCGCCTGCAGCGCCGCCAGCACCGCCTCCGCACCAGCCACGCTGCCCACCTGCACCACGCCACCCCGACGCGCGGGCAAGTCAGGTGGGATTGGGATTGAGTGAAACGGGAGTGCCAAAGGAAACACAAGGGGTATTAGGGGGTAGTCTCGAGTGTGGGGCCAAGTCAGGGCAGGAGGCACGGCAGGGGCGGGGCGTGAGGGGGCGGCTCACCCTGGCGTAGGCGTCGAGCAGCGTGTTGTAGGTGGTCATGTTGGGGCGCACCTTGTTGGCCAGCATGCCGCGCATCACGCGGGCCGCATCCGCGGGGCGGTGCGCGCGTGAGTACGCATGCATCAGCGCATTGCAGGCCACCACGTTGGGGGGCACGCCCGCTTCGCGCTGCAGAGCGATGGCGGGCACCATAAGGTCAGGCAGCCAAGTGGGCGCAGCGGGAGCAGGACGAGGTGGGGACCCAATGGCGCCCCCACTCTTAGAGCAGGAAGGCTGTAGTGTGTGGGTGAGCGGGAGAGGGTCGCTCACCTGCAGGTCGTGGAAGACCTGCTCCGCTGCAGCCGCGTTGCCGGCCCGAGCGTACGCTGCCAACAGAGCAGTGTAGGTGCGCACGCCTGCAGCAACGCAGACGACAGCCGGTCAGGCTATACATCGTCGAGCCATTTTTCAAGCGCACAGGCAGGCTGACACAGACGGGAGCAAGCAGCCAACCGAGCTTTCCCCACAATTCGGAGTGGCTGGTGGTTCAACGCTCCAAGCTGCGGGCAGGCTTCCTGGAGGGCGGTGCAGGTGCCAGGGCAAGAGCGCGCACCCTGGGGGAAGCCCTCCTGCTTCATGGCCTGGAACAGCGCCTCCGCTTGGTGCGCCCTGCCGTGGTGCCCCAGCGCAGTGATGAGCGCCACAAAGGTGGCCTCGCATGGCTGCTGCCCCGCTGCGCGCATGCGCTGGTAGGCTGCCAGCCCCGCCGCAACGCGCCCGCCGCGGCACTCGCTCTCCACCAGCGCACTCCACTGGGGGGGGCCAAAGGGCCAGGCGCCCTCCGCCTGCCACCACTCTAGCACCTGCCACCAACACCATACGTGTCAACCGGCAGCGACAGAAGAGGGTTCACGCTGCGCCTGTTCGATCAAGACTCATTTCCATAAGCGGAGCTCTGGCTTTCACAAAGGTTGCCCCCCAAGCCTCAGCATTGCAACAAGTCCAATTTGCAGGCTACCTCACCTTGGCCCGTCTGTCCCAGTCGTTGTCATACTTCAAGCTTCTGACGACACATGCCATGTCCCTGTCTGTCACCACAGTCTCCTGCGCTTTGGCCCGAAGAAAATTCTGCACAGCCCCCGGAGGCAACACCCTCAGCTTCTCCCACAGGCTGCGCCCCGTCTGCGTCAGGCGCCACACGGTGGTACCAGCAGGCAGGCTGGCTGGAGCTGCTCTGCCCACAGGAGCGCTTCCGTCCTGGTCATGCGGGTGCGGGCCACGGTCACCCTTGTCCCGGCTGCCGGTGCCGTGCTCCCCGCCCTGCTTCCTGCCATGCGCCTGGTCCAGGTACGGCCAATACACCAGCGTCTCATTCACCGTCTTGTAGCGCTCGTCCTTTTTCTCCCAGAACTCCTTCTTCCGCTTCTTTGGCCGCCCCAGCTTGTAGTACAGCGCACGCACGCTCAGCCCAGCGGTGCGCCGACCAACCTGGCGCGGCGGGGCAGGCTGCACCACTCGCGTCCCAACGAAGCTGGAGCAAACCAAGGACGGCCGCAGCTGGATTGCCGCCAGAGGGGGCCGCAGGGTTGCCCGACAGGCAACACGTGATGCGAACATGGGGGGGAGAAGCCCGCCGAGGCTCCCCATCGTTCCCCCCTGAGCTGCGTCGTTGTCCTCAGAGTCAGAGTCGCATCATGATCATCATGGTGGCAGCAATGAATTTGAATTTTGTGGTGCCATTGCAATGCAGCCAAAACCCTAAAAACAGCCTTCAATCACAGCAAACCCTATGTCCAGGAGCCTTGTTTGCCAGCTCATCCCTTGCACACATGTACATATGCTGCATGCACAAGAAGTACTCCTCGGGCTCGAGAGTTTCCAAAGTTTACTACCCTTTGCAACCTGATCAGTGGCAAGCCCTTTTTAAGCCCTACCGTAGGTTTAAGTTTCAGGAGTTGCGTGGTCCTAACAACAGTAGTGCAGGCACCATGGTCGACAGCAGCAGTCAGCCCATGGAGGCAGGGTTTGAGCTGGGTGCGTTTAACGTTGTGCACTTGCGGAACCAGCTGTCTGACTGGCTGGCGCAGCTGCTGCTGAGCCTCTTGGGTCACAGCGACTCAGAGGGCCCTCACGGGCTCGCTCGGTGGCGGCAGCGCTCACTCCCGGTGGTGGCTGACCTGCAGCTGGCGCTGCTCCTCGCCCTGCTGCTCCCTGCCCTGAGGTGGGCCCTGGAGTGTACCGTCTTTGATGTGAGTACATGACCCCCTGGCAAACCGACGAGGCCCCCAGTGGATGACAATGCTGGCACGCTTTGTTTGTATTCCAGACCTCTGCCAGCTAAGGGGGGTCCCTCTACTATGGTCCTCCCACTTTCGCTGCTTGCGTCTTCCAGCTGCGCCTGTTGGGGGCACTCCGTTACGTGGTGCTAGCAAGTCTGAGAAGTCCAGAGACAGCTTGGTGTGTGCAAGGAGTTGGGGGCTCCCTTTTACTCTATTTGAGTGGGGCCTCAATCAGCCGTCTGCATCTTTTGAAGACCGTCGGCATTGTGTTCTCACACCATGGAAGGCTCTGTCCCATGCCCGTGTGGTCCTGTTTCGGCTCCCTGCACGGTCACTGGCTTGCCCCGGGCTCGCTTTGTTCCACTCTGCAACACATTGGGGCCCACTTTGGCCAGACTGCCCCTTGCAGCCCACTCCAGCTGGCGAAGCGCTTATTGCGCTGCCCGCTCCAGCAAATGCAAAGTCTCTTCTTGTGCCCCCCCTACTGCCTGCTGGTGAGACCCCATTCACTCTTATTCTCTGTTCTACGCCAACCTCGCAGTGAGGGGGGGGGGCACTCTTGTCGGCTGGTGTTTCTGAAACTGACTGCGCGCCCCTCACCCTGTCTTCTCTCCCGTGCAGAGTGCTGCGCGGTCCGCTCTGGCCCGGCAAAGGCCCCCCGCCAGCCGCGTGGGGCAGGAGCGCGCCCAACTAGCTGTGACCAAGTACAAGGAGTCCGCCTGGCGCTGCTGCTTCTACGGCGCGGTCTGGCTGTACGGCTTAACCGTCACGCTCGCGGAGGGCTGGCCCGGGAGGGACACTCGTGCCCTCTGGGATGGCTGGCCGCACCACACCGTCACGTGAGACCCATACCACCCCTCCGAAAGCCCCGCCCCAGGCGGTTTAACGGCAGGGAGGAGAAGGAGCCTGAGCAGTGGCTGAGCACGGGGGACAGTGCTGCTGAGTTCGTCCAAGCACGACTCCATGTCAGCAGCCCTGTCTTTGGCTCGAAGCCCGTTTATCAGGTGTGCCTCCCTGACGTGTGTGGCATGCGGTTGTAGTGCAGGTATGGGGTGAAGGTGTTTTACATGCTGGAGCTGTCGTACTACCTGTTTGGTATCTACGCGGTGGGCGCCTCCTTCGTCGCGCCCGCGCACGCGTGGGAGGTGCGGCGCAAGGACAGCCTGGTCATGCTCACGCACCACCTGGCCACCACGCTGCTGCTCGCCTACTCCTACCTTCACGGGTGAGCGCGCCGCACGAGCCCGGCACACCGGGCAGGGAACAGGCCGATCGCAGGATGGGTGAAATCGAACTCAGTGGACGGAGAGTCGGGTCTCAATGGAGGGACGTCTGCACCATGTTGAACGGGGCCAGTGAGGAGCGGCGCTTTGTCTCGCACGATCAAACTAGGCTGCGAGGAGCAGGGCGGCTCAGCACTAGCGGCATCCCTAGTGCGAAGAGCAGTTGTGTTCACGGAGAAGCACTGTTGTGCCTAACATGCGACGTAGAAGGACGTCGGACTTACCAGCAGGTAAACTCGGTTGTACGCTTTCTGCAGCTCCTGCTGACGGCCCCATGTGGTGACCCCCCCCTCTGGCGCGCAGGTTTGTGCGCATTGGCGCGCTGGTGCTGCTGGCGCACGACCTGAGCGACGTGCTGCTGGAGGGCGCCAAGCTCGCCAAGTACGCCGGCCGCGAGCTGGCCGCCTCGCTCACCTTCGCCGCCTTCGCGCTCAGCTTCTTTGCGCTGCGCCTCGTCTACTACCCGGCCGTCCTCATCTACAGCGCCAGGTGCGCCCGCCTACCGCGCGTGCACCCGCCACAGAGCCCGCGGGGTCCTCACGGCTGTTGCATCCTGAGGATCCCGGCTCATGTCTTCACTTGAGGCAACCGAGGTACTTCTACCCTTTTGCAGCTTGGGTTGCCGGTGTGTGCGCTGAGCGTGTGTTTGCGGTGCTGCAGCTTTGAGGCGCCGGCGCTGGTGGGCCCCTTGCTGACGTGGCCCATGACGCTCGTGTTTTACTACGTGTTCAACACGGCGCTCCTGCTGGTGCTCGTGCTGCACTGCTACTGGTTCCTGCTCATCCTGCGCATCGCCGCCAAACAGATCGCCAGCGGGGGCAAGGTCGACGACGTGCGCTCCGGTGAGCCGCAGCCGCTGCCGCCGCCGCCATCAGCACGGCAGGAGGCAGAAGCACGGAAGTGGGCGTGCCTCCCCGTCTTGTTGCTTGCCAGCTTCACATCGCGGCTTGGAGGAGGCTTCCTTGTATGCAAGCGCAAAGACGCTGATTGCCAATCGTTGTGGCTGTACAGATTCGGACGACGACTAGACGCTTCCACCACCAGTCAGCACGCACAAACAGGATCTCCCTATCGCAGACCATGATCGACCGAAAAGAGAAAATAGATGTAGTCTTGCATCGTTACTGCATTCGAAAAACCCGCCTAAGCTCTTAGGATCAGTAAGCAATCCTCTGAGTCTCTACCGTCGGAGCTCAGGTGCAAGACTGATAAGAAGGAGTGCTCCAATTGCCCAGTGCACCACAGCCACCTCTGATCCTTCTTCCATGAGGGACACTCTCGAACGGGGCCCTCACAGACTGTAACAGTAGCTCAGACCGGAATGGCTTCAGCTCCGCTTTTAGGAGGACACTGAGTCACACGAGGCGAGGTTGGAAGTTCCATGCTCGAGGCATGCCTCACCACCCGGTGCCCTCAGCAGCAGCACCCGATCACAGCATGCCAGCCGGTGTGGTGCTTCTTGAGTCGGGGACTGCCTGACATCCAACCGTGTGCTACCACCCTGGGCCGTTTCGCGCAGCTTTTGATATCGAATCAAGTGATTCCAAAAAATCTCAAAATCATCGTAACTTATGAATGCTGCTCGTCGCTGGCATCCAACCACGTTGCACATGATATTAACGACAAATTGCAACTTTTCAAGTATCCGAGTTTGAGACGCGTACAGGATATCCGACGGTCACTTTTTCTTCATGTGAGATGCTATATTGAACGATCATTCATGTCTTCGAAAAGATTATGCTCACACGCCTCGATTGCTACGCAGATGAGTCCGAACTGTTCCCCGATGAGCAAGCTGGCTTTCGAAAAGGCCGTTCACCCTTGGAACAAGCCTACATCCTTCGTGAGATCTTAGATGCTCGAAAACAAATGAAACAGACCACCACATTTTTAAGCTTCATTGACTTGGAATCTGCTTTCCCTTCCTCTTGGCGGGAAGGAATGTGGCGACGACTTCACGAAGCAAACGTCACTGGCAAAATGTTTCGCCTCATTCAATCGCTTTACATTGACTGCTCCTCAGCCCTTCTCACTAACTCCGGTTTGTCAGACTGGTTTCCCGTTGAAGCTGGTACTCGGCAGGGAGCTGTATTGTCACCGTTCCTTTTCTCCCTCCTGATATCCCCGTTGGTGGATGCACTACATGCTGTAAACATGGGCGTTGATTTCTTTGGGCTTCGAATTGGTTGTCTTCTCTTCGCTGACGATATTGTTCTCATTGCTGACTCGGAAGCTAACTTGCAAGCGATGATGGATATTGCCACCCAATTTTTTGGTAAATGGCGCTTCACAGTTTCTGCCACCAAGTCGAAAGTCGTGAGCCTTGGCCATTGCGAGACCCGAACGTTGAAAGACCGCTCCTGGCATTTGGGAGGTCGTATTATCAAGGACGTTGCCTCCTACACGTATCTTGGGATTGAGTTTGACAAGTCAGGCAATTGGTTGAATGCAATCCGGAATAACATCGAAAAGTGTCGCCACAGCATGGGACACCTGTACTCTTTCACCGACAACCCCGAACAAGGGCTCACTGTCGGGCACTTGTCTACTCTCTGGGGTCTTTTCGCCCGCTCTCGCTTGTTATACGGCTCGGAGGTCTGGTCCGCCCCTAGTGCATCCGCCTTAGAGTCTCTGGAAGTAGCACAAACTTCTGCAGGTCGTCAAATACTTGGCAAATCTGGTGACTCTAACGTCATTCGTGAAGCTGTCTATGGCGATCTTGGGTGGTTGTCCGTCCAATCGCATTTGCGCCTTGCCAAACTTCGGTTTTTTGCCCGTCTTCTCCGCCTTCCTGATGATCGCCTTGCTAAAAAAGTGTTCATCCGTGCAGTCGCCCACTTCGATGCCTCCAGTACTTCGGTATTTCCCCCGACCTCTACTCCATCCTGCTGGTGTAAAGAAACTTACGAAACTCTCGTTGAATTGGGTGCGGAGTCCTGGTGGACCCACGGCTTGCCTCTAGCATTGATGCAGTTCCCTTATGCTCTGAAACGCGAGTGTAAACGCAGAGTATCTAACTTAGACCAGGAAGAATGGTTACAGGCTCTTCGAAAACCCTCTGCCCCGCAGTCTGGTCTTTCCGCGCGCGAACATTATCTTCGACTCAAGAACTGTAACTCTGCTGAACGTTACCTTTTCT